TACTTTATTTGACTCCATTTTGAGATTTTATCATTGTATATTGTTATAATTTCTATATTTTGTACTTATATTGAAGTTTTTATGTTTGCTTCTGAACTTCACACATTTTGTTTAAATTTGATATATAATATGGCTACAGCTATATTTGGATTTGATACCGTGGCAGTTAATACTAGTATCACTTATTCTTTTTGAAATTGGATACCCATCAGGGTAATTTTTGACTTGGAAGGTGTATTAATTGTCAGACCACTTTCTCCTAGAATTATTGTGTTCTGATATAGGACTAGGGGAGAGCGCGTTCGACCTACACCTACTGGAATCAAAGTGAACTGCTAGGGTAGAAAATTCATCTACAACCCTGACTAACGCACCGACACAACTGCAGGTTGTTGTTTACCCCCCGGTATCTGTAAGCAATAAAGAACAGTGGATGAATGAGAAGAAGGGGAATAGCAACACTACAACTCACAATCGGCTACCACTGAAGGACAGGGACGATAGAATAAATTCACTTATTTTATTTAGTGTCCCACCATCAAGTCACCACGCCTGATGGCTGTGACATTTAGGAACCGGGAAGACCTAACTAAAACACTCCAAGCTTGGTACAGTCCGAGGAACGATCTGTTTAGCCACATCATGTGTCACGAAAGACGACCTAGATATGTGAGACAACAGCAGGGAGGCCAAAATGAATGCACAAAACTGATAGCTAACCTCCGTCAACTGCCCCTGGTACAAGACACGATTGAACCAACCGCGCAAACAAAAACCTGCATAGGCCAGTTCCCACAGAACTGGCCGATTCGGTTTGAATAACTTGTCTGAAAATCCTACAACGGCTACTGCTGCAGAAGTGCACCAGGTGCTGAGACAAACCACCAGGCGCCTCTATAGCAACGTAAGAGGACCAAGGGGTAAGCAGTTGGAAATCAGGAATATGTGCTCTCAGATGGATCTGAAGACCATAACCCTAACTGAAAAATGGCTATCCCCTGACATTGCAGACGAAGAAGTGAGCTTGCCAGGCATGACACTCTTTCGAAGCGATAGGGAACACCAAACTGGAGGTGGAGTGGCTATATATATAAATAACCACTTAAAAGCAGAGCGACTATACGATACCAAACTAACTGAGGTGACAGAATTATGCTGGTGTTGTTTCCAAACGAATGGCACGAAATACTTGATTGAAGGGTTCTACCGACCTCCTTCAGGTACTAAGGCCCAGAAAAGCAAACTGATTGAGGTAATACTGCAACTGCTACTCCTGGGGTTTGATCAAATACTCTTAGCCGGAGATTTCAATACCCCATCTTTAAATCCCAGCAATCAGAGTAAAACTCCAACTGCTTACAAAGACGACTTGGAGCAGCCATTAGAAGCTGTGCGCTAACTGAGCACGTATGAAGTACCACTAGTTATTCTGAATTTCCTCTATTCATAGCATTAATTGTCCATTCGTTATCTTACTACTGAATTGTCTTCATTAACCCACATCAATGCAGGTGTACCGTTAGTGTTCTAATATATAAAAGTCCGAGTACAAGTACCTTATCCGATTTGACACCCTGGTGCGTGAACTTTGAAGCTGCACTGAAAGGGTGCAATTTTGGACCTAAACGGAAGCATTCTTTCGGGATTGGAAACAAATTCTGTTACTTTTGACGGAGAACAGTGTAATATTGTTTAGGTAATGATTTAATAATTTTAATTAATAACAGAACCGTTTCTTACTCAGATAAAATGCTTGCTTCTTGGGATAACTGGGAAGGGCGCGTATCTCAACTTCTAGAACTGTTCTTCCGAACCAGGCATCCACAGGTTCGGAGCACTAGGCAAAACCACTGTCAGCTGACGGCTTAGGGAATATCCGTTTCACAACTGACTTAGTATTAAGGAAACTAAAGTCTTTACGCCCAAGTTAGTCACCAGGTTGTTACAATGTTCGCCCCAAATGTGCAGAAGTCCTCTGTTCACCGATATGTGACCTGTTCAGGCATTCAGTGGAGTCACACCAACTCCCAGTTGAATGGAAACAAGCTACTCTCTCTACAATGTTCAAAGGAGTAGATAGAAAGGAGCCAGCCTGTTACAAACCAGTCGCATTACTACCAAAACTATCAAAGGTAATGGAATGGCTGTTGGACGAACAAATGAGTAAGTACATGGATAAGAATAAAATACTCCATGAAGCTCAACGCAGGTTCCGGAAAGGCAGGTAGTGTGCATCTAATCTTCTCCTCGCATGGGACAGTTGGACATCCTGCTTGAACCTTAAAATACCGTGGCACGTAATATTTTTCGACCTTACAAAAGCCTTCGATACAGTATCCCATGCACACCTAATCGCAAAGGTTGCGGAAATGGGCTTCACTGACCCACTCCTATCTTTGCTAAGAAAATACCTTGAGAATAGAAAGTTTGGTCTACGCAGACGATGTGAAGATCTGGAGGTCAGTTAGAATCGAAGAGAATTCGATTGAACTTCAAAAGGACCTTACATCTATTGAGAAATGGGCAGTGAAAAACGGTTTAAAACTCAACCAGCCGAAATGCCACGTCATGCATATTCTGCCTCACACGATGCAAATGATCTACACCCTCAATGGTAGTCCGGTCAACTTACGACTACTCAGAGAGCGATCTCGGTTTAATAACCACATAAAGCCTTCACGCGAGTCCGAACTATGTAAGGGACGCAGCCAAGGCAAATGTGACAAGACAGCTCGATGCTATCACCCCACAATTATTCTTAACACTATTTAAGATGGATGCGCGCCCACGCCTGGAGTTTCACAACGTCATCGCACCCCCCCTGCTTAAAAGAGACATAAATCTCTTGGATAGGGTGCAGAGACGAGCAACCAAATGGGTGAAAGTTTCGAAAAATAAACCTTACGAAGATAGACTCCAGAAATTAGGATTATTCTCACTGAGTTACAGGAGAATCGGAGGTGATTTGACTATGGCGTACGACATATTAAGCACACCAAACCATCATCTCCCTCTTGAACAAGCTATTCCTGATGCATGTCTTGAGAATTGCTCGTTGTTATCAATGCTATCTCCTCAGATCACTTGCTTCATCTATCTCGCCTATTATCTCTGCTGGAATCCAGAAACCCTGGTGTCCTGAAACAAACGTTTTCACTGAAATCCCGAGACAAACAAACTAACAACTAACTGCCTAGAATTAGACAGTCGAGTCACTAGACCCACTGGAGACCACTATACTGCAAGAACAAAAATCGAGAGCAAAGAAATCAATTGGTTTATACTAGCTCTTGAAAAAGATTTTGGATACTGGCCCGTGAAATTAGAACAGCGAATTTTCAAAACACAATATTTGTTATTGCTCGGATTCGCATATTTTGGAACAATCGCACTTATTATAATGTGACGTTCTGTACAATTCTTCTGAAAAAATCAAGAGGCCATCTCTTTTTGTTAAACAGTACTCATCAACATGTTACTTTATCAGTTATTTTGATTTCTTAGTTTTTTGTATCTATGATAGTAGGTCTTTAGGCATTTTTTTATCCTGCCTTGGTCGCTTGTTTCATTGGCTTAGTGCCAGGCGATTTAAGTTTATCGGTTGGAACTTTTTATTTAATTTGTTGTGGTTTTTGTGGCTGGGCCAATGCCTTAATTGTTCTGCACCGTAGACATATATACCAGAACCACGGACAGGGGTGAATCAACATGAACCTATAGTACTCTTTAGGTACTGTAGTGTCGCAGTGACAATGAAAACATTAGCTTAAGAGATTGAATTCAAAAGCGGAATCACTGGTTTTAACTGGGACTGAGCAGGCGATACAGTCAGCCTTATGCGATTTCTGTACGGCAGACTGTGTTGACTGAACCTTAGAAAATACGCGAAGTAGGAGTTTTGAAAAAAAGAAATTATTGTTATCTTATCTTCCACAAGGCACCAAGCAAAATAGTAGCGAATTACAAGGTTATATGAGCTCCTATTCTTTAAGATTAGATGTATTCGACATCTTCGACGCCGTTGGATATTTTGTGTGCACTGGATAATAGGTTATTAAATGTAATTTCTTCAGTCGCGGATACTGGTACAACAATTTGGCGACCATTGCATTTAGAGAACCGAAACTAATTCTGGTGGAAGTTGCCCAATTTATAAACAGAATAATTTAACTGCTGAGATGTTTTTACTCATACATTACTTTATTATAAATAACGCGCAAATAATTATTTATTTTGTATCAACGTTTAAACGAAGATATTGCGATTTTTATCTATCCCAAGTATTTGTATGACAACATGCATCGTAAAAACTAGTTAGTTTCTAAAATATCAACATTTACTACGTAAATGAAAACTACTACATGAGGGGAAGAAGATCAGAGGAACGGCAACTTCCAGAACGGATGTATGGATTATTATTGTGTATGAAATTATTGCGGAATTATTCAGTAGCTGAGTTATTATACGCATATATATATGTATCTTCATTATGATATTCCGACTAACTTATTATACACTCTGATATGATTTTTTATTCCAGAAATATTGCTAGTTTACTATTAACAGTCTCCCTCATTCACATGCACTTTTGGCTCGCTCATTTATAAATTTATTTTCTCATATAATGGTATAGTGTAGTCTAGTATGTAAATTATGTCTGCATTATTGTTGGGATATTCATCCAATATCCTTGTCATCTAAAAATGACACTATTTTGAACTACTAAAATTTCGTCCAAAAACTTAACTGATATTTATAAGATAAATACCATTTTATTCTGAGCAAAACTGAAAAAGAATATTCCCCTAAGCATCACTTGAAGAGAAGGGATAACCCCTTATATGTCGAGATATTTTTAATTTATTTTTAGCATAATGTAGGTTGATAATATTTGATACTCTGCTTTTTGCAAATACCCTGCATAATTAGATAAGTTTCAAATAAATTGTAGTGATCTTTCGCAAAAAAAACTTTATTTTACACATTTATTGTTGCAGGTAATGAGTTCCCCAAGCAACAAAAAATATAGCGAATTCTTAGCGAATATTTCACTAATGGTGGCTAAAGTCTCAGTCGCAATTTATCTTATCAAACAAACACCACCGAGCATTTCAAGCTATGACTTTGTCAGATTCCTTCAGAATCAGTATAAAAGAAGGGAGGAGGAGAAAGAAGCACTTATTAATTATTACTTCTCAAATATACAGCAGCCAAGTGACCATGATTCAAAGTGTGGGATCAGACTTAAATATGAAACTAAAACAACAGGTGACATACTAATAACCTAACTGTAAACTCTAAAATTATTCCTTTTACAGACCGTGACACCTACACAACTTTTAATTCAAGTCAATTAAAAATGATTAAGTTCAGTTTGCAGAATATAACGGTATTTCCTAGGAATCAAGCAGTAAATCAAATGAAATTTTTTTTACAAGGAATTTTCTTTTCATCCTACAATATACTTTTTCATGCTTTTAAAGAAAATTGTACGGAGGGATTGATTACTTCAAGGAAAATGAATACCTTCATCAGTATGAAGGAAGACGCGGAATACACGTTTCGTTTATGGATTAAGAAGACAATGGAGTTGTTAAACGAAAGCCCGGATAGCGTGATTCAATGTCTTGAAATGCTGAGATATTTTATCATTCTCGAAGATGTGTCTCAAGAAACATATAGTGATCTTTGGGATTCAGCAAAACTTGAGTTCAATTTAATTCTTTCTAGTTCGTTCAAAGCCTATTTAAACACATTATGTCGTACTGCTATTATCCAATTCACTACTGAGTTTATGAATAGTATATTTGAAAAGCTTCTTAAAAATTTTCAGACATTGTTTTCAAGTCAAGGGAAATTACTGTTCTTGCAAGCTAGCAAATGTGCCCGTATCATATGCCTCTCCATAAATCTTTTAAAATCGTTTAGTGATGATGATCAAATATTTGACAGAATACAAGCCTTGCATTGGGTACAGACTTTAGATAGATGCCTTAAGTTACAACAATCATCGAATAATCAGACAGAAAGATTTCCAACTGTTCAACTTACTGGACTAATGTTTACCATATTTGTTTTAAAAAATAAAATTATAAAACATACTGTAAAGTCTTAATAAAGATCCATATTACAATGTATAATGTGTACTTAATCAATTCTGTTTCTTAAACTATTTATTCCTGCAATAATAATATAACTTTATATTTTTGATAAATTAAATAAACAGACCACTTTGTAGTAACTTAGTTTCTCAGGTAATTTACGTCGCTTATCGGTAAGCGTTAAAAATAAGACTTCTAGACTGATGAGGAGAAGTCACGACAAGAACTATAAGCATTTCGTTTTTTTCTCTACAAAAGCTTCACATTAAACTTTTTGAAAAGATATTACCTACAATGTAGAGCAAAATCTTTATTTAACATTGGGACTTTAATATAAATAATCGTTTTAAGAAGACTAATAATATGCTCAGTATTGCCGAGTAATTTCTTTACAGAAAATTGAAGTCTCATATCAATTAATAGGATAACCAACAAAAAACGGAAGGTTTTGAGATGACGAAGATCTGAAGCCCAGGTGCATACTTTTTGTATCTTAATATGAGCACCATATACTAAAAGCCTTTTTATTATTCTTTTTTTGATGATTTAGTTTTTTGGCCTTGGCATTTAAAAAGTGAGGGTTTCATCATCTAATAAAATGAAGGTCGATAAGAGAAGCTGTTATTTATGCGTAGAGAAATTCGTGAAACTACTTCTATTCGAAGTTTGTGTGGGTGATGTTGTTTATTAGGCTGGAGGTAGCTTTACGATGAAGCCATCCAGTTTAGCAAAGGGAAAGTTTATCGAAATAAAGGTTTTTCGCAGGAAGCCTATTGGCTTAAATACATTTTCATATTTAAATACAAATTGCTGTCTACACTTTGTCTGAATAACAAGAATGAATAACTAAGTTAATTCTCCACCGGCACTAGATATTGATATTGTCCATGAATGAATATTTTTTATTTAAATGAGGTAAAAGCTAATGGAATTCTGGTTAACTTATCAATCACTTCTATGTGATTCTTTATCGTATAATTTTTATCGATATGTATGGTGCAGTATATAGTCTTAGTTACAAACAATCTTACTCTATCTGTTAGCAATTTCATAGACTTATCAAAAGTAAGGATGGAAATATATCAATTTTCTCTGCCAGTCAGTCTTAAACAACACAAAGCCCAGCGTAAATTCAAGTTAACGCAAGCTACCGCACCCCAATTTGATTGTGAGTTTCAATGATAAAGCATTCTTTATTTGACATTCAATACTGCTGAATGATAAAAATTAATTTTAAAAATGAACATATCATCTTTTCTGTAATTTTCACTTTACGCAAAGAGCATTCGCGTTTTTGATTGGAGTCATATCGCAAACTCACTATGTGAAAATTTAAAAGCCATAACTCAAAACAAGGGACACTCATTAAATTCAATTGTTCTCTTTATAATGACGTGAAATGATCAGTCTTATTTGTAAATAATAAGTAAAATTTGACTGAGGTGGGTACGGATTGAGATAGCGATGACTTAGAAGTTGAAAATCTTAATTACTTATCCACTAGAAATTGTGGGAGAAAACTCTTCAAGCGACCAACAACTATCACTAAGTTTTGAGGCTGCAGACGTCAGATCCAGATGGATGTTTTTTGACAACCTGAAAAATGTGAGCACAAAAGGTAAGTATAAGAATAAAATCTGAAGGGCAACTTGAGGCCATTTTAATTAAATTTATATGATGAAAAGTACATTGTGAAATATATTCGCCTATATTAATGTTGAAACAGCAGTATTACAAATACACTTATACACATTTTACATTTAAACTAGATTATAAAACTAAATAATAAAATAGTACGATAAAAGCTTTCTTGAAACTGTTATGTAAAGGGGGTAGCATAAAATATGGAATTTAAAAAAAACATCCGAATTTACTTGTGGTAGTTGTAAAGCATATGATCTGAATTCGTAAGCCCATGACATGAAAAATAACGTGATAGTAAATCCCGCAGCCCACTCAAAACTAGTGCTGCACAGATAAAATAAAAAACCCTGAAAGTAAAAACATACAGACGTTAAACATTACCCCAAACAATGTTTGAATAATACGTTCTCCTGTAATTATCTAGTTATTTGAACCTTATCATATTGGAAATTTAGCATTCGAACCAAAAAACAAACGATCTTGAGATTCTACGATATTTTTTTGATTAAAAAAAAATTTATATATAATTTTCAAACCAACATCCTATAACTATGTTTGATAAGTCAAATAACAAAAATTATTTGAAAACTTCCGACGGTAAACAGTAACTTTGACAAATATTAAAATATTACCTTGAAGTAAAACTGATGAATCTAAGCATCAACGGAACTAGATATACTATCATTGACTAATGCTGCATTTTGTTTATCGTAAGTTGCTACAGACAATCTAATACACCGAAATGTGAGTTTATTCAACTTCATAGCATAAGATCACGATATTTTGAAGAAACCTAGAAATTTAAACCAGATAAAAACATTTGCCTTTGTTTCTTTTGACTTTGGTATAAAGTGCGATAAGAACTGAATCAAAGTGAATGATGACTCAATAACACACATTTCAAAGTTTCTGACAGAAACATATACCATTGATGAAATGGTGATATTATTGAATACAGTCACATTACATATTGAACAGTTGTTTATCGCAAAGTCTTTGCAGGTTGTGAAATAAATGGAGAGGAAAATTATTCAGTCAGTCAGCAACAATGTAGAACTTATTATATAGGCACATCAGTTCAAACTGCCATACCAAATTAGCACAGACAGATGGAATTGTCAATTCAAATCCCATTATTGTGATGTAGTAGAAGTAATAGTGGAATGTGAGAAGACTGGGGTTCGGAGATATTATTCAGGAAGTATGATCCAGTGAAATGAACTTAAAAAGAGAAAGAAAAAAGTGATTAGGAATTGAGAGACGACGAGGAATGGGTGCATCTGCGCCACTGCAAACCATTTTGAGACTTGTCATTCAAAGTTCCAAACCATCGGTTACTATCATCCAGCCAAACTCACCAGGTAATCTACATCTACCAACATGGCTCATGCAGTTGTCAATGATTTCATGGATTTGTGTCATGTTTTGGTCTGGCCGCCCATAGCTTTCTTTCAGCCTTCTCCTACATCAGACAACATCTCTCATCGAGTAGTCGGTGGTTGGGAATTCGTAACACATGTCCCAACCAAGTCAACTGATGAACATTCACTACTTCATCAATGGATCTGCCACCATTACCTAGTACCCTTTTCCTAACAACTGCATTGCTTACTCCATGGTCCTAGGATATATGAGCAATGTTTCGAAGACACTTATGATCGAATACAAGTAACCTACAAATAATCTCTTTTCTTAGTAGCCATAGTTTACCTCACTGTTGCTCCCAAAGCTTGTCAGATATTATTCCGAACAGCGTTGAGAAGGGCATCACTTACACGGCCGCTAAATTTTTTTTATTTACTCCTGAAATAAATTCTTGGCTTTCTTATTGTTAAGGAGAACTCTAAGGCGCAAAAAATGAGTGATCGTACTAGAGCATGATCTGAATCTAAAGATGTACCCCAGAACGAGCGACAGTCCTTTATTGAACCCCTCCATCGGTGGATGATGGCGATGTGATCTAGTTAGGTCAAACGTTGTGACGACTTTGGGGGTCGCCAGGTCAAAAGATATTTTCCCCTTATGCCTAAAATTATTGTTTGCTAGAAATAGGCGGTTATCTGAGCATAGCTACTGCAGACGGTCGCCATTTTCTGTCCTCTGAGCCGCGACATCATAATATCCACCCACTTGTCTTTCCTGCTCACTTAGCCTACCTACTTGAGCATTAAAGTCACCAGCCATTATTACTACATCAGAGCGCCTAACCTTTAGGAGGAGGTCCGAAAGCTTTCTGTAGAATTCATTTTTCACCTCGCCTGAACTGCAGTCAGTTGGAGCGTAGGCAGAGACAACGAACAGGCAACGGCGAGTGTCCCTATCTTTCCGAATCTTTACTGTCCAATTTAGTCGGACAGCGCATAAGCGAATATCTACTGGGATCCGGTCTAGGAAAGCTAGTTCAGCCCTACGACTCAATGCTATACCTACCCCAGCGAGACCGCTGGAAGCAGCATCTGCGTGAGGGGACAGATAAATGGGGGAATAGTTGGTCGTGAAGATAAGGGAGTTATTAGGAGGTGTAGTAAGAATTTGATTGTGACTAATTGGGTCTCGTGTACTGTAACGGGTTGGTTATCGCGATAAGCAATATCAACAACCACGTCAAGGTAGCAGCAACGGTTGGGAAAGGAAATTTTTTATTGTGAAACGAAGTGAATGAGAGAATCACTCACCACTAGGAAGCACTGAACAGTCGTTGGTATATAGAATATAAGATTGAAGTGTACAACCACTGAGGTATGATGAAAATATCAGGAACAAATCAATAATTTTTACAAAATGGAGGGAGCCTACCATGAGTGATAAAACAAATGCTCACATCAACTACATATGTTTAAGCCTAACTAATAATCAGTACATTTTGCAAATTTCTCTAGTATATACTCATAAATACGCAATATTATGCAATTTCGTGAAAATGAAATAAAAACTTACACCTTGTGCAGGATGCCTATATGTCAAAGATTCTTCTTGTGTACCGTTGAAATTTACTCTGGAAATTGTATGACATATCGAAACTAAAACCGAAAGTTTGAAAGTAGTCGAGTAAAATATCATCGAAATTAAGTAGATGAAATCGTTTATTCGCGGATTATATTTGAGAAAGATCGTGCAATTTCACTTATCGACTGAAACGAATATGAAGACAGCTGAATTACGACACAATGGCTTGACAGAATAGCACCTTACCACTTATTCATTATGCTAGCTTTAATGATTAGTCGTTTAAATTATGCGCTAATAGTATTGTATATTTGTATTGTATAGTATATTTGACTGTGTATGTGCATGCTCACTCGCTGATTACATGTCTAGCCTATTATTTCCTGACGATAAATACTTATCCATGCTTTATCGTAGACAGCTGGCTCACTCATCATCTCCGATTCGCTTCGCTATGCTTTGCTGGTACACTTTTAAATCTCAAATCTTTTTGTGCGAATGAACGCATGAAATAAATTTATCCGCAAAACCGTATTCGGTTTTTTATTACCACCATTGCACAAACGGCGTTTGCCTAATTACAATATACGGAAGTGGAAAAAAAGATTTACTTCATAGCATAATCGATCATTCATTCAAACTGGAGTCAAATCTAGGGCCAGTAAATTGGTCAGCCCTATTTCGAATTTAACACAGCCACTAAACTAGTAGCATGTTAGCTGTGAGATCTGAAGTTCGTAGATGGAAATCTTAATAAATTTATTGGTGAGCATTTTTAAGGAATTCAAAAGTAGGTTGCAATAGAAGTTCGATGGGTTCCAATCCGAGGTATATTTCAATCGATAAGAAAATAATTGTCTTATTTCCTGGAATTTAAAACATTAACCTTTTCCATACTATTAAATAAGGCGATGGTAAGACGAAAGAGAGTATATTGAAATGACAAAGTTAGAAAAGAAAAGGTAACTAAATTACCACTCAGGAATCGATTGATTCACATCAAGTAAAGTAAACTAAATGACCTTTTTGTATACTCTCTTTGCCTTTACAAACCTTGACTATCTTGCAAAGTTCTGCATACCTATTATCGAAATTTGTCCAGTCCTACGTTTAATAGTTTTGAACAAAGAATATGGTTAGAATTATTGTTCAGGGCATTTGAGGTAGTTACTTTGTGACGAACAATTGTAATTGTCTTGTCCTTTAGTAATGGTTTTTTTAGAAGTTATATCTGAGATTCTATGATAAAGTTGTTCACCGTCAAATTATTTATATTCATACTATTGATACAGCATTTTGATTACGTCATCTTTTTAAACAAGTATATGTGCTTATTAAATGAAACGATAAGTTTTAATGGAGAACATTCTTTCAATTGACTCTAATTTACTAGAGGATATGAATAACTAAGATAGCAAACAATAGTCACTTTGTAGCGTTCCATCAACTGGTTCGATTGATTAGTCATTTATTTATTTCCTGGTATAAAACACTATGGTTGTATTAGTGAAACATACATTGATAGGACAAATGAATGATGAAATTGGTAATCGAAAACTGAGAAGGATAAAGACTGCTTAGAGATGTTTGGGAATAAATCACTGATTTTGAGCACCTGTTCGTAGTCACAAAGGAGGGGAATCTTGTACCTAAAGCTATAGATTTTAGAAAAACAAATGGCTAAACAGAAAAACTAGTTTTATGTCAAAAATTGATTGTTTCACTTTCCTGTAAAAGTTTTTTACGTATACTCTTGGTATGTTTAGTGACTTACAAAGACTTGACGTTATTGCTGCCACAATTCCTAATAGAAGTCTAAAAATCCATATGCACCAATGTGTTCCAAGGTAACGTTTGCTAACTATGGCACATAAAATGATATAAACAGTTGTGCCGAAAAAAGCCATTCCAGCACCAATGTCATGAACTAATTCAACGTTAACTTGCTGAAAATATGAACGACAAAACAACACGAATAAATTTTACGAATATAAGAATACAGGGTTAAATATTCATGAGAAATAAAAATTTTTTGCCTCAAACGTCAACGCATTATTCACTTAACTATTGAATACTCTTAGCCTCTCATTTGGGAAACGGACAGGAATTTGAAATCAATTTTTAATGGTTTCGATTGTCTCACACGTCTTAGAATGCTTTCATTGCCAAATACCATCATCTCTTATACACAAACTTGTGTCATAATGGTTATATCGAGGCAATCCGCACAGCATGCACAAATACCGATCGAGGCTGATTAAATTCCAGTCAATATATTGATTTCGAGATAATCAGAATCATTACTGTTAAATTAAAATTTATTTTACTTTTAACCGGTTTTGAAGTACAAACTACAAAGTATGTAAAATAATAGCTAAGGCCAGTTTTCTTGCACAGTTGACAGGCCGTAATCTTACTTCACCATTGTGGAGATGAAGACATTGTTAGTACAAGTTTCTTAGGGAGGCATCTACGAGATGAATAAAGAGTCAATCGAGAAGTGACAGTAAAACCAGTGACGACTTTTATTTTCAATACTGTTTACCAAGAAACAGAGTTAGTTCCGTGTTTTATTAGGGGTGCTAGAGAAAAAAATCTCATTGGATAGTGATTATTGCAACGAAACGCACATATTATATTATTTGAAAAATTGTGCTGACATTTTGTAATTGATCTTATCATTAGCATATAAAAAAGAAATAATATTCCGGTTACAAACCAAACGAAAAAGTGTAATTTGTTTAACTTTTCGGTAAAATTGACGAGCCATTTTTTATATATCCTTCACGAAACACGGTCACAAGTTCGATGCCCAGTTGAGAGGTAGATGCGTCTAGCTGAGGATTCTCATACTAGGACGAGATAGATACATGGAGTTTGGGGATTTTTTAATAGTTTTCTAAATAAGGATATTTCGAGATGAAAATTGCAAATCACATTCAAGATATTCGATATTGATATGTTATTTGCATTTTTACTGGTTGGTTTTTTAGATTTTTCGTGAAAATTGTTAAGATTCACTTTACTTTTCACAGTTGTACAGTCATTACTTAGACATGTAAGATAAAAATGGTGCTTTATAAAAGATAAATCAATTATCGAAAAAATCTTTTAGGCTCATACTTTTAATTTTTCAGCTGATCGGAAGTTATGCAGTATTTGGTTGAATGATCAACACTAATGAATGTAGACTTTAATATTGAATAAATGGCAGAATCTGACTGATGAGTATGAATAACCAAAGAAGCGGATGTTTATACAATTAAAGAATCGGTTGAAATAAATTATGAAATTGATGATCCAAACGTTTTGTTAAAACTAAGCTTTTAAATCAACGAATTTCATGACGAGATTTGGATTCAGGGATTCATTTTTGTACTTTTGTTTCATCATTATGTACTGGAGTTTGACATTTTTCCAAACATAAATTTAGAAGACAGGCTGCAGCCAATAATGAGAATTGTAACTGCATTATGTATAAATATACACATGTATATTTGCATTATGGGTTTGTGAAGACTGTTAAGTTTCACATTTGAAATCATGAGTCGATCAAAGTTAGACCGCTATTAGAAACCTGGAAGCACTGGACGGCCGTTTCATCCTGGTATGGGACTCACCAGCGGTGCGCATCCACGACTCCTGCACCTCACAGGATTTGAACCCAGGACCTTCGATCTTGCACACGAACGCCTAACCTCCAGACCACTGAGCCGATATCTAACGGTGTTAATGTCTAACTTCGATCAATTCATGGAGTTGCGCATCTCATACACTGTCTTCGGTAGTTACTGTCTACACCCGAACAGGCTGAACTTCACTCGATTCATGATTTCAAATGTGTAACAGAATAATCTTCACAACCCTGTAATGCAATGTTCACTAGTGACTAGTTCCGTGAGGAATCTTCTGCGAGTTCTAGTGGGAAGTCGTGACCAGTGAAGTTCAACCTGTTCGGGTGTAGACAGTAACTACCGAAGACAGTGTATGAGATGCGCAACTCCATGAATTGATCGAAGTTAGACATTAACACCGTTAGATATCGGCTCAGTGGTCTGGAGGTAAGGCGTTCGTGTGCAAGATCGAAGGTCCTGGGTTCAAATCCTGTGAGTTGCAGGAGTCGTGGATGCGCACCGCTGGTGATGCCCATACCAGGATGAAACGGCCGTCCAGTGCTTCCAGGTTTCTAATAGCGGTCTAACTTTGATCGACTCATGATTTCAAATATATATATATATATATATATATATATATATATATATATATATATATATATATATATATATATATATATATACTACAGATATATGTAATACGGACAGATTCAACTGTGTGAACTTACTTGAAAATTCCCAACCAACGTTAAACCAATTGAAGCTAATAGAGATAACGAAAGCATAAATTGAAGAAGACAATTTGGTTGATGTATGCCCATAAATTTTGTTCTTTCTAATGCAATTAAATGCCATAAAAAGGAGCATATCAAACCTGTAGAAGTGAAAAAACCAAGTGGCGTAGTTAGAATAAAAGTGAACATCTGTTTTTCATTTAATCATATTGTCAAATATAAAGATTTCTCCAGGTTTCCGTTTTCATTAGTCAAATTAGAATAATCTCTTTAAACTATTAAACAAAGAAAAACACTAATTAAGTATCTCAGAGTATTTAATCGTTGTATTATAATTGGTTAAATACACTAGATTGAAATTCTAACAAATTTTTCAGGTTGAAGCATTTTATTTTTAAGTGGATAGATTTTATTCACAAAGCTTTGTAAATGCGATTTTACACATGAATGCTAATGGCCTACAGACAAAAATCAGTCAAAATAAAATGATTTCATCTAGAAATAAGAGAAAATTGATTTTCATTGGAATGCAAATAAATCATAATTTGTTGTTTCACAACGTGTCATGTCAACATAGCATGTATGATGGTTTTATTAGTTCGCTTAATGAAATATGTCATTCGTCACATGATGAAAACTGATGTTTAAATAATTAGATAATTTTAGGTGGGGAATAATATTTTCGTAAGGTTTCTACAATGCACAAAGCTTTTTAAAAGACAGAAGAATTATTACCTAGTTAAAAAATTAAATAACAAAATCTACATTCAGAAAAATCTTTCATGTAAACGTTCCGAAACAAACATAATCATACAAAAATCATGCATAAAAATTATAGATCGTATTACTACAAATAAATATTTAAATCACACTAGTTTACATAAATACAATCTGTCAGTGAGTCAGCAACAATGTAGAACTTATCATGTACGCACATCAGTTCAAGTTGCCATACCAAATTAGCACAGACAGATGGAATCGTCAATTCAAATCCCATTATGGTGATGTAGTAGAAGTAATAGTGGACAGTGGGAAGATTGGGTTCGGAGATATTATTCAAGAAGTATGATCCAGTGAAATAAACTTAAAAAGAGAAAGAAAAAAGTGATTAGGAATTCAGAAGATTAGGATTTGAGAGACGACAAAGAATGGGTGCATCTGTGCTCGTGCTCATTCTGAAAGAGTTTCGCATTATCAAGTAAATTGATGAACTGGCTATATAAAAGGGCAACAATAGCGTTGTCATGGAACCCTTACAACTTACAAATACATATAAACGAACTGCGAGTCAGTGGTCAAATTTAACCACAGAAAACATATAATAGAGTTTTATGGAATTTCTATTCCCCATTATCAACGGAGATGTTTGAACTTTGATGCCTGTGAAACGCCTACATTTAGCTTTGTTTTAAAAGGGAAAATTAATTTAAAGAAATTCATTTTTATTAAATAACTATTTTTTTAATTTTATATTTGTTTACAGGTTCTGTACATATAAAAGGTTGTGTTCAACCGACAAAATGAAGGAAGAATAGTATACATTGAATAGTGCCTTATCAAAAGAATGAATGTTTAAAAGAAGAAGTATGATGAATAGATGTTATTTTCGCTTTGTTTGAATATTAGTGTTCGTTGATTAATACATCCCACATAATATAGAATATGAATCAATGTTCAAATTTGTAATATAATCCATTAATTTAAAAACCATGTATTTGATAAATAGTGTCATCCCACAAAACTAAAGAGAAGCCATTTGCCGTTAAACAACCATGAATTATTTTATTTCATAATACAGAGTATTGGAATCAAATTGTCATTTGTAATAACGATAATAGAGAGAAATGTCAGTTGGCTTTGGTATTTCACACAAGTAAATTATTTGGGGTCTGTGTCACAACAAGCTTCTTTCTAGCTAAGTTACATCGTTTATAAAGTTTCGTTGAATCAATCTCACTTATCCGAAACACTAATAATCAAGTTGGTAGATACTGTGTATTTTAAAAAAGTAGCCATGACAACCTACTGGAATTAACTGACCTGATTCACTTTCTCGTGTAAACTTTTATGATTGTTTAATACGCATTTAAACTACTTCGATTGAATAAGTAATGAAAAATCATGCATGAAACCAGCATTCCGGACTACAACAATTATCTTATTTGAAAATCCATTGATAAGTGAAAGTTTTCTGGGACTTTTGACACTCAAGAATAAAATTTATCAAGCTCTGCAGGCATATGAACTGTTCAAATGAATCACTTGATATCTTTTGTACTTAGAAGTGGATTATATTTATCAGACAGACTCAGAATTAGAATGTATTCCTCCTAAAACCAATGATTTACTACTTTTTAACGGATATAACGTTATTAAATGCAACTGAGTTAAAATCACTTTCCAACATAAGTCCCTTACGATTTAATAGTGAACTTAAAGTTTATTTTCTGATTGATAATGACTAAATGATTGACCAGATGAATGTAATGTTCTAAATAAGTCTAATACTGCTAACTCTCAATTGCATCAAATGATTACTTCACAATAACAGAAAGTTGTCAGTAAATTCTAGGTAAATATGTATCTAAAAATATAAGTAGAGTACACGAATACATACCGCCATTTATAAATCACGTTTAATGTAAATAAAAAAAAATTTTATTCTGCAAGAAATATCCCAAACATGTATGAAGATGTTTGAAGCACCAAGTAAAATCTCTTGTAAGTTGGTAGTTTTACGAATTAGTCTTTGTTTAGTGAAAAGATGTAACTGGATGATTAATTTAAAAGTTCTGTTTACCTTGAGACTTCTGTTAACTTGTATGGTTCCCGTGATTTTCAGAAAAAATATAAAATTTTACGTTAGACTGAATATTGGAATAGTTTACATTCAAAAAAACCGTTTGACACATGAAGAAAGCATTTTGTTTTAATTAGTCTTACTATGACTGTGATAATAATAATAAGTTTATCAGTAATAACAATAATAATCATAATTGTAATATAGTGTATTCAACTTAATCGTCCACTTCAATCGATTAGTGATGGGTTTGAGATTTTACTTAAAAGCAAACATATATACAGTACTTGATGCGTTAAATAGACTGAATATACACATAAAATTAATAAATGTTGATCTAATATTTCTGTAGTCTATTTTGAATCACTTGATCATTCAATGTAAACAATCATTTCATTTGTTTAAATGATTTTGGATGGGTAATCACAGTATTCACTAAAATTGTACGTAAACACGGAACTGTATTTAAACGATTTTTTTGCATTTCCTAAGCAAGGTTTTTCAAGGTTGTATTTCAATATTAAATTTTTAGTATAAAATGAATTTGTTTATGCATATTAACAGATCAGATGACAACTCAAAATTCAATCCATACGTTTTTAGGAACCTAAGTATGAATGTTTTTTTTTTTTTTTTTTTTTTTTTTTTTTTTTTTTTTTTTTTTAATAGACAGCTGCACCCACTTTTTTTTTTTTTTTTTTTTTTTTTTTTTTTTTTTTTTTTTTTTTTTTTTTTTTTTTTTTTTTTTTTTTTTTTTTTTTTTTTTTTTTTTTTTTTTTTTTTTTTTTTTTTTTTTTTTTTTTTTTTTTTTTTTTTTTTTTTTTTTTTTTTTTTTTTTTTTTTTTTTTTTTTTTTTTTTTTTTTTTTTTTTTTTTTTTTTTTTTTTTTTTTTTTTTTTTTTTTTTTTTTTTTTTTTTTTTTTTTTTTTTTTTTTTTTTTTTTTTTTTTTTTTTTTTTTTTTTTTTTTTTTTTTTTTTTTTTTTTTTTTTTTTTTTTTTTTTTTTTTTTTTTTTTTTTTTTTTTTTTTTTTTTTTTTTTTTTTTTTTTTTTTTTTTTTTTTTTTTTTTTTTTTTTTTTTTTTTTTTTTTTTTTTTTTTTTTTTTTTTTCAAGTATGAATGATGAAAAATGACTTGTTTTCCACCGTATTCACCACAAAATAAGCCCAGTGCAAATTAACAACACTCATATTATCATAAAAAGGTCTTAAACAAAATTTTCTCTATAACTTTCTCTGTTTAGTAGATATAATATTGATATGTTAATCTCCAGTCTCGATTTCATTTCTGGTTCAGTCATTATTTCTAATCCTATTTTACTTTTCAACTTGAATAGCTTTTCTAGAACTATGATTAAACTATAGATAGTTTTTTATCGAGTATGGTTTTTGGATAGAATTATGAAATTCAAACTTACTAATAAAAGCGGCCAAGTTTAATCCCTCACCAAATACACAGCTTTCCGGTGGATAGGCACCTGTAGAGCTGAAAAACGTTGGAAATCTATTTTAAAACAGTTTCTTGATGGTTTAACTATGCTGATTAAGATATACGTGCTTGAATTAGTTCACATGTACATTTAACCAATACCATATTGTTATTGAAAGTTAAAGAAGAGAAACAGATATTTATTTGCGGAAAAAAGCTAGATATTTAAGCTAAACCGTGAGAAACGACTTCATTACACTTTTTCACTTTATGATGTGACACCTAATGTATGTTATGGACAAACTATATTCACGAACCATTTAAAAACATAAACTTAGATGAAGTCAAATGAAATTGATATTCAAATCAACAACTTGAAATAAAGCTTAGTGATTCAAATGTCAAGCCTCAGAAATGTTCAAAAGACTGATATTAATTACAATTGATAATAAAGACACACACAATGTTTGCCATTTAGTTGAGGAGGAAGACAGGCTTACACTAAGTATCATCAATTTAAATAAAAAGCCCAAATCTTCAAAAGAATCAGTTACTTTCGAGTCAAGACAGATGATCTGCTTATATAACCATATTGAATATACAACAGATGCCTATATTTCAAAGAATATGATGCCGAATATCTTGGAAAGAAAATTCCTCACAGAAGACATGAGAACCGTGTTTTGCAGTTGGCTTGTATTTACAACAAACTTCCAAATCTGACCTTTTTTGAGTTTATTCACTAATTCGCATGTTCTTGATGGTCTAGATATCCTGATCTTTTGATGATAAGTTCTCACAAGGCGATCCAGAGAATTAACTTGCATCGGGTAGTAAGGGAGAACAGTCGATAAATTAAAAGTGTGATAATATAACTCTAGGTCAACCACAGACATTAAATCAAAACAAACTTCACGTTAATAGTATTTGAAGAAAGTAAAAAGCCTGTACAATACAGTATTTTTCATTTTCGTTTCAGTGCTGCAGTTTTTGATAAACAAATAAAAAAAACACAAACTGAGTGTACAAAAGAAACTTTTAAATTTTCCATTTATTCTCAGCCTGACCAAAGGTTCTCTAATTTTTATTTATACATCGTTATCTCTTTTTCTCGTTAAGACAACCGTAATGTCCAAATTTTGCTCCTAAGAGATTTACCATCATTTTCGTATCCTTTGATTGACATACCCGATCTGAACTTTTGATATTATTAATATATTACTTCAAGTCTATTATCTTTCTTGCTATGTCCTATTCATGGTTTATCGCACATACCATCATTTTAAAATGATATATGTAGCTATGGAAATTATATTCTTGGAAGTAAATCTCTCTTATGAACAATATTCTCGTATCCACGTCTATGTTTATAGTTTACTTACAAACACGGTTGCAGTTCATTAGAAGAATGACGGTTACAAATAAAAAAGCTTCATTCCACACTTAGTTTGAATGCCTAATTAACTTATGACAAGAGTAAACTTGGGTACGTTAGCGTTTCCGAACATTTACTCCTAGGTTCTAGGTGCCTTCATCGTTTCCACATTACCGACTCTAATTGCTCATGATTCTACATACCTCAGTATTCCATTAGTGAGTAAAGATCAGCAAATTACTTTTGTTCACGAAGCAGTCTATCTTTTAGGTTAATAACTGATCAGAAACCTAGTGTAATGTGTGTACTAATATGTTGAGCTGACAGGTCATGTCCTAGCTTCCAGGCAAATCAAATAACCTTTTCTTCACGAGTCATTATTGTCACATATTTCGACCTTGTCAACCATTCACTCATACATCAGTTGTTTTTATCTGAGTGTGTGTACATGCTTACTTCCCTTATTACTTATCTAGCTTATTTTGTCTGACGATAAATATCTAGTCACGCCTTGTTATAAATTTCTATTAGTAAACACAGCTATTCCTATTGCTTAATATTTTTCTGACAACAATACACTTGACAGGTCCCCAAATCTGAACACGGTTGAACAGGAAAAAGACCATATTACAAATAGCAAGGTTAAATAGAAGTAAGAAGCCGAAGAGAAAGCGAATAGGAACAACGTTATAGTTTTTACATCAGAAGCTTCTGGAATGTACTCCACGTGATCGACTAGCGCTGATCAGATTAGATTTAGCCAATCAGCGCGCAGCTAACGCAGTCACGTTTTAATCCATCTTTGTCCCACTAACACGCCTCATTTAATTAAGCTGGCAGACTCGCCTTTTCCGCTTCATTCTGCCTTGCTTGAGCGCTTTCTATTCTCACATACATTCGCATGAACGATTGCTTGAATTGAACTCATCCAACTGAATCACTACTTGTTTTCTTATTACCGCCATCGCAGAAACGTGGTCGGCCTAACTATGATATATGGAAATTGAGGAGAAGATTTATTTCATCGCACATTCGATCATCCGTATAAGTTGGAGTCAGATCCCGAGCCACTAAAGTGGTTAGCCCTACCACGAATTCAACGATGCTAAACTAGCTTACTGTAAATTGTCTTATCGAACGAACCATATTATCAGTTGCAGGAAAAAAGTTAATCAGATTTTAAATTCGGCGTTACTTCAAACTTATTATTAATTATTGCTGATTTGTGAATTATTTGACTTTGATTAAATTTTGGATAAAAACTTAACTTTCACTACTTGCATAACTCCATTGTTTAGGTATCCCATAATTTGAAAATTACAAACCACTCACTGAGCCACGTTTTTACTATTTTTAGGAAAAGTAAAGAGTCCTAGATTGTTGCTGATTGTGCAAGGAAGTAAATGAAATATAATATGGTAACATTCCAATAAAACCAGCACGAACTCACTTACCTGATAAATGGCAGTTCCGCATTCACATGCCCTCTTTGGATGGAAACCAGATATCTAAATTGAAGTAGAAAAAAATTGCACTATACGACAAAAATTATTGGATTGAATTCTGTTAGAAAATCACTTGCGAAATGCTAGTTTTTATCAAACATTAATACAGTTAAGAGATTACATTTCCAAGTTATTTTACTACCTACTAAATGAAGAACGTACGAGAAATGCACCTAGTATTATTATTTAGGTACTCGTCCAGGGACTTATTCGATATGTACACTCACAGGATTCACAAAACGTCAAGCTACATGCACTGTAAAGATCTAGATCAGTAACTTATATTTTTATCTCGTCAGAAGTAAGAAGTAAAATGTGGCATATATCTAGGTATAGAGTGAACTCAAAACTGAATATTTGAATAAATTTATGAAGTCATCATAAAGACGTCATACGTAAGTAGGTTTAGAGCTATCTATAATATTTATTGGGATAATTTGTGACCGCTCTTAGAATACTCGAGAGGGGGGGCATTCATTAAAAAAACTTATTTTCTTTCTGAAGATGACAGACACTCAGAAACTAGCAAATGGTACAAGTAAAGAGACTAGTTATGTTTTTATAAAACAGAGATACAATAATATTTGTATATTATTCATGAAATATACTATGTTGTTAAGTATTCTGAAGTATAAAAGAACATTCAAATTTTTCTAGTTCCTTTCAGTTATGAAACATTAAAAGCATGCTTAAATACACTTAAGTTAACGGCCCGAACAAATCTTTTGTTGAAACGACTGAATCACAGGCAATAACTTTAGCTACTTCACAAGTGACAAACTTGCCCTCCATTACTTTATTTCAAATAATTTGCACCTCACTTTATGGATATTATAAATTAGCGATTTACCAAACCTTAAGTTAGTTCTACAAACTTTCAGAATATTATTCCAATGATAAACTACTTCCTCATCTCTTCTTTTAATCTGCGCAACACAGTACATACGTAAGTTAGACCATACTGATGAATTCAAAATATATCTTCTTTTAGGGTGAATTCGATGTGTATGGATTTCAAAAGAAACCAATAAATTTAAAACATTAGGGAAGCACCTCACCAAAAATCCCATCTCTTCATGAACTAACAAGAAACCGACCATAAAGTCGCTATAAATAAAGTATAACAGTAATCATTTCGTGCAAATGAATGATGAATGACTTATAAATGTATTACATAGCTCCTGAAGCAGTAAAAACAGCGATCAACTTACGTTATTAAAACTGTGCAACTCATAATCAATGCCAGTAAAAGTGCGATCCATTGTAGACCAATATGCGAACATGCGACAAACATATCGCTGATTTCTTTATATTTGCTATTTATGACCTGGAATATATCAGAATGCTATAGAATTTTACGGTGATTTTTACTGAAAACAGTATCTATGTTTTGGTCATTTCTATCGTTTGCCATGCCAATTAATTCCGAAAGAAATCTTGCGAGTGAGATACAACTAATCTATTTTTGTCTATTGAAACACTACTTTACAGTGATCAATCCCTAACACTTTTCGGCAAATATAAGACACAATACCCTTATATAAACAGCATACACTCAAAATAAAAATTAACTGATATTTAAAAGGCGTTAAAATGAAACGTTTGGATTCTAACTATCAGATCTAGCGCCGTTTCACAATTTATGCCCAGATTAATTGTGGTACTTGTCCTAAATGACGACCGCTTTCTACATCGTTGTGCTTTTATCCACAAATTTAATATAATAAATGTACGTCTATTTGCGGGGTCCCCTTATATTCAGGTTCAGGTCTTTTAGTGGGTATTGGAATAAATTATGATCGGCTCTGGAATTTTCTATTAAATGAAATATATATAATTCTCCTTTTTATCCTGATAAGGCATATTCCTGACATCCATAAAAAGGATTGGGAAAAATGGACGATTCGGGACTTAAACATGAAAAATTAATTCCAACAGAGTCCACAACTCCGTCATAATAATAATGAAAGCCAGTAAATATTTTCATAATTTTATTTCGCACTGAAGTCCTTACAAAGATTAGCAATTTAAAAATAATAACAAAGAAATTTACGAACAACAAACAAAAGAGGCTAATTTATCAGGAATTTTTCAAATAAAATCGGCTAACATTAATTAAAGTATTAAACAAAGTCTAACTTCATAATGACGAAGTTATTCATGCGCAAATGAATGAGGAGAACGTGTTTAGTTTCATATGCAATATACATTTCACGAGCTAGTACAAACAAATTAACTTCTCTGCCCTAACTTCCTGTTGTTTCGGTACAGTGTTAAGTATTTGGTAATATCAAACAGATAGTAATCTAGCAATTTGACTGAACGGATTCTAGTCGGTTGGCAGTTACCTATGAATTTATATTTCCCGTGATTGGAAAGAGCGTGTTTGTCTCAGAGCAATAGGTATTTTAAATATCAGCAGGTTGTAGTACGGAGAATGATAAGAGAAACTTTAAGTGCTGATGAGATGTCAGAACTAAATAAACGATCGAAAAAGTTAACCAAATGGCAGTGAAGACTGTGTGGGAGGACTACAGTGTAAACAATAAAGAGGAAACAGACATAATAGGCGACATCAGATAAGTTAGTAATTTGAGGAAATGACAATGACAACGACGAGCAAGATTAAAGATACGCATTAGCCGCAGTGGGAGTGTATCAATGTGTGTGCTCTTTGATGTGAGATTTTTCGAGCGTTAAATCGAGGATTGTAGTGATGATGAACTGCCAGGGTGCTTCAGTTTGAGTAGTTAGGGATATTTAACGTTTCGTTCGCCATTATCAGACCACGTCTTATTCTCCTGTAACTCAGAAAGTATTATTCCATAATAGGCATATCGCGATAAAGTCTACTTTTTAAGCTTGTATCCCATTTATTTGCAATCACAAACATCATTCTCAGAAACCAGTAAAAACTGGTCAATCTCTCTTTGCTTGCTTCTTGTTGTTTTTGGTACGGTTATGGGTAATTGGTAATAGTAGCTCGTCTGTGACTACGTACCCAAACCCTGTTTGGCCACAAGATAAGGCAACATGAATTCCTTCAAAGATAAATTACCCGAGTTAAGGTGCATATCTTTAAAAGTCTGGAAGGGTGTACATAACATAACATGTTAGAGAAACAAGAGAAAAACAATGAGTTTACGAGTTAGTAGATTCATTGAGCACGCTTACATTAAATATTGAAAGCGATCAACAACTATTACCAATAACACAGGCTATAAATCAGAGAAACCTTTAAATTTAAACTATATGTAGTACAGTGGGAGTGAAGATGCATTACACCAGTTCAAATAACGGTCGCTACTTACTTTTCGCGCACACTGACCTTCAGTGGCAATGTCCAAATAGTTGTAGATGGGTTTAAAAAAATTAAAGGTCATCAGTGCCTTAAGTTAAGAAACTAAAAATTAAAAATTATGGATTGTGATGTGTATCAAGAGGGATAGAAAAGAAGTTGAATTAAGAAGCTGGATGTCTGTGCACTGAAGCCGAAAGTTCCGGAACATGGGTAAAGTTCGAGAAAAATTTTGATTAAATCTATGGTTCACTTTCCACCTTTTTTACATCAGATGCTAACTTCGAAGTCATACTGTAAGTACATGAGTAAATATGTTATAGGTTGTCCTGGTAAAATGACGACCGCGACAAATTATTGTCAACATGAATCCCAGACGTAGCACGAGTATAAGATCAACCTCAGTATCTGGGATTACCCTCCTCATCTGTCAAAAGGAGCCCAGATCTAACAAAATGTTCTCCCCCACAAAAATGGGCAAATCAAAGTCATTGATCTCACCATAAATGTTGACCTATATATGAAACTCTCTTACAGTACTCGTCTGAAAGTTTCAATCTGTTTTAGATGAATGGACGTGATGTGACAGCTGAAGGCACTAAGTCTGACTTTGAAGTCACGCAGTCTGACAATTGATTACCCCGACAAACCACAAAATTCTTGACTAAGTATTTACCTCCCATAATACTCTTAGTAAACATATGAAAGCTTGCTAGAAGGATAACATATCGCATAGAGAATGAGTCAGAGTATAGGACAACATTGGTGCATGTTCATCAACGCGCGTCAACCCCTATTAACTTGTAGAACTTTTACGTTTGGTCCTATGAAAACTAATTCATCAACTACTACGCATGAATTCATGAACTCGAAATTGAATCACTTTAAGAAAGAAGGCTTGAGTTCAGTCTGATCATATACTTCAAGCTCCTACACAGAATCATATGCACCTATTTTAGCGTTTTTTCTTTTCCCTTTCCCCAAAAAACTCCAACATTCTTCCGGATGACTGAAAATCTGTGTAAATTTTACTTGAAAAAGACATATTACTTACTAGGTTGATCGATACTGTTCATATGCATCTGACTTGTAAGAACGCACTCACTCAAACATCATCAGCTATTTAACTTTTACTGATCGCGCATAAACAGCCTGAAAAGACACCAACCCGTGTGGGTTTGTCAGGACCCTATCAACACCCAGAATTTGATGAGCTACTTACAGCCTATCATCAGTTTCAGTCTTCCTACATGCACTATATTGACTCGCCGAGGATTTCATTGCGTTATCTTTAGCCCCGTTTATACCTATTATACTCTTCACTTTCACAGTTACTTCATCAAACGTCCTTCCACCAATACATCATAAATGATAATAGTTTTTTTGAAAACTCCTGCTGTTTTCTCATAAATGCTAACTGTATTGCATGGATACTTAGCCCCTAGTTCACGATCTGTGACATTCAATCGGGCTTATAAAATGCGGCTGACATAAATAATGTTTCCCAACCAAATGTGAAGTTCAGCTCCTCGATAAGAATATAAAATATTATCTTACATCTATTTTAAGTGGAACTAACCATACTCAGATTTAAAGGGTGGATCCACCAACCGACAAATATTGATGGTGACAGACACTGACACAGAATCTCACACCAATGGAGTGAAAGGCCGTATTAAGATCAAGGGATACAACTACTGTCTGAAGTTGATATGTGTGTGTGTTCTAGGACCAAACTAAGCGTGAACATTTGGCCTGCACATCTAGATCTAGATCTTTTTGAAGCTTACATTTTTGACACTATATCAGCTAAACTGATCTTTCACCTTAGATTGTTAATAATTTTTGTATCATTATTAATAGTTGGAGGTCTTATATCAACTGGCTATTCAGGTGTAGCTAAAGGCAGTTGAATTGGTCGCTTAATTTTTCTACTCATCAATGTAATCTCCATCATTGAGAATGAACAATAATCGAGTTTCTTTTCGACAGATGCTTGTCAAATCAAATTTATAATACCAGTTTACTGGATCAGTTGTCTGCGGTCACGTATCGCCTCAGCTTTTTCCACCTCTTTTCACCCTATCTAAGAACTACTGCTCGCGATCTGTGCGCAGGCTCTTTGCTGAGTAATTTGTCGTTAGTTGAGCTCTAACTGGTCAACTTGCGCCACAACTTACGCCATACAACATTCAGACAATCGGGTGCTCGTACTGCATCATGATCTGAGTTCAGAACAAACGGCAGTCTTCTATTTAACCAGTATATCGGTGGTTGATGGGAATTTGATATGATTTGGTCCGGTGTTAAGTCCATATTTTGAGCCACCATGTCAAACAATCTGCTTCATTATGTTGAGTGTGGATATTAGACATCAATCGATGGTCGTCTGAGCTCAGCTACAGGAGACTGTAGCCGAGACAGTGAGGGGAAAACGGCTAGTGCCTTTAACATAAAAAGTATGTTGAATTAGCGCTTGTTTTAGATACCTAATTGTGTGACAGAGGAGAACGAGGGAAAACTTTATGCGATCGGCCACTCAAGAACGTATAAAGGGACGTTTCGAAATTTTAGCTCCGCGCTATCAAAGGTTTTATTACACGCAAGCGAAATCCTGTGGGTGTGGTGAGGTTTGAGAAGGTTAAGGTTGACTATACGTTACTCCTTTTCTTCCTTGTGAGAAGGCAGCAGCAGTGAAGATGCTGGTTGTCCTTGTGATATTATTTACCACCGTCATACCTCTCTTGGTCCTTAAGGAAGACGTACGGAATGTGTTTTTTGTAACTGCTTGCTTTCTACAAGTTGGCGGTTTGATGGAACGATTCCACTGACTGTCTTAAACCTCACTTCCAGCTACGAACCAATCGCAGTGGACTGACCCTCTTACAGTAGTAATACTCGAAATTCGCAATGCCCTGAAGGCTGATAACAAATGCATTGCAGCTGAACGTGCTCATAATTCGTTGATCTTTACTCGTGTATATCGAAAGTAGATTTAAAATAGTGCATATGAAGGTTTACAAACTCAGTGAGTTCAGCTAGACTTGCTTCTGTCCGAACTCCAATAAAGGATGCTTTTTTCCAGCCCTCTTTTGGATTCAGTACGTATGGACCCTACAACGGTTTTCATCCGGATCCCATGTACTGTACGATCAATGGTGACAAGAGTAAAGAAAATATCATAATCCACCCGCTGAAAGCTATACAAGTGAAAGAATTACACCATTTCATTGACTTCGTCAACGAACAAACGAGTAATACAACCACCACGAATGTATAATTCAATTTGAAGGCTTTTTTGGGGAAAATCCCTTCATGAACATATTAGCAAAATGTTCTTACTGACTCTTTCTGTGCCACATTTTGCTACTCTGGTTAATCCTATTTTCTGATGTTAATATTTGTATTTTATTTTAGTTTCTATTTTTTGTAACCTTATTGGAGTTTCTATGTTTTGTTTGCTTTCGGCTCTTTAGATTGGTGGGACGACTAATCAGTAACGCTGAGGTTGCTCTTATGTGCTTGCCACTTCTGAGGTTCATGTTTCAAAAACTGTGCTGAGGTCGCTATTCTGTCGAGACACGCGCAACATGCTTACTCAGGCGCTAACAGTATGATTTAGAGGTTGGTATTCAATAACAATAATATTACTAAACAGTTAGACAGTGAGAACTTTGAATAATCAATAATTCCTTTTTACAAACTCTACTCGTTTAACTGAAATTTAGACTTCAACGTACATAAATCCAGCTTCTTACTTCGACTTCTCTTCTATCCACTTGACACTCGACAACTCTTCCTTCTTCTTTGCTGTACTCCTTCATCTGTGGTTTATATTCTTATATTCCCATAATTTACTTTAATTTTAGTGGTCAGTATGAATTTTATCTTGACTTCCCACTGTATTGTTTACTTCAGCATGACAGGTTAAGTAGTGTTTTAGTTATATATATACACTTGCTACACTGCTGCCTTTTTCTCTCTCTCTTTTCACCCTTTTCAGAACCCCATCCACGGTGGAAAATCCTTGGTGCCCCTAGGGAACATGCACCCTATGTACATGACTGTCTGGATCACAGCTCGTATGAAGCGCGTTCAAATCGACCTTTCCAAACAAATTCAATATTGATCTCAGCAGATCGCCAAAGAACCTATTGTGCACCTTCCTTGTAGCGTACTATTGAAAATGTGGCTGTATTGTACTGTTTCTGTCAGTGGCATGGTGTAAATGTGCTATCAGAAACTGACTCTTATACTTTATTTAACTGCCATAACTTTCGCAGAAAAGGTGAAAGCATTCGTGACAATTTGATCTAGCCTGTAAACTGGCATGACTCATGTAAAGTAGTTATTTGAGAATAAATGTGTTATTATTAACTGTATTATGCTGTTTAAATTGATACTCACTTAAGCGGTCAGCAATTTTGAATTCGACATCCTGGGCGGTGAACTTTGAATCTGGACTGAAAGGGTGCAATTTTGTAATTGTACGCAAGCCTTCTTCCAGAATCGGAAACACATTGTGTTAAATTGTGTTAAAGAACAGTGTGATATTGTTTGGAACCTTTTCTCACCCAGATGAATTTCTTTCTTGTTGGATTTACTGAGAAAGCCGGGTATCTAAACTTCTTCGACTGTTCTTCCGAATTCAGAAGCCGCTGTCAAACCCCAACATTTCTATAATGATTCTTCTATTAGTTACAACCACAACGAAACTCCGTCAGTATCTGAAAAACAACCCAGAACAAGGACGTGATTTGGTAGATTTGTGGAATACTCGAGGCATTTTCACGACTAAAGTGTGCAGGAAAACTTAGAAGCTAATCGGTTTCCTATGTTAGTTTCCATTATTGCGTTGAAATCAGAAAAATCAATTTTCTGTTTGTTCGAAGTATTATGAAAACACCGAAAATAACTACTTGTGGATTTTATGGCAGTCTCACGGTGCATATATAGATTAACACTCTTGTTCTTTATTTTCGCATGTTTAGCTAGACTACATAATCATAAATGTATTCGGAAATGCACTGACCTGTTAATTGTTTCTTCTTCAGAACGACTGGAAAAGACAAAAACTAACTTTCTCATTGCAAATACTTCGAATAATAATATATACCATAGGGCTCCTTAGAAGAAGAAAAGATCAGCATACGGTGGTGGATCAACGTAATGCACATATACTGTTCTGCTAGTTTTCGATATCATTTGTGGCCTCTTTAGTTTTAATTGACACACTTAGATGAAAGCACTCGATCACTCATCCGAACCAGATCACGATGAAGTGTGCGATGCAACGCACCAGACGACAAAATAGTCGTCCAATTTTCAATATCTGTTACATAATCACGAATTCGATTAAATGTACTCTACTGTTCAGTTATTAATAACAGACTGATGGTTGAAATTTTGAATCTATTTATTAATTATCTTCCAAGTAATAAATTCCAATATACTTCCGAGTAAATAAAGGCTTTTATTTTAACTCTTTTCGATTTTTAAAACGTTCCTATGTTCTCAGATTAAATATGAATTACAGCCGATATTATGACTTTTTTTTTTCTTCCTCTAGAACGTTCCTTTCTTTTCGCTGTTAAGTGGACACGGCTTCTTAGAGGAAAATGAAAGATAATAGAATTTTCTATTAGCTTTATTCGGCGTAAGTTAAGCTACTCGTTTTCATGTAATGTTTTTCATTATTTTCATATTTCACGAATGAAAAAATTTCAATGGAATAAGTTTTCTTTACTACCAACTAAGAAACTAAATTACCTATCTATTTGCTCAGTTCTGAATTGTTCTTATAAGCATTAGAAAGTCCTGTTTATTGTTCTTCACATCGTGATCAAACGATCTCCGTATAAGCATAGTGATAGCTGTTAGTATCCAGAAAATCTACTGCCCTGTAACAAACATATTCATTGAAATCAAAGGACATACAAACAACTGCCAACTGACTGGAATTAGTGCTGTCTAGTGGCTAGATCATCATCCTTCGGGCATTACCAAACACCTGGAAACGTACCGAATGAACGACAATGGAGCACAAAGAAATCAATTAGTTTATACTGGCGCGTAAAATGTATTGCATATCAAAGGCGGTAATATTATCTGCTCAAGGTCCTACGTACATTTTGTTAATTACTTCTTCCGAGTTAATTATTTTTTCGTCCGCTTTATAAGACCTTGAAGTGAGTGTCAATAACCTAATAAGTTATATCAAAGCCTTTCATAAATTTTCTGTTATCACTCTGACGCACTTGAGTTGTTAATGACTAAACCGTAACCTGTTTGTAATAAGCAATGAAGAAATATTGGATAATATCCCGTACAATGACAAGTGGATGCTTTTTTGTTTTAAGGACACTTAGAATAACATTTGCTAATGTACAGATGATATACTTAAATTATGTATTTCATAGTATTCTGGCACAATTTAGTCATAGATGATGAATAAAGTGCTAAATCAGGTTTATACAGCTCCAATTTTATCTCAGGGGTTTGATTCTTTTCGCTTAACCGTTTCTTTGCGTAAACAGGCTGACAAGGAACAAATATTTTGATAATCGCTAGTAAGTAGTCATCGTCTAACTTCCTCTCACCCTTATCTTAATAACTTAAACAGATTCATATATACTTTATACTCTTAGCACCGAATTCCACACTCTTCAGCTTTTGTGACAGTCAAAGCTTTGGAATGAACCAGTTGGGGATAAAGTTACTACCTTTAGCGTATTCCAGTCCTAATTTTATGGTGAGGGCTGTACGTCATATGGATCTTGTCCATCTTGGGTTTTTGAAGTCATCCGTTTCTTCTTAATTCTTGTCACATAGTGGGAAGGCAAAGAGGGTTTTCCATGTCTAAAACTTTATCTTAATACTCCTAAATAAATCCCCCTGTAGTCTGCTTTAGGTTAATATATGGAGATTTGACACTGAACCACTCTGTATGATGAGCATTATAATTTTACAACCGTATTGCTATCTGCTCTCTGTAATTTCCTCAAAAAATATTAAAGTTCAATTTTAGATGGGCTTGCTGCCGGAACCCGTTTCGTAGTATGAACCACCAGGTTGAGTACACTAGTGAACATATTTGTATCTGGCTCGGGGGATAGTATTTTTACCTCCAATTAAAATCTAAACTATTCAGCTGCAAATAGACCACAGTGAGTCTTGGTATTAGCTTCTAATTTATACAACTCCAGGTCAGTGTGAGACGGGACCAGACACTGACATTTCTCTAACCTTGTAGTCATATATTTGCTTATCTGACTTACTATTCGGATACAGAAGGCTCGATTGGCTTTTGCCAACCTGCTTCACTTATAGCGCAGGCGAGATATCCGCTTGTTAACCGAAGGACGAGTGTACTGCGCAGCAGTTCGCTCTGTCCTACTATACGGATGCGAAACATGGCCGTTAAGAGTAGAGGACATTCGTAGGTTACTAGTCTTCGATAATAGGTGTCTCTGAAGCATTGCTCGTGTATCCTAGGACGACCGAGTAAGCAATGCTATCGTTAGGAAACGAGTTCTAGGTAAGGATGGCAAATCAGTAGATGAAGCGTTGAAACTTCATCAGTTGAGGTGGTTGGGACATGTGTTACGTATGCCTAACCACCGACTGCCTCGACGAGCTATGTTTTGTGGTGGATTAGGTTTGAAGAAATTTAGGGGCGGCCAGACCAAAACATGGCAGAAATCCATGAAGTCACTGACAAGTGGACTGTGTCATGTTGGTAGATGTAGACTACCTGGTCGGTGTCAGCGAGACGAAAGTCACCAATGGTTAGAGACCTTGAACGACATGGCTCAAAATCGTTTGGACTGGCGCAGGTGCATCCACTCTTTGTGTTCTTTTTAATGCTAACCTTCTGAATTCCTCATAATCTCTATCTTTCTCCTTCTAAATTTATCTCACTGAATTATACTTTTCGAATCATATCTTTGCTCCCTAATCTTCTCCATTACTGCTAATACTTCTATTATTGCTATCACTCTTGGATTTGAACTGAGAGTTGCGTCTGTGTGCTGACGTGGTATGGCAACCTGAGCCGATGTACTTATGTACGAATTTCTGCGTTGTATTTGTGTCTGTCTGTATGTCCGCTTGTCTGACTTCCATATAGGCATTAACAATGGTGTAGACCAGATTCTCAAGTCGTGCAGGCCTATTAGAAGCACATATACACCCGCATTCTTTACAACTTGTTAGATTTCGACGTCATTAGCGTTAAGTAGCTTCGATGACCCAACTTTTAGTAGGCGTCACTTTCAATGTAAACCAGCAATGAGCAAGTTGTACATTCACTTTATTAGAACAACACATATAAGCGAACAATATTGTTTTCGATTAGATCGTCATCAGGCTTTACTCTAATATACATGAATATTTATATGAAAATGTTAAACCAATCAAGGCGATTTGAGTCATAATCACAATGAAATAAAAAAGACTACGTCACTACATATAATAGGCAAAAGTACAAGTGGATAGTAGGAAGACAGGTGTACTGATAGTAGTGAGAAAATCATAAAAGGTGGATGAATAGACTTCAAATAATAAACATCAAAACCATTACGTAATAAGCAAATGTGTAAAAATAAAAAATAAAATAAGATAAAAAATATAATGTCAATCGTTAGTTACGTCATATCCGGCCACGGAAGAGATAGGGGTGTCACGAATTTCTTCTGAACACATAAATTGGGGTTGAATGTACGAATTTCTATGGCTTCCGCTGTGTGTAGGAGACGCGATCGAACTTCGTTGGGAAATGATTGAGGTATACGATAGATCACCCCAAAGATCTAGACTTATCTACAATATGACCACTATCAACCAGGTGTGCCAAAATCGAACTGCGTATTATTTTTGACTGACCCTTCATAAACCATGCTGGGAGATGTTCACTCGTTCGTTGGTTAAGTTGCCTGGTAGTACGCCCAATATAGCTATCTCCACAGGAGCAGCTGAATTTGTAAATGCACGTAGAGGAGGCATACTCTGGTAACTTATCCTTAGTTTGGGTAGACATCGCTGGTCGACTTGAGAAGGTCAACGCAAGTTTGGCTGCATTGAATGTTCTATTAATTGCTCTCATTAATCTGTCCTGCAGAGTATCGCAGGCCACATCTCCGTTGAATTGTTATTTAATAAATAATGTCTTCTTTCGGACGGTCGCAATTACTGACTTCTTTTTTACATCAACCATATACTTCCTTATGAATGCGCTGGTGTGGCACACATTCTAGTGGCTCTCTTCCTAGCAAAGCTAGAAAATGGACCACTTAAAGAAGCTATTCAGAATCTTGATCTATATTGTCGGTACGTCGATGACACATTCATCATTGCATACCAGGACATCAGCAAATAAAAACTCCTGGAACAATTCAGCAGTTTTTTCTTTTGTTTTACTTTTTAAATCGTCCTATGTATTTTATCTCGCATGTGATCAAGAAGAACTACTATACATTTATAAGCATTAGGGGTCCTGAGGATTAAAACACTTCGTAAACCTAGCTTATTGTAAAGTATCTTCTCCGATCTACTGCTATATGGAGTGTTTACTAAGGTTAAAATGTTTATACCTCTTTGTAAATATGATTAATAAATATTTATGATTGTCCTGTATGTAGTATTTAAGTGTGAAGTAAAAATCACTGACTGATAGTTGCGGCAAATCCTAGCGTATTTAGGATTTTACTCTCGAACTTATGTTGTATTTAGAAAGTAGTAGTAGTCATTGATCAGTTCCGGTTTAGTCCGTTGTAGCTGACGTGTGCATTCCCATTGGAAATCTGGGTGAACATCTAGCCTAAATTACTGATGCGCTTGAGATATTTGAGCAACAGTGTAGACATGCTAAACTGTAATTTTAGTTAGATGTAAAACTTATTAAGAAAGTACATCATACACTCCCAATTATATACGTCGCTTTTTCAGTTGACGGCATGCATTTTATCATCAGCTTCATTAACATAGTATTTTATGGTAATTTTTACTTCCCATGTGTTTCTAGCTTCGTCCAAACGGAATATTAGGGATTCGACTTGTACACTTTAGCCGTCATATTTTATGGCTTCTGTTACGGTTCATTATTTCGTTATTGGACTTATCATAGCTACCGTGAGCACATTTTTCATAAGGTGAGTTTTTTTCAAGTATTTAAATAAACAATTTCTAGATCTGATTAAGATGGTATCTAACTTCTATTTAAAAGGTTTTAAATAAGTTAATTTCCAAAATAGTGTTTCCACATTTTAATGTTCACCTTATTATGTAGGTCCTCGAAAAGTTGTACAGATTTAGCTCACGATACTTATGGAAATACAAGACTTAATTTTTTAAAAGAATCTGCTATCACACTTTAGTGGCTTCGAAGTAGTTGGTTGTATACCAAGTAGTGTTTTTGATTAAGGATACTCGTTCTTTTACGTATCACTGTGTATTTCAGGTAGTATTGCACGAGTGATTTTGCAATATAGTCATTATTTTGTGAAAACAATACATTTTTCTACAAAAAATACTGGACTGTTCAAAAGGCGGGCTATAATTCAATATTGACTAAAAGCGTAAGTCAGTAATCCGAAAGTCAAATGTGTATCAACAAATCAGTTAGTATGACTGTGAATTCAGTCAATAAATTGGCATATTTCCATTTCGCGTAGTTCTCAAAGTTTTTATTTACTTCACACTGAAATCTACGTGGGAGGTGTACAGTGTTTCATAAAGTAGACTAAATTACTCATGTCATGTGAAGGTTAATGATACTGTCACCAAAACGAAAGTTCTGTTATATGATACAAGGACTTAATCTGTTTATATAAGTATCAAAAGGTACATTTATCTGTTATCCGAAATGAAACTAGTCTCTTAACATTGTAAACTGCATCTGTCTTGCTGAATTTTATCAATTATTTGGTTTTCTACCTTCTAGCTACTTAATTTCGACGTCAAATCATCATGCATCTATAATCTTTCCATACATAAGGTGAGCAGTATTTGAGGTATAAGATGGTCAAATTTATTTCTTGTATATAGAGTGTGTTGCTTTTCAATTCATAATTCTAGGCGCTATTTGTCTGTAACACTTCATCGTTTATTTATTAAACCCACTTTAATGATTAGTCGTTTAAATTATTTGATAATAGTGTCGACCATTTTTTATATTTGTAATAATTAGATACGGATTGTGTGTGTACATGCTTAGTCTCTTATTACATGTCTAGCTCATTATTTATTGACTATAAATACTTAGTCATTCTTCAGCACACAAGAGTTGGCTCACTCGCCATCTTTGACCCGCTTCGCTTTGCTTGTACGCTTTTTATTCTCATGTCTTCCTATCTAAACTAACGCATAAAATAAATTCATCTGCAAAACCATATTTTGCCTCTTATTATTGCCGTCACACAAACGGGGTTTCCCTGAGTGTAATGTACGGAAATAGAAAGGAAGATTTATTTCATGTATACTCAATCATTCGTCCAAACTAGAGTCGAATCTACAGCTAGTAAATTCGTGAACCCTACTTCAAATTTCACTTGAGCCTCTATATGTTCAGTCATATTTTTCGCCTTATTCTTTTTATAGCTTGCTCTATTTCTTTTGCAATAGCAGATACTTTCAGTGTTTTAGTTCAGCTGCTAATCGTTGTCAATCAGTACTTTTCGCAATAGATTTAAAAAGATAACTATAAAAGTGAAGAGGTATTCGGACAATTAGGATTTGAGAGAAGACTACCAATGAATGCATCAACGCCATTGGAAACGATTTTGAGTAGTCATTCAAGGTCTCAAACCATTGGTTACTATTTTCTCTCGTAACACAACCTGGTAGTCTTCATCTGCCAACATGGCTCAGTCCAGTTGTCAGTGACTTCATGAATTTGTGCCATGTTCTGGTTTGGTCGACCTTAGCTTTCTTCCAACCTACCCCAGAAAACATCGTTCGCCGATGCATTCGGTAGTTGGGGACACGTAATACCTGTCCCAACCACCTCAACTGTTGAACATTCACTACTTCAATTTATTTACCATCCTTACCTAGTATCTTTTTCATAACAATAGCATTACTTACTCGGTGGTCCCAGAATACACAAGCAATCCTTTGCAGACACCTATGATTGAATTGCAGTACCCTTTGAATATCCTCTACTCTTACTGGCCACGTTTCACGCCCATAGAGTAAGACTAAGCTAACTATTACACAGTAGACTCGTCCCTTGTTTAGCAGACGGATATCTCGCGTCCTCTATAAGTGACGCAAGTTCGCAAACGCCAATCGAACCGTATGTATCTGTGCTAAGATTTCGTCAGACAGCAGGCCATCAGGACTGCTGAGACAACACGCTCAACCGCTGACGCAGACCAACCTGCAAAATCCTGCACTTCTAGGTAGAAAACCGTGTCTCGAACAGGCTTGTATTGTTGCTTAGGGTAGTCAGAAGGCTGCATCTTGTCAGCGCCGTCACCGAATAGAACTATGGCGTCGATTACCGACCGTAGCCGCTACCTTGACGTGGTGGTCGGGCTTGCCTATCGTCATGACCCAACCGAGCTATACTGGCTGGAACATATGTTCCTGAAGGTTATACCATGCCAGGAAGGTCAATCGGAAAACGATGAGACTAAAAACACCTACTCATGGTCTGAGGGCGAAGTCGTACTGCTGACTATAAATGGGTTAGAAAAGGTTGACCTTAAAAATGTCACACCTCACCCTACTTCACGGATTTCCGTCTTCGGCGGTAAGGGTGCCCACTAAGGGCTTTTAAGAGCGAAGCTAATACTCTGAAAACCTTTCATAAAAAGGCCGTGCGTGACCGGCCTCAAGTAGTTGTCCCTTTGGCTCTGCGGTCACGCTCATTGGTCGTTAAGACCAACACTAATCTACCTTCCTTTTCAGGTTCCTCAAGAAACACTTCCATGGTGTGGGCAGCCGGGAAGTAACATCCGCCCTCATACCTATAAAAGCACACGAGACCGAATTGGTCACAATCAAATCCTCTCCACACCTCTCAATAACTCTCTTATTTCTTCGACCAACCTTTCGTTTATCACCTCGCGCCACTGAAGCAAATGGTATGAGCTCACGAAACATTATTCCTGGTCTCTTGAAACCCGGTACTAAATTACATATAGGAGCTTTTAATGTTCGGACCCTATGCCAAATAGGGCAACAGGCTTCATTTGCTAGAACTCTGGAATCCCGGGCGATCGATTTATGTTACGTCTCCGAAACGAGCATACAAGATCTGAGTAAAATCATCAATTTGATCTTACCTAGTGTGGTATGGCAACATGAACTTATGGACATACGTACGAAGTTCTACGTTGCAACTGACTGACTGACCTAATGCAGATAGAGACACAACAAGGTTTACGCTTCATGTTTCTGCAAGCCCTGATGCCGCTTCTCCTGGCCTCGCCGGCGTAGGTAAAATATTAAGTTCTATGGCAGAACTAGCTCTCTTAGACTGGATGCCGATGGAAAGTCATTTATGCGCCAGCCAACTTAACGGAACAGTAAGGAATCGGAAGGATAGGGACACTCGCTGTTGCCTCTTCGTCGTATCTGCCTACGCTCCCACTGACTGCAGTTCAGATGACATAAAAGATAAGTTTTATAGAAACTTCTCTTAACTTCTCCAAAATGTTAAGCGCTCTGATATAATAATAATGGCTGGTGACTTTAACGCTCAAGTAGGTAGATTCAGTGAAAAGGAAAGACACCTGGATGGATCTTATGGTGTTGCGGCTAATAGAACAGATAATGGCGACCGTTTGCAGTGGCTATGCTCAGGTAACTGCCTATTTATAGCAAATACTAACTTTAGGCACAAGGAAAAACATTTTTTTTGACCTGGCGACCCCCAAAGCCGATGGACCCAACTCAGTCAGTTAGTCAACGTAGAACTTCGTACGTAAGTACATCAGTTCATGTCGCCATACCACATCAGCACAGAGATGTAATTGTCAATTCAAATCCAATAGTAGAAGAGTTAGTAAGGGTATTAAAAGTAATCGGAGAGGTTAGGAATAGAAGATATTATTCAAGAAGTATGATTCAGTGAGAAAAGTTTAGAAAGTCAAAACTAGAGCTGTTGAATAATCCAGAATATTAGGATTTGAGAGAACACAAAGAATAAATGCACCGGCGCCATTGCGAACGATTTTGAGCCATGTCATTCAAGGTCTCTAACCATCGATTATTATCATCTCGCGGACCGCAACCAGGTTGTCGACAGTTACCGACATGGCTAAGTCCACTCGTCAATGACTTCATGGATTTCTGCCATGTGTTGATTCGGCCGCTCCTAACTTTCTTCCAACCTATTCCCAAACTACAAAACAAAGCTCGACGAGTCAGTCGGTGGTTGGGCATACGCAACACATGTCCCAACCACCTGAACTGATCAAGTTTCACCACTTCATCTATTGATCTGCCATTCTTACCTAGCGCCCGATTCCTAATAACAGCGTTGCTGACTCGGGTGTCCCACGATATACGAGCAATGCTTCGAAGACATCTATGATCGAAAACCAGTAACCTACGAATATCTTCTACTCTCACTGGCCATGTTTCACAGCCATAAAGTAAGACGGAGCGAACTGCTGCACAGTACACTCGTCTTTTGATTAGAGAACGGATATCACGCCTACGCCATAAGTGACGCAGGTTTGGCAAAAGCCAATCGAGCCTTCTGTATCAGAGCTGAGATTTCGTCAGTCACCAGGCCATCAGCACTGATGAGACTCCCAAGATAAGTGAAGCGGTCTACACGTTCGACTACTTCACTCCCTATCACTAGTTTAGGTGCCGATGCAACCCAGTCTTGAATCAACATTTTGCATTTCGAGGGGGAAAACCGCATCCCGAACATGTTTGCATTGTTTCTTAGGGGAGTCAGAAGACTCTGCATTTTGTCAGCGTCTTCAGCAAGTAGGACTATGTCATCGGCATATTCTAAGTCAATAAGCTAGGCAGCAGGTAAAAGGTCTACTCCAGAAAATTCAGACGAGTATAAGGTTATTTCTAGGAGCATGTCTATGATAAGATTAAACAAAAATGGAGAAAGTGGACATCCCTGACGGACACCACTTGATGTAGAGAATTCCGGTGACAGTTCGCCATAAGCTCTCACTCGACCAGTGGTGTTCGAGTAGAGAGCTTGTATGAGGTTAATGTACTTATTTGGTACACCTTTCAATGACAGACACTGCCACAAAACCTTACGATCAACAGAGTCAAATGCCGCTTTTAGGTCCAGGAAAACAACTATTGTAGGACGCCTAAATGTGTGTCTGTGTTCCAGGACCTGTCGTAGTGTGAAAATGTGAAGCGATTGCAATGGCGCAGATACACCCATTATTTGTCGTCTCTCAAATTCTGATCTTCAGAATTCCCAGTCACCTATATCTTTCTCTTTCTAAAGTTATCTCACTGAGTTTTATTTCCTGAATAATTTTTTCGAACTCTTATCTCCTCCATTACGGTCCATACTTTCACTATATCTACCACTATGGGATTTGACCTGACAGTTGCGTCTCTGCTAATACGGTATCGCAACCTAAATTAATGTTGACATTTTCTGTGTAATCACTAATAGTTATTCAATTCTTCACGAAGCAGCTTCTAATTGTCATATAATCTTCTATTTTTTTGTAACTCAGTGATACTGGTGCCTTGCCACCCGAAAGCTGTGTATTTGGTCAATTACTCAATATATGTTCATTTCTCTGTAAGTTCTTTTTACACCCGTTGTCTTTCGTTCAAATACTACTGGTTTGCTGAGAATATTTGTTACCTAATAATGTTTTTTATTTTATCTCCGAACAAGTAATTGGTAGTTCCTGTGAAGTTACTAATTACGATTTTGTTTCGTTTGAAATATTTCGACAAATTCCCTTTCTAAATCTATCGTCGAGTAATTTTCAAACCACAAAGGCTTCTTAACGAACATTTTCCTCATAGTAACCACTTATGAAAGATCTGATTAATGCTATCAGGATAAATTTGTTGTAAAATTATAACCAACCTCTGAACGATCTTTAATGACTAACCTGGCAGTCAAGTGAATCAATTTAGACATAATTTGTTGTTCTCTGACATCAAACTGTGTCTTATCCACCCACAACTCCTTTTCCTAATTACTTCCTCTGTTACAATCTGGTTTTATCTCTCTCACATTAGGTTGTTGCTAATCGCGTCCAGCCAGCGGATCCGAAGTAATTTGCCTAGACAACTGCTAATAAACACATGTATTTTCTTGATGATGGCTTTGATAGTTTTTCAAGTTTCTGCCCCATACAGTAGAACTGTCCAGATGTTTGTATTGAAAATTGTGACTTTGGTGTTTGTCGATAGTTGTTTTGAGTTCCAGATGTTTTCCAACTGTAGAAATGCTGCTCTTGCTTTGCTAATCCGTGTATTCACATCTGCGTCAGAACAACTTTGCGACTGGTCATCAGTATTCTTAATGTTGATGGTCTTTTCAGGCACGCCGTCATGTTCAAGATGCCTCCATACAGTTATCCTGTCCAGGCTGTCAAATGCTTTCTGATAGTCAAGGATGTTGATGTACAGTGGTGGGTTAGATTCAATTGATTGTTCCACAATGATTCGTAGTGTCGCGATTTGGTCAGTACACAATCGGTCCTTACGGCATTCAGGTTGTTGATCTCGAGGTTCGATGTCTACGGAATGTTTCATTCGGTTTACCGAACGCTGTCGAACACTTTTCCTACTGTTGATTGTTGAGTGATGCTTCTGAATTTATCACACTTGCTAAGATCTCCTTTCTTAGGTAACTTAATCGAGTTGTCCTTCTTTCCAGTCTGTTAGTAATTTTTCTTCATCCCAAACTACATGATATAGCTGTTTAGTGAATCAATGTCCTCAAGTGAATTCGATAAATATCACAATCAAGATTCGACCCTTCGCCGGTAGATTGGCTTTAGATAATGAGAAGATGAATCTATTTGTATAGTTGTTACTAGGATAATGCACCGTCCATTGTCGATCAATGTAGTTCCTTTCAGTTACCATGATTATTGCTGACACCTATCGAGCGATTGCAAATACCGTAAAATAGATAGTAAATGGTAAGACATACTACCAGAAAAGACTTACCAGTATGTCATTTAAGTATACAAATGTTTAAGTGAGTTGTTTCAACCTTGATAAACAAAGTTCACAGAAGTTCCTTACTATTCATGCACATTGCTTCATGTGTGCTTCATTGCCGCTTATGCTGTTTTAATTTGTTTATTTTTTATTACAGCTTTTGTATGCATTTATTGCTGGTATCTGCATGAGTGCAATGTGATACATGCTCTTGAGGGACCTAACTCCCACATTGTTTTCGCACGCCTTACTTGTACTGTTGGCTGTCTAAGTGCACTGGGAATGTCGATTGTAGCTAATTTCCAGGTATTTAACGCTCGTCAATGTTTTTGTTCAGTATATTAGACTTCAAAGTAAATCTAAACCACACTTAGTTCACACTTCATCAGCATTTAAAACATTTACATCTAAGTATGATGGCATTATTGGACCATAACACTTTTTTCTAATTATGCTTTTACAAGCCACAAAGATTCTTTTGTTTAAAATCAGGTGGTCATACAGACGAATATCCACAGACTCAGAGATCTCGCAAGCTATCAAACAACTTTATAGTTCACATACTAGCCTCATCTTTCGATTTAATTGCTACTAATCGGATAAAAGTACCGGATAAGATAAAATATTTCACTCATAATTACCAACGACCAACCGGTACGCTTGCAGATAGACAGCGTCTGATATAACCATTTTCACGTAAAAAGTAGATTTTACTATGAAAGACAGACAGACAGACAGACAGATACAACGCAGAACTTCGTACGTAAGTACATCAGTTCAGGTTGCTATGCCCCATCAGCATAGAGACGCAACTGTCATTTCAAATCCAAAAGTGATAGCAATAATAGAAGTATTAGCAGTAATGGAGAAGATTAGGGAGCGAAGATATGATTCGAGAAGTATAATTCAGTGAGATAAATTTAGAAGGAGAAAGATAGAGATTATGAGGAATTCAGAAGCTTAGAATTTCATAGAACACAAAGAGTGGATGCACCTGCGCCATTGCAAACGATTCTGAGCCATGTCATTCAAGGTCTCTAACCATTGGTGACTTTCGTTTCGCGGACCCCAACCAGGTAGTCTACATCTACCAACATGACACAGTCCACTTGTCAGTGACTTCATGCATTTGTGCCATGTTTTGGTTTGGCCGCCCCTAGCTTTATTCCAATCTTTACTATGAAAGTCTACGGAGGAAACAGCCAAACAAAAGTCTGTAGATGCTTCTGGAGGAAGCTTGCAGTTTATATGTAAATTCCAATTCATTTGATCTTCAACACATTACTAACTGGAATTTACAATCTCCCTGACTCTAGTTTAAATCCTCTTGGTCTCGGCTGGTTCGGTGTCTAACATTTAGCTGACAAGTCTATAATTTGTATATTTAATGAAGCTCAATGCGCTACATCTATAGACCACTGAACTGAGCTACTGAAATAGTTCATTAAATTGTACGAACTAGGTTTCGGCGATTAGAAACAATGCTGGTAGTTGTACACTAATCGATAATCAATGTATCCCTCCTTCGTTGTTGCATTGATAATGAGCATTTTTAAAGATTGGAACGAAGATCACATTTCTTCATGGTATCGAAACACACCGTTTCTAAACTCTTTAAAGCTCAGTCAGTCGCCTGATCAAAAGTTGACCACCATCCTTAAAAAGAACTGCAGTAGGTCATCTGCATCTAGGACCTGTGGGGCTTAATGAGCTGGAGTATCTTGTGGATCTTTGTATTGTTATCTGTATCAGTTGTCACCGGCTAGGTTGAATAGGACAGTCTGATTGATGTTGCTGAAGATGTAGACGACTTAAAATGTCCCCTCAAGTACTCTACCATCGTCCGAAATGTCTTAGCATGTTTATGATTGGTGGTTTCATATTATATGTCATTCACACCAGACCTCTTTTTTACCACCATATCGAATGATATAAAGTAGCTCCTTATGTTTTTCAGAATTAGCGTATGTTTCTAACTCGACAGTATACTCTATCAGGTTTCCTTTTCCTTACTCACATTTTGTTAAGTACTAATACTCTGGAATCTACGTCAACCATTAAATTCATGATTCTCGTGAGTAGATCGCTTTTCTTTTTATCAGTTCTCATTGATGTCCTCTTTCTGTATCGATATCAGTTCTCTCTAATTCGACGCTAAATCCATGTTAGTCTAATCTATAAATAATATGCTATCGAGATTTTCGATTATAGAAATTTATACTTCAGTTTACCTATTTATGAAAAATATTTCATTTGTTTAATTCGAACTCGGTCGCAGTGCTTATGACTTGTTTTTTTATATCATTATTTATAGTCACAATGAATGATACAATTTATACATGTAGCTATATTCGTGTCAAGCTACTAAGTGTTTATGTTACCTCAATTTATTGATTTACATTGACTGTAAAGTTCGTATACATGACCCCATAAATTAAATGGTTTATATCTTTCACATACCTTTATATTTTGATCTATTATAAGTTGTGCTACCTTAGTTTTAATATTGTATTATTACTAATTATTTTTTAAATTCAGAGGCAGATTGCACGTTTCAGCTTCATCATGTACAAAGTTGGTGGGTTAATTGACATTTTGAACTGGACTTACATACAATGAAATAATTTTAAATTTGTTTAGCTGGCCATTTATCACACTCATTATATCTGTGATGTGTGTGAAGTTATACGTCAACAATAAAATCAGTCAGAATAATCTGTCATTATCTTCGCTTTAAACTAAATGATGTGGTACTTTAGGACTTATTTAAACGAATCGATCATTCTGGAGTAAAGATTATCGTTTGGATTGGTGAAAGTTTCTTTAACCGAGATCTCTGAATTAAATGTCTAGAGAAATAGATCTATTTACTAATGATCGACTGCCTAATTAGCTTGACCCGAATGAAGAAATTATTTCTCAACCAAACACTTGTGGGATTTCAAATAGTTGTGTACAGCATAGGGATTTAAAAAGAATAATCTCAACTTTTCCTCAGTATCATGTTCTCTCCAACGCTAAGTGCCGATATTACTTTATATTCTATCTTTTTAGTTCGCTTCATTTAGACGATGTTATGATATTATCACCACATCGTATCAGACTCTCAATAACTGTTTGTCCGATTTCATGGTTTCTTCCGAGAACAACCTTAATTTTGTGATTGAAATATTTCTTTTAAATATTTTGTCTACTCACAAGTAGTTTAGTTAAAGTTTGATTTTTTCTCCACACATTATGTGCTTTATGATCTTATCGCTTTCTTTTAGGAAGCATCTCTAATAGTCGTTCATTTGATTGGGGCATTGATGACTTTTGGGTTGGGTATTGTATTTTCAGCTTTGGTCACTTATTCTACACTCAAACATTTGGAATACAATTTTAAGATATATATATTCCGCTTAATCTTAACTATTTTTGGTTTTCTGGCGCATCTGGGAGGTATGTACGATTTAAGGAGATTTTGCTGTTAAAACAATTTTATTTTTTCAATATTAACTCATGGCCTCAATTAAGTTATATTCAACGTGTTCATTTACACGCGTATACACCTGCCCAATAACAGAATTAAAAGTTGACGGCCTTGTATATTTATTATGCATTTGTTTATTATTCAACTTAAAATCACAAAATTGTTCTGCAGATTATAGGTAATTGTGACTAATTTTGACATTTCCTTTCTGATCTTCAGAAATTGAACGCCGTGATAAGTTCAGCAAAGTTTTTCATCATTATCTGACGAGTACATTTCAAAGTTTCAAAAATGTTTTCGAAATCGCATGTAACAACTCTTCAGTTCCTCTTACAGTCTACGAGTATGAATCGCTGTCAGTTGGAGTACATGAACATCTGTGGCAGTCTAAAAAAATAGGGGTTTTTATTTCTAAAGTCGAGTTGTCTGTGTTATCATTATTTATACATGACAAACAATCTTGATAGAATCACTTATTAAATTCAGTCGTACAATATAATAGAAATTAAATACCACTTTTTCTAAAGTATAAACTACTTATTATAAATGTTTACCTGAAAAAGCAATGAAATCGCCAGCATCTTCTTTCAATAGCTATATGGTTCGTTTTTGTAGCAAATAATCTTATCTGTCTTAGTACTCTTTTACAGTTTCAGGATACTGAATTTTTAATTGCATTATTGTTTTTCTTAAATTCTAGTATTCATTTTTGGTCATTTGTCAGGAGAAATCCACGGTCCTTTCCCTAGAAAATGGGATCCTTCTGAACCGGTAAGTAAGTCAATATAAAATGGAGTAATGCTCAGAATCTTGCTAGCTTTCGAATTCATTGTTCATTTGAATACATTCACCGGTTTTACACTATGTTCTAGATTTACTACAGTGTACACTTACATTACTCGGTTTGTCACTCAATTTGAAACAAATTGGATTTGTTATCCACTACTCTGAACATTTAGTAACTTAGATCAAAAACATTTCCTATACTAACAAAGTATGTCTCTAATAAAATCAAACTGGCCAGTTAAAATAACATTTTTCTGTCGATCAGTATGATTAAGACCGATTTGTTTTCCGTCCTTAACTGTCATGGAAAAAGTTTTAGTAATTGCGATTTTATTTTCATTAATCATAGCTTTAAGATATACTAATGGTTATAACAGTGTTGTCGCACTAACTATTTACCGATTTATTGATCTGAAAGAACTGTCACGTATTGGAAAGTAAGGCAGTGATATGTCTGGCGTAAATTTTCTGGAGACCCGTGTCATGTTAAAAATAGGACTTCGTCACTACATTACTCTGCATTATTTAGCTCTATAAATTTTTCATTTTTTGTCAGTCTCTGAAACAATCTGTACTGTTTCAGGGTTCAAAACTGTTGAAATTATTTTGTTCGTCAATTGTATATGATCAGAAACATAAAAAGTGAATAATTATATTTTGTTCTCTTTCTTACAGGGTTTTAAATATCATGCATTGAGTAGCTTTTGCGAATGGTTAATGTCCTTCACTTTCTTACTATTTTTCGCTTCTATGATATTCGAACTGAGAAACTATGAATTGGAATCTGTTAAAGTAAGTTTTTTAACGAAAACAGTATTGTTTATTTCATAGAACAATGTCTACCAAGAAGAAATATGGAGAAATATTTCACCACCCTTATTTATCAGTATCCGATGTGTCACAACTCCGCCTGGAGCCCTTCTGAGACTACTGCCGGTCACAAGCCCGGGTAAAGGAGGAGGGTTGGGCTGAAGTTGGCGACCCCATCTCATAGAAAACTAACTCGCTAAAAAACGCTAACCAGCAAACAATTCAAACCATTTCAACTCTTCCCTGGCAGTTAGAAGGTCTTCATTCAGAGGAGTTATGGCATCTCATGCTGAAAGCCTAATTCGTTCGGAAGTCACGAGGCTGATGCCCCTTCTCACAACCAGAGAAACCATTCTTTTTGGCACATGTAGTGTTCGAACATTGTGGGAGACCAGAAGGCTATCCCGAGTTGCTGCAGAGATGAAAAGATACAACCTGGAGGTGCTTGGAATTGATGGAACACAATGGACAAAGGTAGGACAACTGAGACTAGCTTCAGTGGAACTGCTGTTATACTCTGGTCATGAAGAGGAAAATGCTTTACATACAAAGGTAGTTGCACTGATGCTGTCCAAACAAGCACAAAAGGCACTGATAGGATGGGAATCTCATGGACCCAGGATCATTAAAGCAGCCTTCAAAACAAAGAAAGATGGCATTACAATGAACGTCATCCAATGCTATGCACCTACCAACGACTACAATGAAGACGTTAAAGATCAATTCAGCGAAAGGCTGCAGTCAATCGTCGACAGATGCTCAGCAAAGGATTTGACGATTTTAATGGGAGACCTAAATGCAAAAGTTGGCATGGACAACGGTGGATATGATATAATTGACAACTATATCTCTGTGCTGATGTGTTATGGCGACATGAACTGATGTACTTACGTACGAAGTTCTACGTTGCAACTGACGGTGGATATGAAGACATCATGGGACGACATGGACTGGGAGAAAGGAACGGAGACGGTGAGAGATTTACAAACCTATGTGCCTTCAACAGACTGGTCATCGGCGGCACAATGTTCCCACACAAGCGCATACACAAAGCTACATGGATTTCACCGGATCACACTACTCAGAACCAAATCGACCATATCTGTATCAACAAAAAGTTCAGAAGGATCATGTAGGGAGTGAAAACGAAGAAAGAAGTTGATATAGCCTCAAATCGCCACTTGCTGGTCGCCAAAATGAAACTGAAACTCAAGAAGCACTGGACAACTGGGCAGAAAACATCACAAAATTTGGATACGGCCTTTCTTTGGGATACCGTAAAACAGAACGAATCCAAAACAGCCCTCAGCAATAGGTTTCAGGCCTTGCACCATATACTCAATGAAGAGGAAACAACCACGGAAAATAATTGGAAAGGGATCAAGGAGGTAATCACTTCAACAAGAAATGCCATCTCAAGGAATGGATCTCTGTTGGTACCCTTAAAAAATTCAGTAAGGGGGAAGAAAAAGGCAGCAATCAATGTCAGCCGAACAAAAGCAGACAAAGCCAATGCACCAGCTGAATACACAGAAGCAAACAGGGAAGTGAAGAAGAGCATCAGAGCTGACAAACGAAAATACGTGGAAGATCTAGCAATGACGGCGGAAAAGGCTGCAAGAGAAGGAAACTTGAGACAATTGTACGAAACAACAAAGAAGCTGGCGGGAAACTATCGTAAACCAGAACGACCAGTGAAAAGCAAGGAAGGCAAAGTAATCAGCAACGCTGAAGAACAGCGAAATAGGTGGGTAGAGCACTTTCAGGAACTCCTGAATCGACCAGCTCCACTGAACCCACCCAACATCGAAGCAGCATCCACGGACCTCCCAATTAATATTGGCGCGCCTAAAATTGAGGAGATCAGTATTGCTATTAGACAAATCAAGAGGGGCAAATTAGCAGGACCAGACAACATTCCAGCAGAGGCAATGAAAGCAGATGTAGAAGCAACTGCGAAAATATTTCACATCCTCTTCAAGAAGATTTGGGATGAGGAATAAGTACCATCAGACTGGAAAGAAGGATACCTGATCACAATAACAAAGAAAGGCAATCTGTACAAGTGTTAGAAGTACAGAGACATCAATTTTCTCTCAGTACCAGGCAATTCTTATGATGGATATAATTGCAACATCGTGCACGGAGGACAGCTAACAGACTAATTCGAGATGAAGACCGGTGTAAGACAAGGTTGCTTCTCCTCACACTTTCTCTGCCTCCTGGTGAAGCATGGTATATAGTGAACAACCAAGATGCAGCTAGACTTCGTAGATGATCTACCCCTTACATCCCACACACAACAAAAAATGCAGGAGAAGACGACCAGTGTAGCAGTAGCCTGTGCAGCAGCAGGTCTAAAGGTGCATAATGGAAAAAAAAAGATTCTCCGATACAACACAACATAAACTATATCACCCTTGATGGGGATGCCGTCAAAGAAGTAAAAACCTCGCATATATAGGTAGCAGCAAGGCGGATCTGATACAGATATGAATACACGAAATAGCAAAGCAAGAGCAGCATTTCTACAGTTGGAAAACATCTAGAACTCAAAACAACTATCGACAAACACCAAAGTCACAATTTTCAATACAAACATCTGGACAGTTCTACTGTATGGGGCAGAAACTTGAAAAACTATCAAAGCCATCATCAAGAAAATACATGTGTTTATTAGCAGTTGTCTAGGAAAATACTTCGGACCCGCTGGCTGGAAATGATTAGCAACAACCTAATGTGAGAGAGAAAAAACAGATTGCAACAGAGGAAGTGATTGGGAAAAGGAGCTGGGGGTTGATAGGACACAGGTTGAATGAAGCACCCAACTGCGTTACAAGGTACGACTTCACTTGGAATCCTCAAGGTCAAAGGAAGAGAGGAAGACTGAAAAACACATACGCCGAGAGTCGGAAATAGACATGACAAGAATGAACAAAAAGTGGACGGCACCGGATGGGGAAGTCCAGGACAGAGTTGGTTGGAGAATACTGGTCGGTGGCCTATGCTCCATTGGGAGAAACAGGTGTCATTAATTAAGTAAGTAATCCGATGTTTCACGCTGTTGACGTTTCACTTAATATGATAGTTCATTACATTTTAATCCAAGGTAAATGGAATTGAAATCAAAATATTGAAGTATACATTATAATTACGTCTGAGTAATATGTCAACTGAATTAGTTCATCATGGCTGTCAAATTATCAAATATACCAACATACGAAATCTTTTTTCATAAATGGGCAAAAGTTGCAGTCTATCAACCGAAACAGTTTCATCCAGTCATTTTATGTAAAGGAAAATAGAGTGAATAACAACGTTTGTGCATTATTTCATTACATTTTGAAATAATGTTACTTACTTCTTTACTCCCGTTACTCCTCGTACAGCAGAGTCAGCTGACCAGCATTTTGCAATCTACTCTGTCCTACGGCTTCCTTTTTAGTTCTAGCGAATTGATGTTCATTGTTTTCATGTCTGTCTTCGATTCTCGGTGTATGTGCTCTTAGGTCTTCCACTGTTCTCATATCTTGCCGACAAGAGTGCGGAGTATATTTACAGTAACTTCTATGTTTGCTTTCAACACCTCAGCTGGTATGTTGTCTCCCGTAGAACTGACCTTTATCGTCTTCATTGTAGTCGTTGGTAAGTGCATAGTATTGGATGACGTTCGTCGTAATGCCCTATTTCTTTGTTTTTAAGGATGCTTTGATGATTTTGGGTCCATGAGATTCCCATACTATAAGTGCATTACGGGCTTCGTTGAACAGTTTCAATGCATTTTCTAGTGCATGAGGCATTTTCTTCTTTATCACCCGAATGTAAGAACATCCATGCTGATACTAATCTTTTTTGTCCAGCCTGCATTCCAACATGTTTCTCTTATTTCGAGCACCACCAAATTGTATCGTTTGATTTTTGTGGCAGGTTGAATTGTTATTCCTGTCTTCCACATTGTGAAGACGCTCTATGTAGCTATATGAATGGTTGCTCTGGTTGTTAGTAGCGGTACAGAATGGAAACAATCTCAGCACTAAAATTCACATTTCATTTTTGAATAATATTAACCAAGTGTTTGTGAAGGAGTAATTCATTTCATTTAAGATGCGTCATTATTTAACACAGTTGATAACAGTATCAGTCGTTAATGCCTGAGCTAGTGTGCCTACGATTAATTACTAACATCATGATTTTATGTAAACATATTTAATCAGTTGTATTAATTTACATTTTTTGCTAGTGATTTGTTTATAAGTTATTATTAAGACAATATTATGCATTCTGATATTTTACGAACTGACTAACAAAATAGGTTTGTTTCACACATTGTATGATATTGATAATTTATCGATTTTAACACCCCAATGTATCATTGTGAACGACAACATCTAACAAGATGATAGAATTGTCTAATTTTTTTTGCCTTTTTGTATTAGATCCGTCATATAGTTATTGCACCTGAGAACAATGAACGGACGCCTCTCCTCGCCTAAACTGTCACTTTTTGCTCTGATTTCTATATGACTCCGTACCAATGAATAAGAACAAAATACTCCGGTCTATTTCATTAGGATTTCAAGCTTTTATCGTATCTCACTGCAGTCATATGCTTTTTATTTCACTAAACACACAATGTAATCCAATTGACTTATGATGATTTTGTAATATTTTTTCTTTTGTCAGAAGAAAAAATTTAATAAATTTATTCAGCCTTCTTCATTTTACTGGGGTAGAAAAAAATAGCACACACCAGGCATGTCTAAATACAACTGCATTTCGACGATTGTTCTTCATATAAATGGTAGTTTATGTTATGTGCTAATTATATGTTTGAGTAGTCAGTCTCGAGAATCATTATTTGTATGACAGTCATTAATACTTCCTGACTATCCGAACTAAAGTTTGCGGTTTGAACGTAAAACCTGATAGGCAAAAGCCGAGTATTATAACTCCTAAGCCACTGTTCGTAAATCTAATGTCAACTCTATCTTATAAACAGATTAGTACCGGTTTATTTAATGTTTGTATTTGTGCATTTACCACAATATGAAAACTACCGGTATGAATTATAGTCATTTGTACAGAACCTTAGTTTACTTTAAAGAGGTCTGCTGACATTGAAGTAGAAATGGTAATTACTTCACTAAATTTTTTAAAAAAAAATCAGTTATTGTTTTAATGAATAAATTAGGGAAATAAAAAATAATCGAATGACTTCTAGAAAAGTCCCGTTACGAAATTTGCTAACTAAATCACACTTTCAATTAGTATCTGGGGAAATGAGAATATTTTCCAGCTTGATGAATTCAGCTTCCATACATGAAATGTATTGATCACACTATTTAGTAAACCCATATTCTATTTACTTTGACTTTACATATTGAGCAAACTAAAAATCTGACATAGTTTATATATCACACGAATTTGATTTTTTTTTCGCCAAGGAATGAAAAATTCTTGGTGACCGAAAATCATTTTATGATGTATAGAATAGCTTAGGGGTTGATATTCAATTCATCAGTTCTAGCATTATTATTATTATTATTGTTCATTTGTATCCTATACATAACTCAGTTGCACGTTTGGATTATATCCTTTCAATGTTTGTTTGGACATTAACACAGTATGATCATATTCATACAAAAAGTATGGGCATAATCTGTGTATTTCAACATAAACATGATTACATTAATTTTACACTACATCACGAATAACATATTTGACAATAATGTCGGATAGAACATTGAAATACATTATCCTACCTAGATATTTATTTGATAATTGTTAAACACCAGCTTCACTGATCTTTATTTAGTACAGATGATTAATAGTAAACTGAAATACATAAACAATGTTGTAACATATCAATTGTTATATAGTCTAACATTTTATAAAATAATTTCTATAGTTAAATAACTACTTTCTAAAATGCTTTTAGCTTTACAAATAACAGCCACATCTCACTTTTACAAATACACATTGTTATAATCTAAGTCTATTAAACAAATCATCTATTCCTGGATCGATTTTCCAATGTTTTAACATCATACATAGTATTAAGAAAAAACAAGAACAGACTTCATAAATTGGATTTTTGTTTCACTGTATTTAATTCTAATCAGAGATAATTACATTTTGCATGATTGTTTTAGTCAGCAAACAAGAATAGATTATTCATATCGGTTCAAACAAGTATAAACGGTTCTTTTTGAATTCAAGTTAAAATGGCTGGATAAATCAGTCATATAAATATATAAACTTCAAAAATATTGGTTAGAAATTATTTTGCTTTGACTGAAGAAAAACCAATAAAGAATATGAAAGAAAACAGTGTGGATAAGTGAAAATCTGAATAGACATTTGATAGCAGTTTAAATAATAATTAAGAAAAGTGATTTCAAGAAAGCATATTTTCGTCATTATTATTATTATCATCATCAACGCTAAGTATACTCCATCGGCGAACAATCTATAAAAATTAATAAATGAACACTTCAGTATGATTGACACGTAATTTGTCAAATATATTATTTGAAAATATATACCACATAAGTATTTTTACAACAGTTGACAATATTCTGGATCAACCGACAGACCCGCAACACATGCACACATGTGGCTTTTACACAACACAAAGGATTACACAGATGTTCCACCGTGCCCCAAGGGCACGTGTTGTCTAGTTTCTCTCGTGAGTCTGTCGGAAATCCGATCGGACGCAACATGGAGAGGTACCCCTGTAGGGGCGCTTATGGACAAATTCGACCCTTCAACCAATCCTCTACACACATTCCAAAAGCAGCAACGCAGGTAGATTCAGGTAGACCTAGCTACCCGTACAGGTTACCGAGCATCCAAAGTCGTGCACAGAACAGCATTCAATCCAACTAATAGGCCTCCAGCTCCCGCAAATACTAGACAGTCGACCAGGACACTTAAAATCTCACATGAAGCCACCGATTGACTATTCCGCAAGGTCAGCTAGGTAGTACATACTCCCATAGGATTAACATTACGTGCTTGGAAGCGCGAAAGCGATCAGTTAATCTAGGCTAGTCCCACCAAGATGCACGGACAGACATCAAATGCAGTCAAACGCAAATGGGCGCAGGACAACATTCATCCAAATCGAGACACTTCCTTAGGAGGCCTTGACGCCAGCTGACATACTACAATGCGGCGTGTAGTATTCAGGGGAACACTTCGTCGGACACCAAACAGTCCAGTATCTGCACGGCTGCCTCAATGAACACAGCTTAAGACCGCCTTAAGATAGCTGGAGCTACACTCCTTCGAAGTTATTAGCTACAAACAAACCTGGGCCTTCATTTCAATTCTAACCAATGGCTGCTACTTCTTTTAATGTCTGTTTCCGATTTTCGGCGTATGTGTTTTTCAGTCTTCCTCTCTTCCTTTGGCCTCGAAGATTCCAAAGAGGGGCGTACCTTGTAACGCAGTTGGGTGCTTCACTCAACCTGTGTCCTATCAACCCACAACTCCTTTTCCTAATTACTTCCTCTGTTACAATCTGGTTTTTTCTCTCTCACATTAGGTTGTTGCTAATCGCGTCCAGCCAGCGGATCCGAAGTAATCTGCCTAGACAACTGCTAATAAACGCATGTATTTTCTTGATGATGGCTTTGATAGTTTTTCAAGTTTCTGCCCCATACAGTAGAACTGTCCAGATGTTTGTATTGAAAATTGTGACTTTGGTGTTTGTCGATAGTTGTTTTGAGTTCCAGATGTTTTCCAACTGTAGAAATGCTGCTATTGCTTTGCTAATCCGTGTATTCACATCTGCGTCAGAACAACTTTGCGACTGGTCATCAGTATTCTTAATGTTGATGGTCTTTTCAGGCACGCCGTCATGTTCAAGATGCCTCCATACAGTTATCCTGTCCAGGCTGTCAAATGCTTTCTGATAGTCAAGGATGTTGATGTACAGTGATGGCTTAGATTCAATTGATTGTTCCACAATGATTCGTAGTGTCGCGATTTGGTCAGTACACTATCGGTCCTTACGGCATGCAGGTTGTTGATCTCGAAGTTCGATGTCTACAGAATGTTTCATTCGGTTTACCAAACGCTGTCGAACACTTTTCCTACTGTTGATTGTTGAGTGATGCTTCTGAATTTATTACAATTGCTAAGATCTTCTTTCTTTGGTATCTTGGTCGAGTTGTCCTTCTTTCTAGTCTGTTAGTAATGTTTCTTCATCCCAAATCTTGCTGCGGAGAGTACGGAGTATGTTTGCAGTTACTTCTATGTCTGCTTTCAACGACTCAGCTGGCATGTTGTCTAGCCCTGATGCTTTACTACTCTGGATTTGTCTGATGGTCATATTGATTTCTCTCATCATTTGTAGAATAGCATCAATTTTGAGGTCTGTATGTGCTGCTTCGATGTTAGGTGGGTTTAGTGGGACTGGTCTGTTCAAGAGTTCTTCAAAGTGCTCTACACACCTGTTTCGCTGTTCTTCAGTGTCGTTGACTGGTTTGCCTTTCTTGTTCTTGACTGGTTGTTGTGGTTTACCATTTTCCAGCGAGCTTCATTGTGTCGTCAAGTTGTTTCATGTTTCCTTTTCTTGCAGCTTTTTCTGCTATCATTGCTACGTTAACCTTATACAGAGTCTTCTGACTAACCTACGCAAATATGCAAGAATGTTTGAGATGCAATTGTCCTCCCCAGAGTGCTATATCATTATTCCGAAGTAGGGCCATATTGAACTCTAGTAACGATGTTCTTCCCGTTGTCCAGTGCTTCTTTAGTTCAAGCCTACTACAAAGTGTCGTTGATAAAAATTCAATCATTTATTCAACTTGTGAATTAAATATAAGTAGATAATTTAATCTTCTTTAACTGTTTTGAAAAAAATCCTTCACAGTTTAGAAAGAAATTCAAAGACATTTTCTTATGTCCATGTGGTCGTTTTAAACAACAAGTTTTTGACTGGTCAATATTCGTAAATAAAAATATGTTTGCTTGTGTTAAAATTGATATTCAATATAAATTGTTTGTGGTCACACTGTTTATCTTGACAATGAAATAATCTTATACAAATTTATAACTGTTTATGCCCTAAATTATAAATCCGAATGCAATAAATTTGAACTCAAACCTTTATGAAAACTGAACTAAATTTACTCGTTTTCTTTTATATCCAATTACAGGAACCTTAGTTATAATATTCGTAACTCTTGATCGCTGAGATTACTGTCTAAATCCTTTCTAGACATAAATTAATTTACTACTCTAGGACAGTTTGCTTCAGTCTGTCGGGTTAAATAAAATCACACCTATTCTTCATTCGCTGTATTTATTCTTAATGATTTTGAGAGAATTCAATATTTTGATCTCAAAGTTTCAGTAGAAAAAAACCCAGTAATAATCATAATAGAAATAACGAATGACGTACCTTTATATGATGTACTTTGTAGTTTTTCAATTCCCATACAAGTGTAAAAACAAAACCTATGAATGATAAAGCTGTGATCCATTCTGAAATACTGCTAACTACATGAAACGAATAACCCTATTAAGAATGTGAAAAACACATCCAAATGTTTGATCAAAGTTCAATGAAATGTTGCAAAAACAAAGTGAGATAAAGTGAAACAGCTTCATCAATCAAACCTTAAAATAAATATTATTAAGTGTATTTTAAATACAATCGAATAATATTAATACTACGGTTAATGAAAAATTTGTTATTAGACCATTATATTACATAAAAGTGACTTTATGGCCGGTAAGAGTTACGGACATTCGTAGATTGTTAGTATTCGATTGTAGTTGTCTTCAAAGCATTGCTCGTGTACCTTGAGACAACCAAATAAGCAATTCTGTCGTTATGAAACGAGTATGACGTAGAGATGGTTAATTAATAAATGAAGTATTGAAACTTCAGCTGTTGAGGTGTTAAGAAAATGTATTACGAATGCGCAACCACCGACAGCCTCGACGAGTAATGTTTTGTGGTGAAGGAGTAGGTTGGACGAAAGCTATGGGTGGCCAAATCAAAACATGGATCAAATCCATGAAGACACTGACAACTAGACTGTCATGTATTTAAGTGTAGACTTCCTGGTTTGAGTCCGCGAGACGATGGTCAGAGACCTTGAACGACATGGCTTAAAATCGCTTGCGATCGCGCAGGTGCATCCACTCGTTGTGTTCTATGAAATCCTAATCTTCCGGATTCGTCATCACCTCTACCTTTCTCTTTTAAAAGTTATTTTACTGAATTATACTTGACTAACATCTTCGAACCGTAATCTTCCTTATTACCGATAATACTTCTATTATCTCCACTACTATGGGATTTGAACTGATAATTGCTTCTCTGTGATAATGTGGTATGATAACCTGAACTGATGTACGTACGTATGAAGCTCTACGTTGTAACTGACTGACAGAAACGTGACTAATTAACAATAAGTTTCTGGAGTGCACATATCCACATGATTCCTAGATTCCAACACTGAATGTATTCGGACGTCAAGCAATTGAATCATTGCCTAATGGTTATTACTTGTAACATTAGCGGGTTCATAATAAAGCGTGATCTTTGTCAACTCTAATGATATTAAACTTAATCGAGTTGAACAGAACAAAATAAATTAAATAAATAACCGTTTAGCTCTAAATGATTCTTCAACTGACGTCAGCGTACATGACACAGGCTATTTTACAAAATATTATTATAGTAAAACCACTGTAATTGGTTATGACTTTGTTCAAATACGAATAATGCACTGCTTGAATATCACAGTTTTGTTTGTTCATTTTACTTGTTGTAAGAGATTGATAATAAGCCGGATCGATTCGAACTGAGAAAGAAAAGTGATAGTGATTTTTCGCAGGAAAAAGGAACACAGAGAAAAACAATTAAGGTAATTTACAAATAAGAATACATCACAATAAAACTGTTGTTTACTGAAGGCACATTAAGTTTGTGAATATGCTATCAAAATTGATAAGACGTAATCAAAACTCAGAAATTCGCTTCAGTCTACGTAACTGGATAGTGGATGTAGATCTCTTTAGTAAAAATAATGAATCTATCTAACAATTGCTTTAAGGAAAACATTCAAGAAAGCTATTCAGAATAAAAAAGGCTTTATGACTGATATTAATTAGGGTATATGATAAGATGAATCAACCAAATGGTTGCTTTATTTCATCAACTGTTTAAGGTGTTAGATTTAAAGACAGGTTTAGAATGATACAACTAACTTTATATGACCAATGATACAGATGAATACACAATCATATCACAGAACAATTATGTCAGTGAAAAATATGAAAAGAACGATTTTATTTTATCTATAATCTATGGATATTTCTTAGAACACAAAGATTAGCAATATACACGCCTATATGTATGTAATTTCAATTGATAAGGCAATGGGCCATTGAGTGAATAAGATTGATAGGTCGCATGGAATATATGTTTACACAGCATTGATAAATATGTTAATGATAACAGTTTTATGAAGGTCAAACCAGGACAAAATATAAGATCAAGATATTCATAAATATTCTAAACAATTTTCCATATTTTACAAATAGTTGATTATAGATCAGTGATAATAATAATTACAGTGTGAAACCACACTGGTTTCTCATTTAAGAATAACATATATTGTTTACTATTATTGCCTCATCAAACTATATTCAAACATACAGTAAAATTTGTAATCATAAGCAAAATATCAAATCAATTAAGGTAGTTTATGAGACACTAGTAGAGATGGAATAGACTACATGAATAAACAATCAGTAAAGATTCATTTTATATGTTTAGATGTTTAGGACTGCAATCGATTAGTTTCTTTGGAATATATGCATCCTATGCGGATTGCCTCAATACAAGCATTATAAGCCGGAGTTAGATCATGGCTATCTTGACGTGGTGATGATCCAACAGAGCTATATTAGCTGGAACATATGTTCCTGAAGGTCCTACCATACCAGGCAGGTCGATTGGAGAACGACGAGACTAAAAGCAGCTACTCAAGGTCTGAGGGCGAAGTCGTAATGCTGACTGCCGAGGGGTATGACAGCAGTAAAGTGTATCCCTCGGACAACCAGCATCTGCAACGATGTCGCCTTCTCACAAGGAAGGAAGGGTTAGAAAAGGTCGACCCTAAAAATGTCACACCTCATCCCACCTCACGGATTTCCGTCTCCGTCGGATAGGGTTTCCCACTAAGGGCTTTAAAAAGAGCGGAGCTAATACTCAAAAAACCTTTCATAAAAAGGCCGTGCGTGACCGGCCTTAAGCAGTTGTCTTTCGGGCTCTGCGGTCACGCAACCTGGTCGCTAAGACCAGCACTAATTTATCTTCCTTTTCAGGTTCCTAAAGAAACACCCTTCCACAGTGTAGGCAGCCAGGAAGTGACGAACGCCCTCCTACCCGTAACAGTACACGAGACCTATTCGGTCACAATCAAGTCCTTCCAACACCCCCTAATACCTCTCTTATCTCCACGACTAACTCTACTCACATTCCTTTATCTCACTGCGACGCTAATGCAAACGATGCGAGTTCAAGAAACGTTATTCCTGGTCTCCTGAAACCACGTTCTAAATTAAATATTGGGGCTTTCAATGTACGGATCGACAGGCTTCATTAGCTAGGACACTGGAATGTCGAACCATCGTTGTATGCTGTTTCTCGGAAACGCGCATACAGGATCCGAGTAGCGTCATTCACTTGACCTCACCATGTCAAGAAAAAGAAGCAACTCGATTTACCCTTGGTATATCTAGAAGCCCTGATTTTGTTTCCCGGAGTCGCGCTGGTGTAGGTATAGCATTGAGTCCTAGGCATTGAACATGATGAAGAGCGAAGTCAGCTTAAGCGCAGGCTGATAAAAAGCCTACGCAACGTCCGTGAACAGTGGTGGGTGGCGAAAGGAAAAGGCAGTGGCAATAGGCAACAGTAGACAACTTTTCCGCCTTATAAAGGAAACCGGTATTAGAAATCCGACTGTAAGTGAGACTATCTCGGAACGGGATGGTCTTATTATTCATTCTCAATCCAGGAGATTGGATCGATGGGCAGAACACTTCAGGGATCAGTTCAACTGGCCTTCAGCCACACTTCAGTTGTCCACGATCCCCAGTCATCCTGAACGGCATATCAATTTAAGTCCTCCGCATCTTTATGAAGTTGAGTAAGCTATAGGAAATCTGAGGCGAGGGCGAGCAGCGGGACCTGATAGATTGGGGGCTATAAGAGTATGTCAATGACAAAGTTGAGCAATAATAGAGATTGTGGACAAATCTGACGGACACCAGTTGGAATAATCAGTTCCGATGACTCGACAAGTAGTGTTCGAGTAGAGTCAGTATAAGGTTAATGTACTTCTTTACTGACGCCTGGTGTGTTCGGGCTTAGACAGAATTGGTATGACGATACTGAAACACCTAATTCAGTGACTTTGTCATATTAGACGAATCTCATCCTAGTGAAGTGTATATTGTACAGTTTTTCCGTCTTGTAACTGGGTAGGTGTCATGTTTTGAGGATGTCCAATCACATATCAGATACAGGTATACGTTTCCTGTGCACTAGCCCATCCTGGTACGTTCGTGAGAACAAGGAGAATGGGTAAGACATGTAAATGACAACCAAATAATGATGTACGCTAGTTATATAAATATACATATGTCCCTCAGATATTTAATCCAGGACATTGACAAAGTGTATAATGATCTTCACTTAATAGCAAATGGTTTCGAAAAGCATACCAACATTGGCACGTTTAGTCTATTTTCACTCTGCCAATTAATGGAAAAGGCAGAAAATTGTCCAAGTTATAGCATGGTGCTACAAGATAGGAAAATAGCTCCATAAGACTGACAGCTGCCGGCCCATCATGACGCCTCAGATGCAATCCTAGTGACCGTGGCTTGAGACGTTATCTAACGTAACTAAGCAAATAAATCAGTATGGAATGCATTGTAGTTTTTTATTAAATATATTATAAAAGTTAAATGAACTCAAAATAACTGAAAGAAATCTTCGTCACTTGTATTTTTAAATGAACTTATTGAATTTTTCTGTTCATTTATTTATATGGTGTAGGATATTTTTCACTTCTGCTTTAAATTTTTATCACTGTATGTGGAGAAACTTTTTGTGTCTCATGCATGACAGTTTTTATGTACGCACAGACAACTATTTCCCAGCCGGATAAAAAATAACGCACATCATAGTAACAGCAAGCATATCTTAAGCCATAATTCGCTATCTGAAGTTACTACTAGTAATAAGAATTTTCAAAGAATTGGATAAGTCTGATAGGCCAAATGCTTGAAACAACAATTATGAGTAATGCGTAAGTTTTGACGATTGAGACCAGGAGAGATCCCGAAGGCAGATATAGGAAGCAAACTTTACTTCCGAAATTAGTCTTAGGTATGGAGAATATGATTATAAACAAAATTACGTTTAACTTTGGATTTCTATAATCTTACAGAAAAAAAATACTAAAATTAGTCATAATTTGTCCATTTTTAAACTTGAATGAAAAAAAGTTTGTAAACACTGATTGGCATTGCATGTATTTACTCTTGTCGACTTGAAAATATTTACTTCCTTACATAACAATAATAATGATAAGAATGGTAATTTACTATTATTATTATTGTTATTATTATCAATGTTAAATATTATCTTAAACTAAGATAACTCATTTACGGTACATATAATCACCTTTAAACTAAGATTTGTTGAACTGAGAATCCGCTAGTAGTCAGCCTCTTTACTTATTTGACAGTCAATGGATCAATGGTGGTTAAAATAGCTACTAACTTAAGGATAGCCGCGTTTGAAAATAATTAATTATGAAGAATGCTTTAGTGTATGCATATTAAGTAATGTAAGAATTAAATTACAATCAACCAAAGATTGTAAGTAATTCTGCAAGTAAATAGTCCACAAAAATAAGAAAACACTTCGGAAAAGACAAAAAAACAGAAAGCTTATGTGTACTGAGAACACAAAGTACGAGAAATTTTATCTCGATTTTACGTAGTTTATTGGTCAAATACATGTCTGTGCTCAAGTTTGAGCTACATTGCCTTTATGAGTATATATTATGTTACTCAGTTCCTTGAGCCGAAGTATAATGAAGTGGAATTCAAACCTGAAGAATATTCACAAATGCTTGTTTGGTTTAAATCAATGAGAAATGCTTTTATTAATTTTCACTGAATGTGATGTAGAGGGTGGAAAGCAACCCAGCTGGCCTACATTGTGAAATACTTTATCACCTGTAGTATCGACGTATTATCCTACACACTCCTTCCACTAACTAGGTATATACTCATGAAGATTAACAACTTCTCCGAAGAGTGCGTTTCACTTTGAGTATTCTAAACACACTTAATCACTTTTGAAAAATAAACAAGATTGTGAAAAATATACCACTTGGTACAGTCAGTCAAAAATTGAATTATAATAATTATCAATATAAGTATTAAACTCCTACCAATATGGTACAAATGCTAAGGTTGATCAAAATCTCCACCACTACTGTTTGAGTAAGGTGTTTTATGCAAACAGGTAAGTTGTCGAGTTGATTTATTCCTTTAGATTAATAAACATGGACATTCTTTAGGATAGTATCTGAAAATATCTATTATTCTGAAGATTTATAAACTCAATAAAATCTCAAATTATTCAGAATTAGAATTCACCAGTAAGATCTATTTGTAATTGTGAAAACAATCCACATCGTAGAACTATACGTAAATTCATTCCTTAAAAAAATTCAAGAAGAATACAGTAATAATCTTATAATCGTTAGTTTACCATCTAGCCTAATAAAGTTTCCTTTTATTCAGAGTAAACAATGTTTAACTGGAATCCCACACAGGATTTGTCGAATTCATATGTTACAGTATAAATGCTAAAATAATGAAGAATATTGATTAAAAGCATTGATGAAGTAACACACAATTGGATTTTATGTAAGTTTATTAAAACCAACAGAATGACAAAATAATTTGTTATTATTTTAATATGGAAACTAATTGAACAGAAAAAAAAGACGAAATTGACTAACTTTGTCAGTTGGTTTCCATTTTCTAATATTATCTCCATCATACATGAAACGAGCGACTAATCCAGTTGTTGGTTCTAGTATTTTTTTTTATAGAAAAAGATACATGTGAAGTGCGTAAAAAGAAATGAAGGGGGTAGATCATAGAATAAAAAGCATCAACTACAAAAGCTTAAAACATTATAGTTAAAAATGAGGGTTTACGTTACAAGCGGCACGAGACCTACACAACCGCACTAGATCCGAAATTACAACACGTACAACTTTTAACACTGCGCAAATGAGAAAGCAAAGACTCATATATGTGAAAAAATCTTTTACTGCTTATGGAAGAGGCAATTTCTTTACAAAAAATTTGTACAAGCAGTTAAGATACACTTTTGAAAAGCTCAAAAAAAACAAAATATTAAAAAGGAACTGAAGAACTTTAGGTGCATGTGAAGTAATCAGGGTATAAATGTAGAAATTTAGAATTACTAAGTTATTTCATTTAAACACAAATTATTGGTACAAAATGGCGCCCAAGAACCTATCAGTCACACAAATTATTGAATGTGTGTGAAGGTTAGGATACGTCCTAGGAACACAAAAAGGAAGCACGTGGTTTCCTTAGCGTGACGCTCTCCAAGTTCATGACAAACAGGTCTAATCTACTAGATAGTGGAGCAACGTTGCGAGATACAGTCACATGGTAGCCGGTGACCAACAGTAGGTTAATACGCCGCTGGTTAAGAATCAGATTATTCCAATTCACCTAGGAAGATCTTTCGTACCACCAACCGAGTTGTGAAATGCCGAAAATTCACCTATTGTCTTCTTGATTTCGTAAACAACACTTCCGCCACGAGAAGGTAGTGAGTAAGACGTACTTAATAGTGGCTATATACGTGTGGCCATGTAAGAGTATTTCGAGGAGATTGGATTAGCTCCACTCTCGGTTGTACATGATCATTTAGGGACTAGTATATGAGAAACTATAGAAGACTAAAATGTTTTGGATAACTAGTTCGTTATTTGGTAAGCCTCAGTATACTTCACCCAAGTCTCATTACGAATCGAATTCAATGGTTTACATTGCTAACATCAATCAATTTGTACTATAAAATAACGATTATCCAAGGTTTACAGTTAGTAACTGAATCACTCTGAAGATGACTGAACTCAAGCAGTCTCTAAACGGTAGGCTTCGTCCAAAAACCAGCTATCACTGGGAGCACGCATTTATGGAGATCGGTTTCGAATGGGGAAAACTTCATGACGGATCGATGGTAACTTTACAATTCACTATGATTAAATTTTGAAGCTGAATATAAAAATGAAGACTTCTGATCATAAACCTAGTCTCCCGAATATAAATGGAGGATTTTTTATCACTCACCAAATCAAAATTTGTTTTATCTTTGGGGTTCGGGTCTCAGTGGGAGTATGCAGAGTGAGCCGAATTGAAGCAAAGGAAACTATGTGGACCTTTTTCCTAGGTTGAGAAATGAATACTTAGTATAAATGTTAAATTCTAAATAATCCTTTCTGAAATCAACAAAAAAAGCCCTCATATTCTTCAAACCTATACAAAGGGAATTGTTTAGTACTGACTTACGTAATAAAAATGAAAAAATAGAAATGAATGTCAACACCAAACGAATGATGCGAATTGGACTATATTCAAGGTATTTATATGTTATATATGTCACAACAAGTGAATAGATTGAACCACCTCCAAAAAGTAGACCTGCACCGAGAAGATGCATAGACCAAATGGCTGTTTCCTAGAAAAAAAAATTAGATAAAATGTTGAATGCATAATGTTGTAAAATAAACATTGCAGAATATTGTTGCATAAATCGAACGATTATAATGATAAATGCGTTTTATGTTATTCAGTCTTTATAGACTCCTAATGCAACATAACACTAAACCAGATAGAAGTCGGAAATAAGACACAACAAGCTGCTGAAACAGAAGTCTCATAAAGCAGCACATCATCAAACACACTGCTAGGATCATCAAAAGAAATAATAATCACTATATCTCTGAATAAAGATAAATCAATAAGACATACATAATATCACCAACCTCGATAATTTCATCCTTGTACAGTTAGAAAATTCATAAAAAATGACTAAGTAATGCAGTTATAGTGAAGATAACTTTATGCCGAAACAGCGCACCAAAATACGACAAAAATAATATAATAATAATGAGAATGCCGTGTGAACTAATTCTATGGAAACAGAAAAGTTAGAAACTGTGGAGGCGTCACATAGATGATTGACTAAGTGTTTGATAGTTGGATATAAGAGTACAAAATATCGGTGGATAGTGATTTCTTTTCTCGGTGAATTCGTTTTTAAACAGATCTTCATCAGCTGTTATCTGTTAACAAAATTTACATTTGAAAAAAGAAAATAACTAAGGATTCATTCTTTTGACATCTAAATGATTAGAAAACCAGATGCAACTGTAATGTAATTTATGGACAGAAAACACGTATGACATGAGTCCCTCTAAAGCTAGATCACTATTTGAAGAAAGAGGAATTTAATTATTACTATAGAAATACGGATCCAATAAATGCAAAACCAGGATGCCATGGATGAAAAATCAAGGATTTTAACAATAATACTAATTGAAAATGGATATCCACCTAGATTCGTTAACAGCAACATGAAGTTCAAAACTCCAACAGCATCAGTAACCTCTCTAACAAAACTCTATACGCCATCATCACTGTAAAAGGTGGCAAAGCAGCAGATATTTTAAAGAGAAGGATTTCTAGCTCTCTACAAATAACGTCCTACTCAACAGCCCAAAGGTTGGTGTTCTGTAGTTGGTTAATGTTTAACAACCTAAAAGATTGAACTTCGAATCTGTCTATTTAAAAATTCAACCGCTATAGTGGAATCAAGAAAAAACGTTCATCAATGAGTGTTCCATCGAAAAATACTCTAAGACATTTTCCAGTATTTTAAGATGATGGAGAAATTTTGTAGCTCAGCTTGATGATTACGGTGGCATTTCATTCTCTGAATTGGATGGCTCGGTCGAGGAGTTATCACTTTTCTTCTGAATATCATCAGCACAAACTTCAGGTAGCAGTGAAGTGTTCAGATTTCTTCACATATGACTCGTAGCTTTTCCTGTTGACCTCGATATTGACTGGCTTTTAATGACCTTTAGTCTGTCGTTTATTTTGGTTGTGTCCCCATTTGATGTGATTCTTGATTATATATTTGACCATGATTTTTCTGATTCAAAACAACAAAGTTTGGTTCTGATTGCTTGAGAAGTCAGATCGATTTTGTTGTTTATTAATCAACAATTCGAATACCTCACTCCTACATGAACTGTGTGCTGACGATATTGGTCATATTCATTTTTTTCCATTGTTAGTAGGTTAGCATCAATTGTGAGGTCTGTATGTGCTGCTTCGATGTTAGGTGGGTTTAGTGGGACTGGTTTGTTCAAGAGTTCTTCAAGATGCTCTACCCACCTGTTTCGCCGTCCGCCAGTGTCGGTGATTTGTTCGCCTTCCCTGTTCTTGACTGGTTGTTGTGGTTTACTCTATTTTCCAGCGAGCTTCGCTGTGTCGTCAAGCTGTTTCATGTTTCCTTCTCTTGCAGCTTTTTCTGCTATCATTGCCAGGTCTTCCACATATTTACCTTTATCAGTTTTAATGCTCCTTTTCATTTGTTTGTTTGCTTTCGGGTGTTCCACCTGTGCCTTGTCTTTTTCTGCTCTTGTTCGGATGTTGTTGATTGCTGTCTTCCCGTTTTTCCTATCTTTGCATCTTATCCGGAGTATCAACGGAGATCCATTCCTTATGACAGTGGTTCGTGTTACCTGATACCTCATGACATGTTGAAGTTATTGGTACTTTGATCCCTCTCCAGTTGTTCACCATGGCAGTTTTCTCGTGAAAGGCCTGGAATAGATTACTGAAAGTTAACTTGTATTTGGTGAGTTTACCTGTATCTGGAAGAAAGACCGTGTTAAATTCTTGCAATCTTGTGTGCCCGATGGTCCAGTGCTTTTTAACTGTAGCTTTATCTTAGCCACCAGTAGGTGGTGATCTGGGACCGTATCAGCTTCTCTCTTGTTTCTTACGTCCTCCATGGTCCTTCTGAAATTTTTATTGATACAGATATGGTCAATTTGGTGTAATCCATGTAGCTTCGTGTATGCATTTTTGTGGAAATATTGTGCCGCCGATGACCAGTTTGTTGAAGGCACAAAGGTTTGCAAATCTCACACAGTTTTCGTTTCTTACTCGCAGTCCATATCATGCAATGATATCTTCGTATCCGGTGTTGTCGATTCCAGACTTGGCGTTTAGGTTTCCCATCAGAATGGTCAGATTGTTTTCTGGGCATTGCTCGACGATTGACTGTAGTCGCCCGTAGAACTGACCTTTATCGTCTTCATTGTAGTCGTTGGTAAGTGCATAAGATTGGATAACGTTCATCGTAATGCCCTATTTCTTCGTTTTGAAGGATTATTTGGTGATCCTGTGTCCATGATATTTCCATGCTATATGTGCTTTATCGGCTTCGTTGAACAATGCATTTTCTTCATCATGATCTAAGTTCGACAGCATCTCTTGAAGCTTATCTTTTTTGTCTAGCTTGTTTCCACTGGATTTCACTTATACTGATTATTATTTGTTTGCACCTTTTCATTCCTGCGGCAACTTGAATGGTTCGTTCGGTCTCCAACATTGTGCGGGCATTCCGTGTACGATAACAACTGTTGCTCTAGTATTCATAAGGAGCGTTGGCCTCGCGGCTCTCGAAGAAACTCGGCTTTCTCTATGAGGCGTGGTAAATACCTTTCAACTCCGAGGGCACAGTTAAAGTGGTTCTAATTATTTTTTTGGTTAGCGTTATTTGAGCAAATTAGTCTTTTGCGAGATGAGTTTTATAACCCTATGCTCAATTTCCCCCTTATATTCGGGCTTGTAACCGGTAGTAACCCTAGAAGGGCTTCAGGAAGAGGTTTAAGTGTGAGGTGCTAATAGCTTATTTCTAGCTTCTATAACAGAATACCTTCAAGTATAAAACTAATTTAATTCCATTTTTGTAGCATTGGGTGCGTATTAAGTATATTATATGGTAAATAGTATGCGAACGTAGTCGCTTAAAAATATTTTAAATGGAACATACTAACCACAATCGCCTCACTAATTAGAGTATAAAAAAGATATATGACAACAAATCTAGAAGTTCTGTTCATTGAAAATTTGTTTATATAAATCTGGAATCAAAAGGTAATTTAAACAAAGAATACACTTGAGTACTCTGTATGTTTAATGAAGAGAAAGTATGGTGCATACATAATTTGATTGCCAATTACAAGCCATATTTTCTGTGTGATTGATGACCCTATCAATTTACCTGGTCCTTTAGAATAAAATACATTGACTCTTAACATTGTTCACCTTCAAGACTCGTAAGGGGGCACATTTCAATTCTGCATGTATTCAATCCTTGCATATTTAAGTGACTTCGATCACTTTTTAAATTCATTTGATGATTTAAGATTGTTCATAGATTCCGTCTTCAATTACTAAAATCTTTCTTTTGATTCTTTAAAACAGTAAAAATCTTGACTTTTCATCAGATACGGCTTGAATAGTGTAGACAAAGCAACTGAGTTCTACCTGAGTATTTATCTTGGGTTTGAACCTATAAATGTTGTGATTATTAATATTGTTTTCCGTACTCTTCTAAATTATTTTTCATATCATCTTAAATTTCTCACTTAATTATTTCATGTATTATTCTCCTTGTACTTTGACTTCTCATGATGAGATAAATGAAGCACTTATTTTATTGCACTTACTCTGTTCAAACTATCATACGTTACTTCTTTATTATTGTTATACATTTTTTCAGCTACGTACATTACGTAGATATTGAGCAACCTTAGCATGACAGTCCTTATTATTACAAAATCAGGATTACTCAGCGTATGGATTCCATCAGGGCATTTAAGCATCAAAGCATATATGACATATAGAGAATGATAATTTGTATGCACAATAAATTACTTCTCGAATGTTCTTCTTCTCATTACAACATTTGGTTTTAAAATAAAGACATAAGTAAATTGATTGATAAATAAATTATAGAGATGATATTGTTGACTTAGTAATTTAGAACATGTTCAGAGGTAATCGGCCTAGACTTAGGTTTTGCGGTAGTAACCATCCTTTAGCAAGGTGTGCCCATAATAGCAAGGGAACTGCCAGTCCTTGTGGAATTAAAATTCACATCACCCAACCAATATCAGTGAACCACCTAATTTAAAAACATTATACATGCGATACTGAAACATTTAGACTGGTGGCGGCACTGCGACTTAATCCTTAGAATCTGATCAGCTTTAAAAGGACAACACAAACATGAGATTAGTCCTTACTAAGTGATCAATAAATTGTAAATATTAGGCATCTGAATGCAATATACTATTTGGTGTTATTATTTTTGCACTTTAAAAAAGATCAAAGTACCGACAACAATCAGAAATCAAAAAAAAATGAGGTGGAGAAAATATTAAAACACACTGGAAAATTCTAACTATTTCACAGTGAAGTGTTCAATAAATGCAAGAAAACCAATAACTGCACGCTAATTAAATACTACTAATAAGTTATTAACCGAAGAACTTCGGATAATCAAACAGTAATATAATACTTCTCTGTCACAACGTGAAGATTGGAACAACACATGTAAGCGGACAATATTGTTTTCGATTCGGCCGTCATTAGGCCTTACTCTAATATAAATGAACATTTATATGAAAATGTTAAACCAATCAAGGCAATTCATGGGTCAGTAATCACAATCAAATACATTACGTAACTACACATAATAGGTAAAAGTGCAAGTTGAGAGTAGGAAGATAGATGTACTGCAGGTGGTAAGGATAATAAAATACAGTAATAAAAGTTTTAGCGAATAGTTCGACATTGAAAGTAGCGGGTCAAACGTGAATAAATCGACTTAAAATAATAATCACAAAACATTATTGAAATCACGTAATAAGAAATTAGATAATGAAAGATATAGAAAACACAGTCTAATGAAGTTTGAAGGCTAAATGGTCTAACAAACCAGAAAATCAAACGTTTGAATTTTTCGCATTAACAATAACCCTAATCTTGTGAAAACTATTGAAATATGCCGAAAATATTCAGGGATCTAGGGTGGGAAATGAATTGTTAACGAAACTCATGTAAATGTTTATGACTTAATTAAGTGATGATCTAGCTAAGGTAAGTTCGTGATTTCAACTATGAAAATAATACACTTTCCACAAATCTCCTTCATTAATTGCTGAAATAAGTCTTGTATACTTTAAATATCTGACATCATGCTCCATTTTTCTCTAAGTTTAAGAAAACGTTGTGTATAAATCTTTATAGAAATTGATTTTCGATCATGTCTTTTAGTAAATGTGATATTGTTCTGTGTTATTAATTTACAAGCATCTTCGGAGAATTGCTCTTAACTGCTTTCGTACGTAAAATGTGGGGAAAAAAAAGATTTCAATACAGATGAGTGTATCTGCTGATAATACAACATTTAGGTTGATTGCAATAACTTTGTCTTTTCTCAAAGCGAAAGGTAGTTCCAAGAGTTCCAGTAAAAGCCGTGACCAGTGGAACTCAGCCACATCAGCCTTGGGAAGAATACTACTGAAGATGATCGTAAATTAACTAAAATTAGAAATGTAAACTATCAGATCGCGAAACAGTGTCCTGGAAGTTGAGCACTCACCAAGAGCCCTGAAGATCTTGAGTTTAACCCCTGGTGGAGAAGGGAATGTGCGCTACTGATAGGATAAAATAGCTGTATAGTGACTCCTGGCCATTAAATGTTTTATAACTAACGTTATTCCTTGATGTTGAATTTGAAAAATTAATTTACTTGAATGTACAACATCAAATTACTTAGAAGTAATTGTGACGTAAACTTATTATGATGTTATTACACATTAATTCACAACATTCAATAAAACATTTAGACACCAATATACAGTGATGTTTTTAAACGTGAAAATTACAAGATAGTATAATATTAAGTTATAATATTGACTTACCTGAAAATTCGCTACTATACTCATACCAAATGCACATATAAGACCAAAACATAAAGCGATTCTAGCCAGTCTAATTTGACGATAACGCCGTTGATTAAATTTCTGACTACAATCTAACAAATGTTTATGCCACGAGTAGAAGCATAAACCTGCTTTATTATAACGAACAGAAGAAAACGATAAAAAGCACCAGATTACTTTAAAGATATTATAGAAGAGAGGAATCAACATGTATTCCTAAATAGTGAAATTATTAGACCACCAAATGAATATGAAATCAATGAAATAATTAGAAATATTGTGTAGCAAGTATACGATACTACCTTAAGGTATCCTATAATTGGTCACATGTTGATCAAACAATCACATATTCAAATATTTAGTTATGTTTATAAACAAACGACGAAAGAGAAAGAGATAGTGTGAAAGTTGACAGGTACGTTCAATAGTTCAACTTGTCAAATGTGAGGAAGTCAACAAATTCAAAAGTGGTGAGTGAAAACAGTTACACCTATGGTAAAAGAAAACTTAACATAAACTTGGCCACATTTTCTAACTTAGTTCTGCTATAGCCATCAAAGTATTGATAAGTGGGGATGTATGACAAATATTTTTAGCAAACATGCACACGAGGGATTTAAAAAACAGTTAAACAAGCTTCGCCTACTTATCTATAATATATCAATGAACTAGGCCAAAAAAGTAAGTGACTATTCTACTTTCAATTAATAACCTAACTATCTTAATTGATTATCACAATTAGGCTTGGTACTACCACTATCACTATCAATATCGATAAATGTTACAGTCTATACGCATCAACAATGAGGGCGCTATTACAGTATGCAAATAAATTCAAATGAATTATAAAACTGAAAATCCTCTGTAATGGTAGATTTTCAAAATATCATGAAAGTATTTCCCGCTAGAGTAGCAAAGCTTAAAGTATCACATAACATTTGACCAAATTTTTGATCCATGGATTTTTCACCAACAGCTAAGATTTCATTTGATTACTACACAATGACTAGTTGATAAAGTTATATAAATACGTACAGTGTAATAAATACTTCAAAATTCAAAGATTCACTTATCTTGCATACAAATAAATGATAAAAATGTAACACAGGTTGAATCACAACCTGTTGATTATATTCAAATATATTTAAATATCAAATTTTTAAATAAACTTAATAAAAGTATGTGATATGCCATTAAACAATATGAACTGAATTATTAATCGTTTACCCAAAACTGAAACAATATTTAATAATTGGCCAAAAATACAACTTTCTGGAATTCTGGAACCGGCATCACTTAGGCATTTTTAAAAGAAAAAGAACAGTAAAATGTGAACTAATTAGAATCAGTATTTTTATTAATGGCGATAATAATGAAAAATACGTTAATTTATTTTTTATCTCATTTATATTCACTGTATATGACTACTTTTTATAATACTTACCATGTAAAACACCATCTGATCGACAGTAACCAACATTTCAGTTAATTATACATTCTTTTGGGAACTACTAAACTATAGATTATACTTTCTAATAGAATAGAAAGTTAAGTAGAATTAAGTCTAAGTTTTCTTCCTAAATGGTAAGAGTTAGCTGAATGTACTTGAATCTCGCCGTTTACGTCAACTACGAGACTCAGGATTAGTACTTAAGGTTTTAGCGAATACTATAAAATTCATCATAAGGACTAACAAATTGTTTTCATTCTATCTTCCTCAAACTGAAAACGATTTGCTCCAACTAAATTGTAAGTTAAAACAAATATTGGCTCATTTTAGTTTCATTAAATGGTTTAAAATCGGTCACAGGGAAACAACTGCATCCACCTTTTATCCTTTTCTAATTTTTGAGTTTCAATTTTATTTAGTACATTATATCTATCAGCTGCATTCACCTGTTTTACTGTTCAACACTGATAGTATTATCATTACTCCTGTTGTTTTGCTGTTCTTCTTGTTAATTTAATCTCACCATGCTTATGGAGTAATGGCAACTTGGAGGAACTCATATATATGCCAGCATCTAAATTACAGCTGGCAGAAGTAAAAGTTCGAACATGAAAAAAAGTCAACATAAATCGTCCGTTGTTTGATAAAACCTTTAATTTCAATTGACTAATAAGATTCATCGTCGTGAATATCGACTGATATTGTATGGTATTACAAATCTATCTTACCCATGTGCATAAATAATATGTCGAGATTCTAAACCATAAACTTTGAAAAGTTTATTACAGTCTAATTACTCAGCCATTCATTGTTGCTGGCTAACATATCCACCTTTACCAAACAATATGTGTTTAATTATTCAGCTAAATATTCTGTCCCAGTAAGAATTCTGGACCCTTTTTCAGGTCAGTTGCCACGCCATATTAGCATAGAGATGCAATTGTCAATACAAATGCCACAGTCGTTGAGGTATTAGCAGTAAAGGCGAAGATTACAGACCGAAGATATGATTTGAGAGGTATATCCAAGTGGAATCAACACATGATGAAAATCCACTACTTCATTAACTGACCTGCTATCCTTACCTAATACCCTTTTTCTAACACCAACATTGCTTACTCGGTGGTCCTAGGATATTCGAGCAAGCCTGACTACCGCGTCAAGGTAGCAGTTACGGTTGGGGTTACTTTATTAAGGGCATAAAAATTTGATTGGAAAGTTCATAATCCTTACGAATTTATCTGACTTGATATTTAGATGAAATATAAACGAAGATTTACAATAATAAAATACAAATCTTTCAAACTTTCTCCTGGTTGGTGCATAGCTTTCCGAAAAGTAACTGCCTATCGTGACAGACAGGCAGATACAACAAAGAACTTCGTACTGATGTACATCATTTTTCAGGAATTATAGTTTGGTGATATAAATTTAGAAAGACAGAGATGAGGAATTCAGAAGGTTAGAATTTGAGAGAACATAGAGATTAGATGCACCAGCGCCATTGCAAACGATTTTGAGCCATATCGTTCAAGGACTCTAACCATTAGTGACTTTCATCTCGCGGACCCCAACCAGGTAGCCTACATTTACCAACATGACTCAGTCCACTTGTCAGTGATTCCATGGATTTGTGCCATATCTTGATTTGGCCGCCACTAGCTTTCTTTCAACCTACTCTTACACCACAAAACATAGCTCGCCGAGGCAGTCGGTGGTTAGGCTCAGCTCAACTGATGAAGTTTCGATACTTCATGTAAGGTGTCTTCGCTCTTCATCATGTAAAGATAGCTTAGGAACTGCCTATAGTGATGACCCAACTGACTTGTCAGGAATTGAACATTTACCAGGAGATTCTCTAATTGACTTAGAATACGCCGAAGACATGGTTTTACTTGGTGAAGAGGCTGAAAAAATGCAGTCTTCTGACTACCCTAAGCAACAATGCAATTAAGTTCAGGATGCGATTCTTCCCCTCGAAATGCAAAATGTTACTTGAGGATTGCCTTGAGTTGGCATAAAAACTAGTGATAAGGAGAGACGCAGTTAGGTGTATCTAACGCATCACTTAACTTAGTAGTCTCATCAAGCTTTATGGCATCGTGCCTGATGAAATGTAACAATGTATGTAGCGTGACTCATTTACCAAGTGCAAATACATGCACTCAGCAATGAGTCATCCAGTTGCGTGAAGATTAATGATGCTATTTAGTTGCGCAGACACGAAAGGTGAAGGAAGGTTTCAGCATCGCACCTATTGGTTAAAACTTGGTCAATCTGACTGTTACATCGTTGCACTGTAGTATGGTAAGGATGATAATTGTTGCATATGCTAACTTCCTGTCAGACACACCTTTCAGTCATTTAGTATTGAATATACTACATATATACAAACTACTTAAACGTATTATGAACTATGGTTTACAACATGAACTCTAAAATGTAGGTGCCAAATAGGACGAAACGCGCATCAAGCATTTCACTGCTAGCCACTATCCACCTCTATTCTTAGTTATAGTTAGTTTATATTTTTTTAGAAATCCAAACTGGAATCTAGGTATAAATAAAGTATGATCTCTTTGAAATATATACACAGATGTTGGTGGGGGTATCATAGTTGTAAAAGTACGAATCCAGTTTTCTCTTTGTGTTGAACTGATATAGCCGAAAAATTTGAAAAGAGCAATTAAAGTCGGCTTTAATTTACAAAGTTGATGACTTTATTTACTATTGCATCACATTTTATGATTAATATTATGAAGTATTCAGTATGTACTTAAGGAATTAATAAACAATGGTTTACAGGTTTGTTATTCATTCATTTACATTCAGCGAAACAGAGTTTCTAATGTTTATGTGCTAGTATATTATATGTTATTGTTTTATACATCCAACTATTGGATTAGTTTTAGCACGAATCAGGTATACGTGTTGGAATTATTAATTTTATCAGATTTTTCATACACAGTTCTCTTGATTATTTTTAAGAAAGCAAGAAAAAAGATTGGTGCAGAATAATATGAATTCATTGGTTACAATATTAGTTAACAGAAAATAAATAATATATACTGCCAACATACTAGAACAGGAATCAATCAATATTAGAAATTGTTTAAGGAACAACGGATACCCACAGAGATTTATCGACAAATACAGAAAATGTCAAAATAACCGAAAAATTTACAGTAATCACGTTAGTGGGATAAAGATTAACGCATGTTCCATACACGATTGAGTTGTTGCACATTGATTGGCTCTTTCGTATCCAATCAGCACTAGTCAATACTGGGGGAACATTCTACAATCTTCCCATGTAAGAAACTAAAAATATACTGACGTTTTGAGCTTTTTGACTTCCTCCTAGCCTTGCTATTGGGATATAATCTATTTCCCGTTCAACCGTGTTCTGATTTGGGAGAACATCTCGAGTGTATTGGTGTCCGAGAATACTAAGCGTTAGGAATAGTTGGGTTGTAATAAGAGTGAATTACAAAGAGTCATAAAACCTATTGTTATTCCACTCAAAATTAAAGGCGATGATGTCACGGGAACAATCAACCTAAAACTAAAAACTGAATTGACAAGAACATATTATGCAGCTAAATTGATCGTTGAATCCAAAACAAGATGCTATTTAACACAAAGGTCGATAGGTATCCCTTTCATGTTACTACTAACTGAGTATACAAATTCATATGTATCTGGTGGGACGAAAAAAATTCCTACGTCCAAATTAAGGAGCATATTCCAAAAAGCCTAATTTCAAATGGACTAAAGGAAGTTAGCAGTGAGATCTCAAGACATCAAGTTGATACACTGACGTATTTCAAGGTAATTAATAAGCAACTCAGTCCCTATATTCGGAATTTTACCGAAGCTGTAGTCATTAGACGTTGAAAACCAAGTTTATGTGTTCAAAGAGAAACAGTAAATCTTTCCTCGCCCTCAGTCAGTTAGTCAGTTACAACGTAAAACTTCATACATACGCTGATCAGTTCAAGTTGCTATACCACAGCACGGAGACGCAATTGTCAATTCAAATTCCATAGTAGTAGGGGTATTAGCAGTAACTGGAGAGATAACGGTTTCCTCACCCTAGTAACATTACAGTAATTTTACTACTTTAACTCTTTGCGATGGTTTGATTGCATCATTTTCGTTTCGCTTAAATCCCTTATTTTGATTTTAACTGACTGATTTCAGCTCATATTACTCTTTATTACCGTTAATCTGATCTGACTTACCTCATCACACAACTGTCTAAAGTTTGTTAACTGCTTGATTTATAACCGCTAGCTCGATGTTCTGGAACTAGCTTTCTCACACTTTATAGATCTGAACTAGGAACTCCGCAACATGATGACACATACATCTGTCTCTAAATACAATCAATTTCTATGATAATATTGATTTTAAACTATTATAGGTTGTAAGCAACTGAAGAGAACCTAAAGAAATAAAATGAATTCATATTATTCTGCATTAATCTTTGTTTTTGCTTTCTCAGATTTAGTAATATACACTTACCTTATGTAAGGAAAGTACGATGATATGTGGTCTTGTTTAAGGGAAAGGAAATAACTGCAATGAAACAAAACGTGAATTAATGAGTGGTGGATACAAGTAACAGATGAGCAAATAAAAAAGATTGTAATACAGAACCCTATAAAGTTGGGTGCTTCTACGTGCTAGTATAGAGTCATTAATAATAATAGTTGATAATACATTTGCACACGACATTAAATCAATGGAGATGAATCCAGACACCAAGAACATCAATAAGCTGATAAATCATAACTTATGCGTATAAGATGCAATTAAAGATTATTTCAGAGCCAAAAAATGGTACAAACTGGACAACTATGAGTTATATACCTAGTTGATAGACAGAGAGCCCATAATGACTCTACGTAGATAAATATCAGAGTAGCTAACTGCATTTATAACGATCTTTTTCAAATGTCAAATTTTCAAGACTGATTAAACTTCTCAAATTAATACAGCAATCTAGAGGGTCAGTAAGATCATTTCATAATCTTAAACTAGGTGAACATGTGGATCACCCTTCAGTTGTCACTACATCTGATGAGTGTGATACGTCAACACCTGGGGTTCTCGCTAAATACAATGAATGGACTAGGTACGTTGTCGCTATTTCGAATGACAGCCCTGATATAAGGAAGTATTACGATTATTTGAGAGAAGCATGCATATAAAAAACCATCCTTCATATCCTTAATAAATGACAGTAAATCATCTTGCAAACAAATCCAACTTTCAAACTGAGCACACTTAAAACGAAGATTTTATTTTTAACATCAATAAATGTATTCAAAATAAACAGGAAACAATATTTGACTAAAATATGAGTAGAAAATTCGTCAGAAATTTCAAAACCACGTACCAAGTCGTGACTGCAACAAAAGTGAGGATACACACGAGAATCGGTAACAGATGCAATCCAATATCGTTTGAACAAAGAAGCATTGATTAAGATGGCCCTAGGGTATTACTGATTATAAAAAGTGCCTGATATATATGGAAATTAATTAATCATTTAGGAACAAATCATGTGAAATTTTATAAATAGTGCATAAGATCAAATAATATTCACTGCTTTGACTTAGTACAAACGAACACTATTAGCACAGTATATTATCTAAAGCGATAGCTTGGTGGTTTAGGTGTTCGGACTGCAAGCACTATGTTCCCACTCCACCTACTTTAGTTTAGGCACCCGGATAGCTTTAATAGCATTCGAGTACAGGAATCTGTACTTGATAAATGAGGTATATCAACATTGCTTGGAGAACGTCGTCTGGAGATATCCTATTTTTTTTAGAAAAGAACTAGGTGAGAACTGGCCATCAAGTTGTGAGAATTTTCAGGTACATGAAATCGAGAAATCCTGTTTAACAAAGCCAACTGAAACTTTAAATTTAGAAAACCGATGTCATACTACTCGTACAATTCAGAAATAAATATTAATTTTATTTGTGACAATTTAACCAACTACAGCTGAGATGCTGTGCTAATGTATTGGAGCAGTGAAGTGATAAACTTGGAGACTACTCTATGTAAAGTAAGAACTAAAACTTAACTTCTTCAACAGTTCTAGTTTGCTCAGTCTTGACAAGATAATGAGTTTGAAGAAAACATTACAAAGTACCAAAGTCAGAAGCAGCAGCGATCCCAAAAAGTACAAACTGATGCTTAAAACACTCGATGTTCATGCACACAGTTTATATTCTTATTCCATTTAATACTCCTACAATTTATTAACAACTGATATTCTAAGGATTTCACCGATTATGTAGTATAAACAGAAATATATCTAAGACCATCTAAGGATAAAGGGCTTACCGACTTAAACAAGAAAAGTGGATCTCAAAATGGACGCTTTAATGGTGTGAGTCCGAAAAAAACTTTTCGTCGTACATCCTACAGAGTGAAGGTTTACAAACAGATTCCTATTTAGAACTTACTTACACCTTTATCTTGAGCTGGCATATTAGCCACTTACTCAATGAGAAAAGTCGTAAGAACTCATCAGAAAGTGCCAACATCTCGACCACAGTAAATAGCTCTCGCCGTTAGATTGTAAAACTGCAGGACCGCATCCGTTATGTGGACTAATTACAGAAAAGCCTAGCTGTGTTGTTTTGTAAAAGCAGTTCTGGTATTCATGAAATCTATTTTCATGTTGAGGAACTCCGCATTTTAAATAAACCCGAGCAATTAAACGGGATTTCAGTGTCATTAATCAACAAAGGGAAAGTTCCTTCATTACATATTAGCAGTTGTAGAATTTCATACAGCCCACAAATGTCCAGTCACGGACGTGAGTGGTGAGTCCGCTTTCACTCTCGAAATGCACGGAAACATTGGTAAAGAAACACCTAAATATTTCTAAACTACACAAATTACTAAATGTGTGAGGTTCGGGATACTACCTAGGAATACAAAATGGAGCACGTGATTTCTTTAGCGTGAGACTAAGTCTTTGATAAACATCGAAATACTATAGCTCATGTGCACCGCTGGTTTGGAATCTGAGTATTTCAACTCATCTAGCGGGATCTTTCGTATCATCAACCCCGTTGTGAAGTGCTGGAAATTCGCCTTCCGTCCTCTCGATTTCGTGAACAACACTCATACCATGAGGCAGCAGTCACGTCAGAGCATTTGAAAAACAACTAAAATATATTCACTTTCTCCCTCTGTAGTTTATAAGATAATCCTGTAACTTCAAGAAACGGTGCTACCTGGTGGTAATCTTTCTCCCGGTCGGCAAGGTAATAGATGAGCAAAGGTAGTGATCAGGCTAGCGTTAACACATCATTACAGTCACCAACGATAACTTACGCGATCGAAAATTTGACTCTACGTAGCATACTTTGGTACCAGAGGTAATTGGAGTCAAGAATTATATGGAATGTGATATGCAAGTGGTTTTGTCAGCTAGCAACAGCTATACGGAGAAATTAATTATATCGTGTGCACTTGGATGCATACTTTTGCGGTCAAAGTCATTGTTATTCATGATTAATCGATGTACAGAATGTATGAATACCTTAGTTACAAATGTTATGACATACAGTCACGATCAAGTTGAAATTGCGTTGTCCATCACTTTAATTATAACCTAAAATTGAGAAACCACCTTATCTCACGATGAAAAATGTACAGTGACATTTGTGGATGTAAACTACGTCAAATGTTTCGATGCATAAAAACCCAACGAAATTAGGTTTTCGTAATCATCTATGAGAAAGCCAACTTCAAAAGCTGTAAACTAATTGCGTCTACATAAAGTATACGCTGAATCATGTTAAATACTTATAATCAAGCTTAGAACAACAAAGCCCAGACATGCTATCAAAATCTGAGAGCTTTTTGAATTAAATTCGCTCATATGCATACTTTATAAGCAAGTGGAAGAAACAACCGACAAGAATGTCCAAAAAAAGTCCCTCAAGTCGTAAGCATAGACTCTTTTTATGCAAAATACCTGAAAAATACGAATTTGACTGGAATCCTTCGGACTAATATGTCGAAAAAGTAACCTCGTGCTACACAAATCAGATGTTTCACCTAACCTTGAGTTTTATAAACCGCTGACTTATTCAGTTAAGTGTTATCGCTGTAAGAAAAACTTATATGCCAAATACTCAACATCGAACCGATTTTAGATATCATCTAATATCCGTATAATTACACGGTTAAGATGGAATGTATTTTAAGATTTTAGAAATTTTTTTCTTGGAGAAGAAGATCAGAATTTAAACAACGATTTTACTTATGTAGCGTTAAAATCCCTCAAAATCAGTAGTTCTATAGTGTTCACTATTGATGATGACCTCATTATTTTTACTGCATACACCTAAATGAATATGTTCTCACATCCGCACAGGACCGCCATTGTGTACACCGTGCAAAGCATCTCCTACCATCAACTAGTAAACTTGGGACACTCACTTCGTGACATACCAAAAAGCGAAGAATTGTTGTCTAGCTCTGAATATTCATGAAATCCTCACATGATTTGAAATAACATAAATATAATCTGTAAATAAAAGTTTTTAAATTTGAACGAGAATAACCTAAAGGTCAATAAGCCATATACTCATAATCTCATCTACCGACAGCGAAGAAAAAAATAAAGTCGATGGAACTAACAAAACACCTACTGACACCTAAATGACCGGTTAAACAATGCTCCGAAATCCGAGTGAAGTACTGATAAACCAATATCTGTAAGAGAATTCCCTTAAAGACCAATAAAAACCTAGGAACCAACCACTATGATAGTCTGAGCTGATAGATGATGGTTCTTAAAAGTCTTTCAGACGTTGAATGAAACATTGGCGTTCGTTCTTAAACCGAGTGGGCCTACATACTATCATGGGACTTAGCGTGCGTCTGCTGTTTCTTCCGTTGCACCTGACGTTCGTAAAGTCGCTGTATCCCATGGCTATAAATTAGACGAATCAAGAGGACCTAACTGAGATGCTTTGATCTCAGTTCACTTCGGATAATGACATCTCTAGTTACAACAGATGTTGCAAGAGCCGACCTAGGTGAGTAAGATTTCATCAAGAAAGTCAAACAAAAACACTTTGGTGTCGATAGGCCTCGATCAACTAATCATGGTACAGTGCACTAATGCCACAGTCCTAGTATCAGGACACGCCATGAAAGCAAAAAGCCTGTGGTGGGCAGATCCATTACAAACTAGAAACCCGTGAACAAATGCTGACGCAATGGAACATCGCGCTACAAAACAGTTTTTCAAGTGCCTGTGAAGTAAAGCCAGAGGATCAAGAAGTAAATCGGATGGAATCATAAACTTATACTAATGGTTGGATTTAGGGGCACGAATCTCAACGGAAACACGATTGATGTCTTGCATCGTGGACGACGAAGTCAGCCTGTGAGGATAGACACATTTTTGATACCAAAGGGAACAAACAACAGAAGTTTTGAAGAGTACGATGTGAGTTCAAATCCTCTTGCTTATCTTATGTGGATAAAAGAACTTCAGTGGCAGTGATCTAAGCAGGTAATAATACTCATTCTAAATGAAATTCTCACCTTGACCTCACATTATGGGTTCCAGGGTTTCAAATAATGCTATACGCACCTTCTAGACTATCTCAGTTATATAACTCAAGGACAGGACAAAGAACCACTAACATTAGTTCTATTCCACGAGTTTAAAAAGCTTTTCAGGAGGTCCCATACAGAAGGCTGCTAGTTAAATGAAAGCCATCAGAATTCACTGACTTCCTATACTCGTGGTCTGCTTCAATCCTAAATGATCGTCAACAAATGGTTAAGCGTAACGATTGCCTATCATCACAAAGACCAGTAGCCAGTGGAGGTAACCAAAGAAATTTAGTATGTCCACCCTAGTCTGTTATGTACGTAAACACATGTAAAACAACAAAATCTGCATGACTTTACAAATACGCGCATGATAATAAAATAGTATACAACAAACATCTTTCCTCAGAAACCCTATCGCGTCTCTTGTAAAACGCCATTATTTGAGAATGAGGATGTTGTCATCACTATTATCAGTATCCCTTGATGGCCACGGATATACTGTGGGACATTCTCGTTCGAAACTATATTATTTCATATATGTGAGCAGGCTGTCGTCAACGAATTGGTTACGCACGCCACCTATTGCTTTGTTTGGAGTATTCACCACTAAAGCGAGTGAGAATCACGGCCGTGATCGTTAACGTAGATGCTTGGACAGGCTTTTTTCATCTCCTCTATAGCTTCAATAACCTAAAAAGTCAGTTTGAAGTCTTTTGCTCTCCCTCTAAGAGAATGTGTCTAAGGTTGCTTCGCTCATGCACAATCAGGTAAGAGGCGGTGATAAAAATTATTCAAATCTAGGAAACCTCTAAGTTGTGGTAAAGGACTTTGTGTGGTGTATTTTTCAATGTTGCCTACCTCCTTTTAGATTGATGTAATTACTTCAGAGGGTTATTGCACTCCCGAGAAATCCTAAAGTCTGTACTCCGAAAACACACTCTGGTGTACGCCCATTCCGTTTTCATCTAGATTTTTGAGAACGACTCTTACGTATTGTTCATGCGTTGCTATGGCTGCATTGGCGATTAATAAACCCTATATGTACCCTCAGACAAAAGGCATATCTTGAAGAAGATTGTCTATAAACCCTTGAAGTATTTGTTCTGCGTTGTCGCCAACTGAAACTTGGAGGTGACACAGGAACCGGAAGGGCCATTTATCACCTAACTTCACCCCTTCGAAAAGACTTCGCGACTTTCAACCGTCAGATGGGGATAGGCGGACCACTACCTCACGTGTAAATGAGGTACATTTTTGGGACATGTGGAAACTCGCAATCATGTCGCGGACTTCTGTAGTAACTGGCGAAGGGAGGATGGACCCTAAGTCTAGGTATCGAATTCCTCCAGATGCAATATTGTGTCTTACCGCTCTAAGAAAAACCCTCTCATTTGAATGATAAGATGCGCAAATCGCGAAATAATTATCGAAATGACTAGGATTATAACAGTTGAGTAGCATCGCTAACACCTATCTGCATCCGAAAAGACGTCGAATTGTACCGGAAAATCAAAACGAGGTGGAGAATACACTTATTGCTTGATACTGGATCGTGAAAAAGATGTTGGATATTTGATATGCGAACAGGATCACTTTTTTAGATTTAACATCCTAGGAGATTAATTATCCCAGTTTACTTAGCCACAAGTATAGCTGACTGTCTAGATATCATGTGTAAATCAAAGCAGAGATGATCCCTGTTTATTTTTGAATCACGTGTATATTTATCTTCGATGCCCGTATGAAATTTGCATCATCTTGTAAATAAATCTCAGTTAATATCACATTAGTAGAACAATGAAGCACCAAGTCTAAACTATTACGACACTGTACATGAAACTATTTTTTGTAAGCTAGTGATTTAAAATCTGTCAAGTAACATTGTTCAGCCATTTATTCTATCATACATATGCACGTCATTCTTTTGTTTACCAGAATAGCAAAAAGTTGGACTTCGTTCGGAGTTTGAAAATTAAATGTATTAATATATTAAAGTTCATAGTATGAACGACAAAAACGAATGCTTCAGTTCAATAATTTAATTTTAGTGGTGTTTCAATTCTAAATAATTAGTAGTGAATTCATTCATTTGTTCGTTTGGTTAGTATAAACATTTTTTTCTATTAACGTCAGTTTCAAAGTAATAATCCTCGTAAAGTGATCAAAGAAGGATCTAATTCGGTATCGATAGCTTCTTTATAGAGAAATTATTTTGAGTGTCTACGCAAAATAGAGATAAAAAGGAAAATATTTTATGGAAAGATATTTGATTTTTATTCATTTGACTGAAAAATAAATAATACTGTGCTGTACATCAAAATGGTATTTACTAAATGCTTGGATGTCATCATTAGGAAGAGTTTACCGATAGAATTTGGCCAAAACGTCATGATTGCGTATAGAGTTTTCGTCTCTAGATTGGCGATGAGTAAGGTAAATGTCTCAATAAGTGAATTATTTCTTTATCTTACCACATTCTTATTAGATACTGATAATATTTGTTGTTCAAGTATGAATAATAATAACGAAAATGAATCCACTTTTATTCATCACAAGTCGGTTTTTTTCAGCTAAGAGAAAGATGTATGCTTTATTTTTTCATTACTCCTATTTAAAGATCCAACTTATAAAATAAATCCTTTATGAACCTCAATCCACTTCATTTTACTGTTTGAGATTGATAAAATTAGTTTTACCATTTCCGATTTTTGATAGATAACATTTCTGCCCACATCTCATGTAAGCATCTTTAATATTTTTATTAAGAATAATGATTTGCCATGTTGATTAGTTACAGCTCTAAGATGGTTTTTAATGTTAAAGTACCGAACGGACTACAATGTCATGTTACATACAACACTCTGAATATTTTTAGAAACAGTTTGGTACGAATGATTATGAATAAACAAATACAGATATTAGGGTAATTATTACTGAATTTCAATTTTTCTTAAAAGAAAATCTAGTAGTCCATTTCAATGTAAATGAGCAAAAAATAAATCATGACATTTCAGTCGGTAATAGCACTAAAACTTACGAGCATACAATGTATCATAATTTATTATGGTTAAAAAAAATCTAAAACTTGAGATCGGAAAAAAGAGTATACAATATGAGTGATGAAAACATTTGGAAGTGTGATTCCAATATTGAGGCTATAATTATTGGTCGGTGAAAAGTAACAAATAAGAACCGATGAACGTTGATCTAAAAACAGTGTTTATCAGTTAGTTACATAAAAATCCTTGAGGCGGCTAAGATTACCCATGAATTTCACAAGCTTTTATGTGTTAAAATATGACAACACAAACGATCTATACTACCACAAATATAATCGACTCCTAATAACTTTAGATGATACTTAGTTACCGATGGTTTTATTTCAGTTTAGGATGCAAATTTTCTTTAGAAACAGTGGTGCTCAGCTTCAGATACTCTGACGTAGATCTTTTATGTAGATATCGTTATATAACGTTGTGTTACACAAGCAACTGTATAACATCTTGTTTAGTTGATCACCATGATCCAAAAAGAACTAGATAATAAACAGTTGAGAAAAATTACTAATTTATAACATTCAGTCAATACAAATAGATAGATAGATACAACTATATATATATATATATATATATATATATATATATATATATATATATATATATATATATATATATCGTCTGCAAAATCGTTACCTTTATACGAGCGTGATTTGATTTCCAGTAACAGATTCTTGATTTTTTGATCTCCTGGTTCAATCGTTAATAAACATTGGCTGTAGATTGTAGCGTTATGATAATCCTGTCAAACAAACAGATACACGAAAAAAATTATTGTCAAGAAATCAATCACATCTAATTACATTTAGTTTTAAGAAGCCAACGGCTAAATGATACAAACAATCACTTTGTAGTTTTGTCAGTTTGTTGTCTTTTAAGACATCTATATTTCAAAAGATGTGTAAATGAAATTTCGAATTAGAATTTACATAAAATTACTTCGATAGCTTTCATTACATTAGATTCATCATTAGTTTTCAACAAATTTATAGCATAGTCTATACATATTTCATATCCTAATAAGTTTTTACTGTCAGGTAAATTAACAGATTTAAGTGACATATCATTTTTTCGTGATTGGATAGTCGGTTTCAGCAACGACGATTTAAATTTTGTCAGCATTACTGGAACCATTTCAAACGCATAAAGGAAAAGATAGCCAATACGGAAGTATAAAATAATGAATAATTTTAAAATAAATGACATTTCGCATAGTCTGTTACATGCAGAATTGATAAGATATAAATTGTGCTTAAATATATATTATCACATGAAAACTGTAAGAAACCCGTTTCACAGTACAAAGATTTCTCGTTCAATGATTTGATATTATCTTAACACTTAAGTATCTGTTGTTTTTTTTTATACTTTGGAACGATCAATCAATTTCATTCATACACATTATGATATTTTCTAAGGCTAATACTAAACCTATCTGTGTGCATGTATGTTGTGTAGATCTGTAGATACTAATTTGTACATCGGTTTATTCACTGTACGACACAAAAATTACAAGCATGAGCTTTCATAAACTATTGTAAGTAATATAATTAGGACGTGAATAAATCCTATGAATTAAAGAACACTTTACTAAATGGAATGAACTAGACCAATTTTTAATTGATTGTTCTATGAAATGCATAAATAAACCAGTTACAATAAAATGCACACATTGGATTGAATAAGTGGAACTTTAAGGAACTCAGCTCAACTAGTAAAACATATACAAAGACGGACTCTTCAAACACACTACTGAACAATATTAACATTTGAGTGTCATTTTATCGAAAATCAAGTCTCTCAAACTAATATATTTGCACCAGTTGAAATGAGCACACACGAAGATGGTTCGACAGTGTTGATTAGACTTATTTCCTGTTTTCATTCTACTGATTTCGACTTGCTAACTGATGTATTCAGTTCTTTCTTTTGTTCGATTGTGTTTTATTTTTTTCAACATTCTCTCTACTCTTATAAATCTTTCTGTGTTCGACACGTAACAGATGTGAAGTGAAATATTTGAACATAAGTTTATACGTCTCCCGTTAGATGGATTTTTGAGTCGATCATCCTAAAAACAAAGTTGAATTATTTTAAGGTAAAAGTATTATGTAAATGTTTTGATGTTCCTTTCGCAACAACGAAGGGCCTTCTACCTAGATAAAATTAATGAAACCTTATTTAAATGATTATCGGTAGAAATGTTGTCAATTTTTCTGAAAACGTAGAACTTATTGTTTTTTTTTATGATAAAATTCTATTCACTGTTTCATACAACAATTAGAAATGTTATGATATAATTAGGAGACCGTAAGTCCTTGATTAGTCAACAAATAAAGCTAAATGTTTTCGAAAGTCATAAGTAGTTGAAAAGATGTTAACAATATTGGATTTAGGTGACCAGATTTGTAGCATCAATGCTCAACTATTCAATAATGATCGTCTAGACAGTTTGCTATAGAGAACAGTCAATTGCTACGTTTTTCAATTAGCTTACTCATGAATCACAGAATATTTATCAGAAGTCTAGTGTTTTTATAGCTAATAGAAATCACCATGACATTTGTAGAAATCTGAGGGTTTACCAGTTGATTCAAGAACAATAAACTGCATGTTTCTGACTAGGCCGACTTTAAATTGCTGATCTACAATGTTAACCGTTTTGCTAAATAAATTTAAGTTTGTGATTTTTCATGTTTTAGTATCAGTGATAACATCATGTTGTGTCTCCATAAGTCAATGTTCCAAGTTTATGAATGAAATTTTGTCCAATTTAATATTTATTACACTTAGTACAGCTTTTTTTGAAAATAATATAGCTTTGGTCCTCATTGATTACTGAATCCTTAGGTCTGAGTAATATTAGTCAAAAAGAGTCGTCAGATTTCGAGCGATTTGATTCCCATGATTCTTAAACCTTAGTAATAATTTTTGAAATGTTTTTTAGAAATGTTAGGACGATTTATTTTTTGCTTTCAGGTATAAATTTATCAGTATATTCCGACTTGCTAGACGCAGTGTGATGAAGTTACATGGACAGCTATATTCAACAGAGACGGTTAGAAAACTGGTTTCTTCAGGTTTCTCTGTGACGTATATAATGAAGTGAGTTTTAGTAAACTGAGTCTGTAGATAAATCATCTTTTTTTAAGTATTAGATTGTGATCTGATAAGGCGTCTGCTTTCCTCTCCTTCATTTTTATCGGTGTTTCCAATCCTTCTGTGTTTTTTCAGTTGATTCAGTTCTGTTTCCAAGTTCTTCACCAACAAACGTGATCTCCTTTAAATTTTATAGACCAACGTCCAACTATTTTTCAGTTCGCCTATCTTTGTATGTATATATGTATGTATATGTATATATGTATGCTAAAAACTCTCTTCTATCCCAATGGTCTCAGGAAACTGAATAGTCACGCTTACGAATTCTAACAGCAAATAGGATTCCTGGCATAGCTTTTCTGAAACTGTATTAGTGATCTAAACTCGTTTTATTCAATGTTATCACAATGCTGTAGGTCGGAGAACAGGAAACTATGAGTGCATTTGGTAATTCTTGACATCAAAGTTTATTGGATATTTAAGACCTGTATTTAAGTTTCGAGAGAATTACTTCATATTTATTCCACATTTCATTTCATAGGCTTGTTTTCAGAACCCTTATCTGAAACCTTTTTGTCAAAATGTTTTCGTTTGTCTGGCATTTGTGTGGCCCCAAACATCAGAGCAGAAACAGTACTAATTGTCTGGGTCCTCACTAACAGTCTTTTATGTGTCATTAGATTAGAGACCTCCATTAAATTAAGAAGAAACCTCTGGAAAAAATATATTATTTAATCGGTCTTGGTCCAATCAAGGATTAGTTCTACTAATAATTAAATGATCTCAAGAAAGAGCGTCTGATAGATGTTGCAGTATTATTCGAAGGTGCAAATGCCCAGTGTGAGCGTCCAAGTATCGAGAGGTACCACCTGGAACTTCTTGGTCACAAGTCAAACAAAAGCGACCGTCTTCTACAGCTCTTTTTGGAGTACTTATGTTCTGGACTCAGAGCATGATCTAATTTGGGCCAAGCTAAGTTTTCGATGATCAAAAAAATTATCGTCTTAAATAGACTGATGATTGTGAATTGTCTGGGATCTCTATCACAAATAAGTCGAGCTGGATTCAACGCTAGCCATTACAGAAAACTGTAGACGATCACTAGCTGCATTTCCTATATGCTCTGCTTCATGGAACGTCTCATTCGCAACGCTTTGTTATCTACTACTTTTCATCTGGAGCAAAGCTTGTGAGTCTACGGAGACTTCCTGAAACTACTTAAGCTCATCTGAGCTAGAAGAAGCAATAAGGCATGTGCGAGTGAGACAATCTGTTTAACTAATAGTGCGCGAACTGGTAACATCCAAAAGAATATTGGATGGTCGGCAGAGTTTTCCAAGGACCAGTCCCGATCTGGGAACTGAGTAGATTGTTTGGAGATCTCTGGAGGTAATCGTGCTCTAACGTCCTGAAATGAGGTGATAGTTGTCCCTATCCTCCAAACAAGGTCTGCATAAATTGTGTGAAAAATATCGTGCGATAGGTCTACTTCCTACTGTATTCAAGAAGTTGGTTTCCACCATACTTTACCTAATGTTTAAAACCAGCAGTAATGTCTAGCAGAGTACAGGCTGGTTTTCATTCTGATCATGTCTTCATCTTTCACCTAATGTTAGAAAATTGCTGTACTTATTTCAAGACACCAATCTGTAGGTTTCCTGATATCAGGATAGCACTCAACTGTTTGTTCGCTGGAACTCCCAGTTGAAGACGTTTATGTAGAAATGTTTATTTGCATTATGAACGGTTTGTACACAAACACCTTAGAGCGAGAACATACAACCACCACTCTCCACTGCTCCATTCCTGCAGTCTGGTTGAGCAGGGTTGCCAGATCTAACTATTACACTGCGACTTGCCATCGATAACATACTACAAACAGCTCTAATGGAAGTAGGTAGTAGTAAGATGGATTTTTTATCTTGAATAAGACTTTCCAATATTACGTATGTGAATGATGCCATCTGACAGTGTGAGGATGTGTATCGTTCTTCACCAGTTGGTAATCAGTGTCCGTGGTGTAGGAAATAAACTTCATGCCTTCTAAATGCAAACTTTCCCGCAAGACTGAAAGGAACCCATGCCTCTACTTACTGTTTCTGGTGAGGTCTTGTAAGCAACCGAAAAATTCTTGTATTTGGGTAGTTGTTGACAGAATTATAATTGGTTAGTATTGGAAATCGGAGACACTAAGGCCGTTATGGATCATCTTTGAAACCATCATGGTGTTATTCCATCTGTAAAACGTCCCGTCTATATTGCATCCTTGACAGCAGCATTTTCTCTGTGCATGTTAAATCTAGCATGTCTGAGGTGAGAATGTTTGGGGACTCATTGCATATAATTATCGTTGCATCTGAAAGATTACTTGACTTTCAATACCAACATCATGTTAGTAATGTCAGGGTTCATGAATGTGCGTTTAGGTACAGTGACGGTAACTCAATTTGTGTAACCATCATTTAACACCAAATTCAGAGGCTTCTTCATGTGTCACAGTCTCAGTGACTTCTATCAGACTATAACGACTCCCTCATTCAGGTCCTAGACGTGGTGCAACGCAGTGATCTGCGACGCCACATGTCTCACAAAAGAAACACGTGGCGATCATTTTGTAGTTAATTTGAGATTCATCCAAAACATGATGTAAACTTCTTCAGATGAAAAAAGTCATTACTATCTCATTTGTATTGTTAAACGAATTGTATCTGCCATAATTCGATATTCTCATTCATCCTTTGACACATTCTCTCGGCTTTCTAGGCGTTCTGAGTTTTGATTCTTCCCTCACAATATTGTTATTGAGTGGAGTACTATACTTTCAGGACCCAGTTGTATCAGACTTGTGTGTATCAATAAACTACAAATAATAACTGAAGTATCAAGATTTATGGTTTAAGTTCAAGTAAAACTATGGCCTTGAGTTTACTCGAAATTCCCAACTGAGTTATTTAACCCATTATTTGATGAGATAGAATCGATAAAAAGTGGTACAGTCGTTATAGTTTGGTTTTATAACAAACTGATTAACATTCACAACTACGGAGTTGATAGTCAACAATCGAGTATTAAATTTGTTGTAATTAAACTTTAAAATTAAGGCGAAAGATTTTTCCAATGTTCCTTCATTCTACAGTTTTCGCCAGCTGACATCGGTTCGTGATAATAACAAACTCCAAATTTATTGATTTCCACACGCCGTCAAATTAAATAACATTTTAATATCATTAGGTTTGTACATTTATCAAAAGATCTATAAATTTCCTTTCTCCAATAACAATTTCCCTAATTAATTTTGATATATTTATGAAGTTAGTTTGTTCATATTTTGCTGATGAGAAATTCTGATGTGAAATAACAACACAGACAAAATTTTAGCGAAATACATTTGCTCTATGTGAAATCACTTGTGACGTAGGGCTTGCTTAACTAATTTCCGGCTAAATCCTATTGCTTAGTATTCTCTGACCACGATACACTGGGCAAGTTCCCAAGAATCAAGAACACGGTGGAACAGGAAAAGATTATATTCCAAATAGCAAGGTTAAATGGAAAATAAGAAGGCAAAGGTGATGGCGAAGGCGAAGGCTAAAATAGATACAACGTTAGTTTATTTATAGCATTTACATGAGAAGCTTCTGAATGGAAATTCACGTGATCGACAGGATTAGATTCAGCCAATGAGCATGCAGCTAACAATAAGAGAATTTTTACCCTGTTTCCAAGAGTCGAGCATGTACTGATTGGATAGGAAATTAGCAGCCAATCAGCGCGTAGCAACGTAGTCATGCTTTAATTCCATCTATGTCCCACTAACACAATAGGCAAAGAGGAAGACCAAGAAACACATTACGTCGAGAAAACAGAGAAAGACATGAGAAGAATGAACAATATACTCCCTCGATCGGTTAGCAAAGAAGCTCGCGAGATAATTGTAAGTTCCCTCATGTCACAACAAAACACCACGTTACGTGTGAGATAGTGATCGGCTTATCCTCATCGGCTGGTCAAACAACACAAACTTTGTTGAAGGGGTGACGTTATGTGATAAATGGAACTTCGAGATATTATTCTCATTTAGATAAAATCTGAAGCGAAACCAAATTCTTCGGAATTCAGGATTATTAGAAAACCAGGCGTCGTCAGAGAAATACGTTGCGATTGTCTATAAAACATACATAGAGCGAAACAGATATGAAAATAGATATAATAAGAAAATTCACTTCTACGTAGAGGTTCCGATTCACGTACACAAGTACCATTATTTCTGTCCAGACACAGTTCAGCCATTTCCTTTTATGCTCAACGTTGAAGCACAGTTACAAAGTGAAGATAGTACAAATAATCCATTCGAATGGTTTGTATTCTCAAAAGATTTTGAGAGGTAGGGAATGATTTCAGCTATTACATGTCAAATAATCTCTTACTCAGCTAGATGTTTCATTGTAAATCAATGAGGGACAAATGAATCAGATGAAGAGAATGGTTTATTATTGTTATACGTCTTGTGGGTGAATGGTCGGGGATGTTGTGAGGAATTGTTTTTCTATATTTCTTTTCAAGGCCAAAGCCTCGAGATATTTTGTGTTGCTTTCACATTATCTCGTTATCTCGTTATCCTGGTGAGCGGGCTTCAGTTACTTTATTGTATGTACCCTATCTAGCCATGAAAGTTTTTATTAACTGCTGAGTTTGGCAGTACGCTTTTAGTTATTTGTGTCCAAATTGTAAGTTGACGAGATCAGCAGCTTACGTTCTGCGGTCACAACCAAGAGAAATACTCTTCAGAGTTTGTCTTTTTCTTGATGTGCAAGTCTGCGTCATATAATGTAGTACGCAAAGAGAAACTTGGCAAATGGTCTCCAAGGGAAAATAACCTGGCTTACCTATGACAATATTAGTCAGTTTTAATATTTGAGACTATCAGTTTGGTTCAACGTTTAGGTTTACTTAAAATTATTTCCCCTATATGTCACAAAAGCAGTCGGCTAGCGTTATGAGGCTCATCTTTATCACCGACTTAGGTCATCCTGCTTCTTCTATCATAACTTTCTAGTTTGTTATTCTGCCAAAAATCTTGTAGATATACTTACCAACCCAATTCGTATACGAATTAGGCCACAACGTTTTTATTATTAATAATATGATCACTGTTATAATTTTCACGTCACTGATATCACTGCTGATGCAGGTAGTCTCCTGTAGCTGAGCATTTTCCAATTAATGAATTAACCGCTTGAGGAAGGTATTGTTTGGATGCTTCCGTTTTATTAGTCACACTGCTGACATCTACTCTTGTAGATTTTTGCACACTAGGCGGACTAAATTTATTTTCATTCGGGATTTGAATGTAGCGTTTATGAGCCTATGTAGACTATGACCGTTACTGTAATCATTTCTCTCATCAAATCTAATGTGATGTTTATAAGATAGCGAATTTGACGGACAAGACAAAATCCAAGATACTAACTTTTTCTAAGCTTCTGAAAACTCACCCATGGTTACTGAAATAGATTTTTGAAAGTGTATGGGTATTATGTAAGACCGATTGTCAATAAGAAACCGCTGTTGTTATCCCGTATTTCTCAAATTAAAAATACATCGTAGTCTTTAGTCTGCCGACTTTGACTAGGAAGCAGTGTTTAATCCCATCCTTTGTGACAAGTAATCTTCGCAACATGCTCTGTCTACCAACGATGTAACTGGTTGGTTGTTGCTTCGCGAAATCGGGTAGTTATTCTTAATGTTAATTTATTTGCCTATGGAGACTTACCTGATGAAGTAAAAGTGTCGTGCTTGTATAACTGTAGTTTTGTTTTGACCGTTGCATAGTCAGTAATATGAGGTTTGGCAAAGGATGAACCGTTCTATGAACTCACTTGAGACGAATATAACATGAAGGCCCATTGTTCTACCACATTTGTTTTATATTTTAGTCCGCAGTGAATGTCTGCTTTTTAGTTCGAGGATACGATTTGTTTGGCAGCATGCAATTGTTAGGGTTTAGTTGTGAAAAGTGAACGTTGTGAGATGACAATTGAGTCTTTGAATATAACTAATCAGAAACTAAAGTCGTTAGGATGTTATTTGTTTCATATCCACTCGTAACCTTGCTGGTTCGCTCAAGGTTAACAGGTGTTCAGAGAAATAAGGCATTCTGTAAGTCATGTGCAACGTAGAACATGACATGTGCACACCAGTTCAAGTCGCCACATTACATTAGCACAGGAGGACAAAATTATCAAGACATCGAAGGGTAGTGGAAGTAGTACAGTATTAGTAGCAGTAGAGAAGGGTGTGTAGAAGAAAAAGGAAAATTTATTAGGTTACAGGACTCAGATTTTAAAGGAAGACAAGGAGTAAATGCATCTATGCCATTGCGAAATATTCTGCGCCTTATCATCTAGTCTCTAACCACTGATTGTAATAATCATATGGACCCCAACCGGATGGTTTACAACTACTTATACTGCTTAATTCATTTATCGATTACCTCAAGGACTGGTTCCACCTTTTAGTTTGACGTCCTTTTACTTTATTCAAGCCTACTCCTACATCTAGTAGCCCATATCCTTTGTTACATTGAAGAGAATTTGTTGTCTGTGCGATGAATGTCATACAGATCTCAAGTAAAATAAGAGACTGAGGAAACCAAAGTCTAAGGTTGTTAATGTCGCTATTCACACCCTGTTTTCATCCACCTGAACCTAGTAGATCCAACTCTTAGCTTTCCCTCTTGTCTAGATTCTTGTGTTAGAGTTGTTTTGTTTTCCGATTATGTGTTTCAGTACCGAGTTTCCCTCATGAACGAACTGTAGCTTTGTAAAACACTCAGTTATAGACCGACCATAGTGCAACATGTTGGTGACGTGAAATTTAGTCAAAATATCTACTAAAGTTCTCTCTACTTCCACGTTACTCATCAAATATTTTTATGTTTTACATTTAACGTCGTTTGGATTTTCTTGCTTCATAGTAGATCGTTTGGAAGTTCTAGATGAAGTCTAATCCAGATTCACCGATTATTTCAATCAGTCCAAGGCATTATATTCATGTTCTGAACTTGAACACTCATGTCACTTCACTTGTCGTTGGACCTAAAACATATGTTTGTCAACAGGATGAAAAGTGAGTTCGCTTATTATCTACTGACTACTTCTTAGGATCGTTCTCGGACCGGAGGAACTAAGTGTTGTCCCGGCGATGATGTATTGCGTGATTCGGAACCCTGTCGTAAAAGACAAAGATGGTGTTCCAGTAGTCGATAAATTTGGACAGGTTAAAGTTCGAATGGGTGATGAGGAGTACCGTTTCGCCCAAGATCCTTTCCCATTGTATCCAGGTGAATCTTTGAAGGATGTCATTAGACCTCTCCCTGTTGTCCTCCCAAACTCAGCACTCAGGTTGCGAGCCGCCTCGGATTTTGAAGATGGAAATGTCAAACGAATAGCTGGAGAGGAATGGTTGTTTGAAGGACCCGGTAAGTGTTTTCTTTTCCGGATGGTCGGTGATTGGTTTGGAAACAGTTCATTCTATCTGAATATTATTATCGTGGTTGTGAACATGAAAGCTATCAGAGACAAATGTCTACTGTTTAGAATGAATAAAACACAATTATTATGAACGGTTAACACTTGAAAGATCTGTTCGTATCTAATTGTTTTAATTACGTACAAAGTAATTGGGTGTTTCCGTCATATTCATTGAGTTATAGGATTCCGAATTGTTTTGACCACCGACCGTTTGTTCTGTGTGTAGGATTGCCAAGCGTTTCGCTTTTGTAATCAGCATATTCCTGACACATTGTCTGTACGTTGTGTTGACACGTATATTTGGATTAGAAAGTGACAATAGTTTTGTGTCAAGTTACTTATTTATGTTACATACAAGATGCACTTAATTGTACACGGAGACGTTTTAAGTCACTAACTAAAACCTGGCTAGTGTATAACTTTTCTTTAAGCTTCACTTATCTTTGCGCACCGAAGTTTAGCACTATGTATATGGTGGAAACATTCATTTTCAACAGACTTAAAAAATCCGAAATTCTTATTCATCAACCCGTGGTTGTTTAATTTGACAAGTAGATTAACCACCTGGTTATCACCGACTAAAATTTCAAAAAAATACACCTTAAATCTTTGGAAGCATTACTTCGGTACATCTGTAGGTCTTTGATTGTCACAATGGGTTCTTGAAGGTGGATAAATCATATCACAAATGTGCGAGAAGACAAAGAGTGAATGCACCTGCACCATTGCAAACGATCTTGAGCCATGTCGTTCAAGGTCTCAAACCATCGGTTACTATCGTCTTGCTGACTCCAACCAGGTAGTCTACATCTACAAACATGGCTCAGACCAATTGTAAGCGACTTCATGGTTTTGTGTCATGTTATTTTGGTCTCCCCTCGCTCTCTTCCAGCCTACACCCACACCACAAAACATAGCTGATCGGGGAAGTCTGTGGTTAGGCATACGTAACACATGTCCCAACCACCTCAACGGATGAAGTTTCAATACTTCATCAACTGATCTGCCATCCTTACCTAGAACCCATTTCCTAATAACAGAATTGCTTACTCGATTGTCCCATGATGCATGAGCAACGCTTCGAAGACATCTACGATCGAATACCAGTAACATGTGAATATTCTCTATTCTCAGTAGCCATGTTTCACACCCGTAAAGTAGCACGGAGCAAACTTTGGCGCAATAGGCTCATCCTTTGGTTAGCAGTTGGATATCTCGCCTACACCATAAGTGACGCAAGTTGGTAAGTACCAGTCGAGCCTTCTCTATCCGAGCTGAGATTTTGTCAGTCACTGAGCCATCAGCACTGATGAGACTCCCGAGATAAGTAAAGCGGTAAATACTCTCAACTACTTCACTTCCTATCCCTAGTTCAGGTGTCGATTCAAGGCAATTATGAAGCAACACTTTGTATTTCGAGGGGTGGGATATCATGCAGAACATGTTTGCTGTTTTTCTAGATATTCCTGAAATATATTCTTAGCTTTGCTGTCGGTAAGCAGAACACTAAGGGGGCCCTTTGATGTCTGTTTCTTACGTCCAGTAAGCTGCAAACAAATACGCGCTCGTACTAGAGCATGATCTGAATCTAAACACGTGATTCAGGATGAGCGGTAGTCTTCTGTCGAGCCCCTCCATCGGTGGCTGTCAGCGATGTTATCTAGTCGGGTCCAGCGTTGTGTCGGCTTTGGGAGTCGCCGTCTCGAAACGTATTTTATCTTATGTCTGAAGTTAGTATTTGCCAGAAACAGGCGGTTATCCGAGCATAGCTGTTGTAGACGGTCGCCATTATCTGTTCTTTGGGTCGCGACACCGTCAGATCCGCTCAGGTGTCTTTAGTATGAAATGATATCCGAAAGTACTGTGTGTATTGCTTGCAGACGTCAGCAAACTTTTTATATTATCTGTTTTCACCACTTTGAAGTCAAATGAAATAAACAGATTGCATCTAAATATTAAAATAAGCTGGTTTTATTCATGTGGTTGGTATAACATGTGTGTGTATTGATCTTCTTTTCCTCTGTAGGCACCTATTACCCTAGAAAAGAGGTTGAAATTGTAAAATACGAGCAAGCGAAGCTCATTCTTGCCAACTCTGCCCTTGTAATGGAGGCCATAAAAGATTGCATCGATCGCAGTGGTGTTCCTCGTGTTTATGGTGAACGGTGGCTAGTTTCGACACCAGGCGCATATCTTCCTGGTGTCTATGAGCAAATTGTTGAGGAACGTAAAGCGATTACACTAACCGACAGAGTATGTAAAAGGTTATTCAACCTTTTGTAATTAGCTATTTCCTGATTGTGCATATCCTGATATCCTTCACAAAGTTGCTGTGATGAGTGACCAAAAATAGTTGAGGTGTTAACCTATATAGGTCCAACTACTGGTCAGAAGAATATATTCTTGTATGTTTGCTTCTGAAATTATTGACTAGAAACTTAGAAATTTTGTGCTTACAGATTTTGATTGAGTCAAAATTGTTTCGATAGTGGGTTAAATATGATTTGTGCATCACTCTAGATCATTTCTTGCTTTATGCAGTTACGTTCGTATATATCGATGAGTGTGACATGTAATGTACAAAACCTACTAAATGCTTAGCTACCAGAAAGTGCAAGCCGTTATTAGAATATGTGATGGTATAATTTTAAAGCTCTATATTAATGAGTTTTGCTACTACTGACTTTTATGATGAATAAAACACCTTGTTATCTTATTTTAGTAATGATTTCATACAAACCATCTGAAATGGAAAAGATAATGGTTTGATAATCGGGACTTGGGTCTTACAAGGTCTGTCATAACTTCAAACGTGTATATGCTCGTACTCTGATTTGTAGAACACAGTTACTGTTTATCAGTGTTTCTCAGATATATGTTACCTGGTATTTTATTATAGAGGATGTATGAGGTATTTGGCTAAATGATATGTAGGTTTGTGTATATCTTTGTTTGACTATGTGACGCCACAACAGATGATGCCATCGATTGATCGCTGTAAGTACAGCCATAATACCTCGGAAATTGCACTCCAGTCTTACAGTAAAATATTTTATTTGACCAACGTTATTATTCCTTTTCAGAGAGCAATATGTGTCAAGGCTGTTAAATCTCACTGTGACAAATTCGGGAAATATCGCAAAGCTGGTGAAGAATGGTTAATTACGCATGAAGATGCAGAGTATCACATTTGCAGCGCACTTGAAGAGTTTGTGAGTGACGTTGAAGTCACAATCTTGCATGTCCACCAGTTTTGTGTTGTGGTCAACCCTTGGGATGAGAACGGTGTTCCTCAGTTAGGGAGAAAACTATTGGTTCGTGGTGAAAAGTCATTCTTTCTGAGACCAGGAGAGTCTTTAGAAAATGGTGTTCAGGATGCTTATATTTTGCAGAACGATGAAGGTCTTATTCTTCGAGCTAAAGAACAGTTTGTTGACGAAATATGTGGGGACGGTATATCTGAGGAGAACTCTGCAATGCAGAAGAAATGTGTAAGTTTCTTATTTGTATCGTCCACTAGGTCGAGCTCCAATCTTTTGCGTACCTGAGATGGTAAACAGTTCAGAAAGGTTTAAGCACCAATCTGGGTTTATGGTTTCTTGTTTTGATTAGTTAATAAAAACCGGATGTTGACTTTCTGTACATAGCGTATCTGTAAGACCATAGTCTGTTTTCTTGGTGTCGACAGATCGATTGTGTCTGTTACGTAGTATGTTGACTGGATCGATACTAGAGTTGATTAAGGGAATGGTAGTTCATGTAAAGTTACAGAGTGTTGCTGAACCGAATGAAAGTTTCAGTGGACGCGCAACATCGAGATTAACAGGCTGGACTCCGTAAGGACTGATCGTGTGCCGATCAAAACGCGACACTACGGATGATTGTTGAGGAATCAATTGAATGCAACTCACCGCTATACATCAACTTCCTTGACTATGAGAAAGAAAGCACTCAACAACGTGGACAAGATGGAAATATGGACACCATGATGTACCTAAGAAGATAGTTAACATCATGTAGGATTGCTATGACGGACCACACGGCAAAATCGTGCATGGAAGAGCACTCACAGACTCGTTGGAAGTGAAGACCAGTGTCAGACAAGGCTGCCTACTCTCACCCTTTCTCTTTCCTCTTCTAGTTGACTTGATTATGAAAACCTCAAAATCTCAAGGGAAGCAAGGCATACAGTGGACAGCTGAGATGCAGCTAGACGATTTGGACTTCACAGATAACTTAGTCATTCTATCCCACACACAGCAACAAATGCAGGTAAAGACGGCCAATGTAGCAGCAGTCTCTGCAGCAATAGGCCTCAACATACACAAGGGAGAAAGTAAGATCCCTAGATGCAACACAGCAAGCACGAGGCGAATCGCACTTGATGGAGGAGAAGCTTTGGTACATGTGGAAACTTTTATATACCTGGGCAGCCTCATTGATAGAAAAGGTGGATCAGATGCAGCATTTCAACAATTGGCGAACATCTGCAACTGGAAACAGTTGTCACCCATTTCCAAATTTAGAATTTTCAATACAAACGTCAAGATAGTTCTACTATATGGGGCGGAAACTTGGAGAACTGCCAAAACCATCATCAAACAGATACAGGTGTTTATTAACAGTTGTCTACACAGGATACTGCGTGTCCGTTGACCAGATGCTATCAGTATCCACCTACTGTGTGCGAGAAAAAACCAGCTTCCATCTGAGGAAGAAATTAGGAAAAAGCAGTGAAGGTGGATGGGACACACATTACGGAGATGACGAGGCGAGCCCTAGAACTTGGAATCCTCAAATTTAGAGGGCAAGAAGCAGACCAAAGAACACATTGCACCGAGGTGGCTTATGCTTCACGAGGAGTAAAACGCATAAGTAATTGAGTAATTAATTTAAGAATATCGTATTAATAACTGAGGTAATATGTGAATGATGCTATGTACAGCTGTACCTCATGAACAGAAGGACTCGACAGTTTGAATTTGAGTTATAAATATAGTCTTTACTCAAAACTGAGGATATGAACATGTACTTGACTACCGATTCACGGTGAACTTAGTGTTTAAATAGTGTCAAACTTGACTATTGAAAATCTTTGTTATTAGAATGTTATTTGCTTGTGTGATGTAATTCATGAAACTCAACATAAGAGGACAGACAAAGGTAGCATAAAGAACTGTCGAATTTATCTCGTGTTCAGATATTTACTAATGATGAAGATTTGAACTTATTCCTATCACTTCGGTATCTTAATATTCATCAAATTAGGTTAAACTAGTATTTTGTAGATATAATTGTGTTCTTGTTTTTGACTGAGTTCGAAATAACCCACTTATCATTATTCCGTTCATTATAATTGTTTCCGTTCTTAATTGAGAAATTTAAGAAATAAACGGAAGTTCAGCATGTTGAATTGAATATCACCATACTTAGTGGGTTTTAATTTTATTTAACTCTTCAATGGTTTTAGATTCGTCGTCCTGGTGATCGATGGATGCTACGTGGACCTATCGAATACATACCTCCTGTCGAGGTGGATGTGATAGACCGTCGAAATGTTATTCCTCTTGATTGTAATGAAGGGATATATGTTCGTAACACACAAACAGGACAAGTTCGCGCTGTTATTGGTGAAGCTTATATGTTGAATCAAGACGAAGAGTTATGGGAGAAGAAACTTCCTACCGAGGTTGTTCAGTTGCTGGAAAGTAATATCGATCCAATTGCTGACCGTGGAGTTCGATCTTTTCAAGAATCTGTTGACCGTCTTGACCCAACTCGTGTAGTTACTTTCCGTGTCCCACACAACGCTGCAGTTCAAATCTATGACTATAAAAATAAAAGGGCAAGAGTCGAGTTTGGACCGAATTTAGCCATGTTAGGGCCGGATGAACAATTTACTCGTTTGAGTTTGAGTGGTGGAAAACCGAAGAAGCCGAATGTAATTAAAAGTCTATGTTTACTGTTAGGTCCAGACTTTTGTACGGATGTTGTAATTGTTGAGACTGCAGATCATGCTCGTCTATCTTTACAGTTATCGTATAATTGGGTTTTCGATGTCTCTCCTTCATGCAGTGCAGCTGATGCTGCTAAATTGTTCTCAGTGCCTGATTTTGTTGGGGACGCTTGTAAAGCCATTGCATCTCGTGTTCGTGGTACAGTTGCATCTGTTCAATTCGATGATTTCCATAAGGTAAGGTTTATCATTTTGTAGTCAAGTAGTTATATAAGAGAAGTACACTGTTTATATCGCAAATTTATTCGGAGGTTTCTAGTTAATTTTCAAATCGTTTAAGTGTCTTCTTGATAATTTTTCGTAGCAGCTGTATACGTTTTGATAGAGACATTACTAGTTACTCGGATATCTAGTTGAAGGGTAACATCAGACACATGATCGTAACAGTGAAATCGGTCTCACAAAAACGTGAAAGCGACTGTTTCTCTCTACTGTTCTATACTGGCTATAGAAGGTGAAAGAAAATGATGATGCTAAATTAGTGTGGTTTGGACATTTACTGATCGATGAATGATATATTTGACGAAACTTTGTGCAACCATATAGGTGCTCTTCACCATCTTTTAGTGTGTTATTACGGACGAGAGTTACTCAGAAACATTTAGTAAACATTCCTTAGAAACTTGATGGATATCTTTAGAGATGCTCAAAGACACGGCAGCCACGTATCTATCCAATTGCTACTGATTACATACGCACAGCATAAATAAACAAGCGAGCAGTGATTGGAAGGGAAATAGTTATACCGAAATGTGTCACATGAATTGTGTAGAATTATGTGGAGAGATGATTTATTGTCGTCCCCGGAAAGCTTGTTAAATAGTGTATCATTCGTTCCATTTTTAGTATTTTCAATGCATACCATTATACTTATTTTCCAAATACAGAATAGAGTAACTGTTTTAATAATTAGCAATAAAAAGATGTACGGATCAAAATAAGCCGGTCGGTTATCAGTGAGATCAATTTTGGAAATAAGGAATAATAATGGTTAATTATGTTTAAAGAGGGAAGTAGTAATAGAGAATCCTTCAAAATAGTTACTGGTCGATAGGGTGTTATCTCGACTTTATTTGGTGTACATTGACAGTAGACACAAAGACAAGCCACAACTACAGTGTTGCTTCTCAGTGTAAAACGTCTTAGAGAATAGGAAATGTTACAGTCAGTTTTCTACTTAAGGGAATTAATGACAAGTTGCAGAAGCTGTGTGGAAACTTTGCGTCAATACTTCAATAACACAAGTGTCTAAGTACGAAATTAGTGTAATCATACGGGTTTTGTCTCAGTGCTTCTACTTTTGGCTAGGTTATTTTACAGGATGTATGGTAGTTTTGTGAATAAGATTTTAGCGTCGTAAATGTCGAATACTGATTTTGAGCTTCAGGAAAAATTGTAATGTTAGCTGGGACTTGATTACAGCAAGTTGATGAATCTCGTGTACACTACCATTAACTGGTCCAGTTTCCACTATTTTTTTTCATTTAGCACTCATCACGAATTATTCGCGCCTCCGTATTCGGATTGGATGAAGCTGGAAAGGTTCGAGATCGAATAGTTTTTCCTCAAAATAATCTGCATATTACAAGCGTGGATGTGCAGTCTGTGGAGCCAGTGGATCAACGAACTCGAGATTCCTTACAGAAGTCAGTTCAACTCGCCATTGAGATAACGACCAACTCGCAAGAAGCAGCTGCGCGGTAAACAATGTTCATTTATTTTGAATCTATAAATCAATTTGAGAATTATTTTGAAGAGCATAGCCATGTGTACAACACTTGTAAGGGTGTGTATGAAGTTAGGCCATTAAAAATGTTAGTCGGTTAGGTTTGTTTTACAATGTAATGTTTTTACGCTATTTTACTTCCACGGCTTATGGTGTATAACTAACGTGTAGTAGAGGGTATAACTGTTATGTTTTGAGAATTTCATTTCGGTTATGCATACTAAAAGTAGTGTGTTAAATGATTTTGCTGAGAATCGGGAATGAAATTTTGAGTAATGAAGTTTGTTCGGTCTTATTGCTTTCCAGTCATGAGGCCGAAAGACTCGAACAGGAAGCGAGGGGTCGGTTGGAACGTCAGAGAATTGAGGATGAAGCAGCTGCTGAACAGGCCAGACGTAATTTGCTTGAAATTCGAGTTCAACTAGCTGCGCTAGAGAGTAGTAGCCAAGCGAAAGCTGAAGCAGAGAGTCGAGCTGAAGCCAATCGTATTTCCAGTCAAGCTGCAGTGGAAGAATCTAAGCTGCGTGCAGAAGCTTTATCTATTGAAACAGTGAGGACGTTTACAATTAAATTTTCTATTTGTTTTCTTGATCTGCAACTCTGAATCAACTTTGTGAAAATATTTTTGCTAATCTTGTTATAGTTTCTGACATGACGGAAAGGAGATGTAATGAGAACTTGTTCGATATTAGATTGAAGTATATATTATGAAACATTAATTTCGTCTGAGTTCCATCTCACAAACATTTTACAAACATTCATCGACTTTATTTGTAGTGAAACTCAATGCAATAAACTAATGTATGAACTTTGAAACGATAACCCCTGTCTGATAACAATAACCTATCACTGTATTCAAGCACAGATTCGGTACATTATGAAGACTAGTGTAGCCAGATAAGGTATAAAGACTATGAGAGAAAAGGAGGAAATATGTGGTAGTAGAATGTAATCGAAAGAGAGCAGGAATAACAAAACGTACTCACAGAGTTCTCGTTACATCTAATCTTAAGAACATAAGAAAGTTGGATTCGCAGTTACAGTTCTTAAAATAAGCACATCCTTATTGTTTTTCGAAACTTCTTAGATTTGCCAAACAATGCTTTTTAAAAATGTGATATACTCAAAGTTCTGAAAATACCAATTTGTTTGTGGTTAGCGGTATATTAGTGTACACATTACTATACTCTATTCCCACGGTATGATGATAATAATGATCGAACACATTAGTTCTTCAGAAGTTTTCCACTTCTGTGGTTTAGAGGTTAGATCTCGCAATCTTCCTTATCTCCTTATCCTAGTCGTTTATCCTATTTTTTTTAATTTGAACAAAATTTTCAGAATGCAGAACTAGAAAGACTCAAATTGGCTCGATCTGCAGAGATCGCTTATATCAAGGAAAAGAATGAATTAGCTCTTAAGTATAAAGCAGACGAAACAGAAATTGAGAAATCACGTTTCATTTCAATGGTGAATGCATTAGGTGCAGATACTCTACGTGCAATGTCAACAGCTGAATCAGATCACAATCTGCGCATGTTAAGCGCTTTAGGTTTACAAAGTACTTTGATTACGGACGGGACGGCACCAGTGAATTTGTTAACTACTGCTCATGGTTTAATCGGTTCAGTGTTTGAAAGTTCTCGTAAACGCACTTCAGATGCCATAAACACTGTAGATGGAAAAAGAAGCACAATCGATATTTAGTTATGTTTTAATCGATTTCTTTATATTTTGTTCACTTTTTATATACTATTTCAATATATATTTTTCATGGTTGGCTGTGATGATTTCTTCTAATGAATACCTTATAACATACTTTATATGTGTGCTATGTAAAGTGTATTCTTCTATTTATTATGTTCTTACTTGTAGTATTTTTGCTATTGTTCAGAATACAATTGAGTGTTTTGCAAACAGAGAAACAATTTTTCATGTTCAATATACGCTTTCACAATAACATTATTTGCACTGTTCATTTTTAACCTGTGCGCAGTACTTTAAAACTGCTTGGTGTGTTGAATATACAAGATGATTGCGATATTTTGCTACAAAATTATGGAGAGTTGTATCGGTCAGTCGTAACCCATATATGTTATCGTAAATAAATTTCTGTTGAAGAAGTTACCACAGTAAATTAGCACACTACCTAAAGTTGACACTTTTACTTGCTGGAGAGTCAGATTGATAGAATAATTATTGACGGCGGGATGTATTAAAAATCGAAAGTGAAATTTGATAAAGAGAAGAATATATGAGAATACAGAATAATGAAAATTAAGTTATCTTGTTTGTTGATGATTTCGCATATCGTGGCGATCTGTACTGGTTGCTAATACACCAAAGAGACTATCAGTTGAAGTCCTAAACATCTATTGGAAGATCTAAACAACTAATCTGAATGAAAAACAACTGAATTTCTTTACAAAGGTATATTGGTAAATTGAATTGTCATGAATACAAGTTTATTTAAATTTCCAAAGAAATCTTTTCAACAGATGATAAGATATGGTACCTTTTTAGTTCACATAGAACTCCCCATACCTTTGTATGTACGACAATTGAATTTGCCATTATTCTTTTAACTGAACATGGTTAAATAGATTCTATGAAGCTGAATTACATATAATTATTAATGTTGATAATCATTGCAGTTATATTCACGACAAGTGAGTTTCCAGTCGAACTCAATGAAAATATGCGTAAATATTAAACAAACTTATGCTGTATAAATCAACAAACATTAACTGTTTTGTGTGCATCTTACAGAAACCAAATTGGAATTTATCACACACTTTTCTAGCTCAACAATAATTGTAAATGTTTATAGAATTGTATATCTTTCTACCTTCATTTTTCTAATATTTATATATCGGATGTTATACACTAAGAAAAGTCAGATTACAATACTATGTTGATGTGAAGATATGAATATGATCAAAGGTTCTAGTTGTATTCTCTGTGTTAAGAAAAATTAAATGACTCATACTAATTAAATAAAATTCTAATAGAACAAAATAAACTTTTTTAAAAAAAATGCATAAGTTAGTAGTAAATTTAATGTCTATATAATCAGGAATTTTATTCAGATATGATATCTCAGGTGAAATTAATTTAAATATTCATCACAGAAGTACCTAGTTAAGTTTGTTTGTTACTCAATTTTCTAATTAATTAATCAATTAGTTTTCAACACATTTGTTACAACTTCTACACATCCAAGAATAACTCAAAATCCTATCAAGATACAACAACTAATTATGCATTTGAAGTATAGTTTCAAATATATTCACCATTACTAATACCTCATTACACTTTATTTACAATTAATATCATTATATATTTATCAGATTCTTTTGAACATTAATACCGTTATTGTAATAGTACGAACATACATCCTTACATCTTGTAGCAGGTACTTTTAATCAAAAGTTCGTCAAGATAACCATTTCCAAAATTTAGTTCATTCAAATATTATGATATATTTATCTACATCTGATATAAATGTTTTATCTTTAACCCAATTACTTCAGATTTTGTTTGTATTTAATTTTGAAGTTAATTTAATTGCTCAACTAAACATGCAGTTATAATGTGATCACTAATATAAATTCTCAAAATTTCTATATTCTAATATATTTCTGCCCAATAAAGGGCTACGACGAATAAGTGAATGATACGATTTTCGGCATCTCGATCTTCAATTGAAAAAAAGAAGAAACTAAAACACAACTAAGACTGGTGTCCTTTGAATACTGTGCTATTGGTACGCTTACAATCTTCATAGTCGAATAACTTGGCCTTTTTCACTCAATCCAGTAACATTTCATAGATGGCTCATGTTGTAGCTTCTTTATAACATGTTACTGTATACCACCTGATAAACTGCCCTTACAAATACCTCAAATTTCTGTTGAGATCGAAATTCCTGATTAAAACACCCCTATTAATTGTGTTCACCGATGATTCCAACTGTCACTTGACTGTTTGCAGTCAATTTGATCTTCACATTCATGTTATTGAGTAAATCTTTATTCAAGTATAAGAATAATTTTGAATGACACTCAATAGACTTTTTCACTTTTCGTTGCCTTAGGAATTGTCAAGCATATTCACTACACTCTGATCTCAGATTACTAGACTGTAGTAGTTAAGCAGTCATAGAGAAATAGACTAACTTTGCGTTCACACGATAAAAAATTGGTTGACTTAAATGTTCACTGAACCTTCTTGCAAGTCATTCACTTGTTCGATTTTATGTTATTAGCCCTTTTGCTCAGATGCAGATTACAGTGTTTACTGATCGACTAATCGAATTACCGTTTATTTGATGTTGTTGCTTGCGTTGAATTTGTTCTCACACCAAGTCGTATTTATGTTCTCTAAAGGAATCTTATACTAGTATGAAGTAATTACTCAATATTATATTGTTCCGAATAATATTTTAGTCGCTTTCTATCCGTGATGAACGGTGATTTGAATTACAATAAGGTCTTCATAATGAGACTTTGACGAAGTATAATAACTACTGACTGATGTATCGCTTTGTTCCATTGGATAACTGAAGTATGACTTATGATCAATTCATGAGTGCTGATGCTTAAACAAAAGCACCACGTATTCAAAGAGCTAGCAACTAATTATTGAACCATGAAATGAAGAGTTTCATGTATCAAAAATATTAAATGAAGTTACTCATTTATGTGGAAAGCAAGTAACGAATAAAATTTACTGTTTGCCTTAGAAAGTATTAGTAAATATTTGAACTTGTATTAAAATAGTAGTGATACATAAATTTATTTAACCTGTGATTATTCCTACAAACTGTCAAGTTAAGATCATTAGCCATTATAAATTGTACTAAAGTGATGCATAGAGTTGACGGACCCTTTGACATCTATAAAGTTGCTATTGTATTGACGACGACTAAGCCCTACGTGATTCAAAAGTCATGATTAAACTACTGTGTTCATCCTTTGACATTTATGTAACTAACCTTTAGTGAATTCATTTTCATTCTGCCTGATTGAGATTAACATGTGAATTAGTTGTATTGTTTCATGCAATAAAGTTTGAAAGATTTTATTGTGTATGCATGCACATGACAAGTTCGTATTTTTTATTTGAGCTGATCACAATCAAAATAATAAATTCGGATTCCTTTGAAAAAGAGAATCTTTATTCGAATTCTTTCTTAATTACTCTATTTTCCATATAATTCATTTTATGAATTCACCAATTGTTAATGTAAATAAGCACTGCCCCACGTCACAAGTGATTTCACATAGAGCAAATGTATTTCGCTAATTTTTCTCATCAGCAAAATATGAACAAACTAACTGCATAAATATATCAAAATTAATTAGGGAAATTGTTATTGGAGAAAGGAAATTTATAGATCTTTTGATAAATGTACAAACCTAATGATATTAAAATGTTATTTAATTTGACGGCGTGTGGAAATCAATAAATTTGGAGTTTGTTATTTGCATTACGGGGTTGTGAAGATTGTTAAGTTACACATTTTTGAAACCATGAATCGATCGATGATAGACCACCATTAGAAACCTGGAAGCACTGGACGGCCGTTTCGTCCTGCTTAGGAGTCCCACACCAGGACGAAACGGCCGTCCAGTGCTTCCAGGTTTCTAATGGTGGTCTATCATCGATCGATTCATGGTTTCAAAAATGTGTAACTTAACAATCTTCACAACCCCGTAATGCAAATCACCTGTGCTCACTAGTGACTATCTTCGTGAGGAATCTTCTCCGAGTTCTAGTGGGAAGACGTGGCCAGTGAAGTTCAACCTGTTCGGGTGTGGGCAGTGTCTACCGAAGACTGTGTATGAGGTTGCGCAACTCCGTGAATTTGATCAAGTTAGACATTAACAACGTTAGGAACCGGCTCAGTGGCTTAACGGTTAGGGCGTTCGCGCACAATACTGAAGGTCCTGAGTTCGGGTTCTGCGGGTTGCAGGAGTCGTGGGTGCGCACTGCTGAGTAGTTTGTTCTTATCACGAACTGATGTCAGCTGGCGAAAACTGTAGAATGAAGGAACATTGGAAAAATCTTTCGACTTAATTTTAAAGTTTAATTACAACAAATTTAATACTCGATTGTTGACTATCAACTCAGTAGTTGTGAATGTTAATCAGTTTGTTATAAAACCAAACTATAATGACTGTACCACTTTTTATCGATTCTATCTCATCAAATAATGGGTTAAATAACTCAGTTGGGAATTTGGAGTAAATAAAATGCACCTTGTAAAAGTTTTTCACTTTTTTGTGTGACATATCGGTAAATAAGTACCACTAATTTCTACTCTGAAATTGAGTTGTGTTCATGAGGGAACAGTTTAAAATGAATAATTATAAAATCAGTTATATTGATGCTCATGGTACATTGTCAATCGCAGGGAAGTTTTCCGTAGTCGTCATGAGTGTATGAGTTTTTATTGACGAATATTACAGCAATCTATTTTGCAATGTGCTTTTAAAGGAATCCCATTGGGATCATCTTCATCATGACTATTCGCAGAAAGTGTTATGCGAAAACTCAAGGCTATAGTTTTACTTGAACTTAAACCATAAATCTGGATACATCAATTTATAAGATGACTTTAGTAATATTTTGC